TCTTATATTTAAATGTGGTTCTGTGTTGATCATTTCCTGTTGCTGCCTGAGTTTTTCTGTTGACCCCATTTGATAAGTTTGGTTATAAGGTTGATCAAATGGAAAGTTGTGGTGCATCTGTTGTTCCTTAAGGCGATATGCAGCGCCTTTAGGAACATGTTGACATTTGGGATAAAGATTAGGAAGTCATCATAAAGGAGTGCCTCTGCTGCGTGTCACTCACTGTTACTGTTGACTTTGCACTCAGATTGAGGTTTGTGTTGCAGGACTGAGCAGAAGCCCTTGGATGTTGATTCCTTTATGCTTTTTCAATTCATCAATAAGCTGGAGCCAAAGACTCGGTTCTGCTTGGATCATGTTGGAAGTTCAAACTCTGTCAGTCTGCATGAGACCTCTTTACTTTCAGCTCAGATGTGTGCCAATTTTAGCTTTAGCTTGTACTGTAGTCGCATTGATTCCTGTAATCTATATTTTCACATTGCTTTGCCAGTTTTTATAGAGGAACAGATAAGTACTTAATGGGAATACATGATTCATCCTTTGATTCAACTTTGATTTACGCAGAACGATGGTTCATCTGAAACTCTGACTTCTCTGAATGTCCTTTAGTTTTTCCCATCTCTCCAGCAATCATGTCCTTCCTTGCTATTCACCATCTAAACCTCCATCTAATCTACTGCAGTGACCTGAAGGAGGGCTTCACACTGCAGCGCTCAAATAATAATCAAGCTCTAGGATGTTGTCAAATTTATAGGACACTGAGCGTTGCATGGCAACAGAGATTGTCAGGGTGATTCAACAGACACTGGAGGTTGAACAAAGAAAGAAAAAGGCTAAGTGACAGAAAAACAAGGAAAGAAAGGTAAGGTACAAGAAAAGCGGCTGACACAGAGAGGATGGAAATTGGAATTTAAAAACCAATTGCATTCACAATAGGGGAAAATGGGACCTGAATAATCAGAACATAATGAAATAAAGTTAAAGTTGTGTAAGCCACCAAAACGGATTCCTAGGCACCAACTTTTATTTCGTGGTAAGCTAAAGCATGCTTTACATTTTTACTAACTTTACTGCAGCCATATAAATAATTGTTCTTAGATTTTACAAATATTGGAGGATCAAAGTTTTCTTCTAATTAGTTTTATTGTAGCAAGATTCTTTCTGTCACAGCTACCACATTATCTCACATTTTTATGTCTTACTTTTGTTACAGGGTTCAAATCTTTGTTTTTAATTTCCTTTTCATCCTTGTTGCCTAGTGACTGCATTTGGGTTTAAGTGCATCTCAGGATTTTGCCTTTTTTACGGAAGTTTTAGTTTTCAAAAAAAATTAGTAAGCAAGTAAATAATGCAAGCCAATATATGAGTCGGTGATAAATTAGTAATATGTAAGAAATGATTTTGCATACAAGTAGGTTGTTCATAAGTCAAATAAATGATAGTTAATTCTAGATCTAAGCAAGTAATAATCATAAATATAATAAGTAAGCAGTTAAAGAAGAAGTAAATAAAGAAAAACATATGTAAGGATATAATTAGTAAGCAGATGAGAAGAAACATACATTGATATAGTGTGTTAGTTGCTAAGTAGGTAAAAGCTAAGTCAAGCTAGTCAATACATTAATAAGCATAGTATGATCAAACTAAGCGAAATTCTGGGAAGCCTCCATTTTAGGCCTGTTTTGTGGTGGCCTTGACTTGGACGATTTAAAATTTGTACACAGGCAGTCAAACTACACTACATCTACCTTGCTCTATAATAAGATAATAAGCATTTTTAATAATAAGCATTTTTTTCCGTAAACGTACCGGTATACATGTACAATAATATATATATATATATAATATATATATATATTGTTGTACATGTATACCGGTACGTTTACATATATATATATATATATATATATATATATATATATATATATATATATATATATATATATATATATATATATATATATATATATATATATATATATATATATATATATATATATATATATATATATATATCAAGGGAGACATTGCCTTGGTGCAAGCTGATCCTATGTGTGGTGTATGTTTTGGATGAATAGCATACCATAGCGTAACCGGAAGGTAAAACCCCTTACAGTAAGAGTGCAGAATGGGTGGGGTCTGCAGAGGTGTTAGCTGCCCTTTTTCTGACGTTAGACCTGTACAAGTCCTTGATGCATAGAAGGTCAACCCAATGATCTTCTCTCCAGACCTAATTATTCTTGGTAGTTGAGACCTGTCCCGTTTAGTATATGAGCCAAACCATGCGATGATCTAGAAGCACAAAACACCCATCCATCACTGTGGGAGTATATATATGCATATAAAGCTTTGTGATTATGATGGTGGGAGGTGTGAATGGCAGCTTTTCATACCTGTACTAGATGCTGCTAAGATGCTCTTTTTTTTTTGGAAGGGAATTCTGTTTTTAGCTTATAATAGAATCAAATTTAATTTAATATAAAAGAGTTATCTAACATCTAAGTAAGCCAGTAATACATAACCAAACCATAAATAAGCAAATAATGTGAAAGTATAAAGATTTCCAGGTGGTTACAGACAATTGTATGCGAATAGCAATGACAGCCTCAATCAAAACCTTTCTTGTAGCTTTGCTTTATTTGAATGCTTCCCATTTTAACCCTAACAGATTATTCTGAAAACAGTTATCTAAATATGAGACTAAAACAGAGAAACAATCTAATGAAAATGTTTAAAGACTAAAAAAAAAAATATATATATTAACAGCATTAACAGCGTTTCAACAATAATTTCCAAGCAAAAAATCCACAAGGTCATATTTTGTGTAACAATGTGGTGAATTATCCTTTTTGTTACAGTACATTAAGATTAACTTATCTTTGGTTACCTGATTGGCAAGCAAATTAACCAGTCTGACTGCTATAAAAGTCAAGAAAATAATTTGTGTAGTATCTTTCTGTAAATATTTTTTAATGCACCTAAAGATTTTGAAGGGAGCATATTAGAGGAGAGGTTTTCTCAGATGAACAAATCCAAAACTCCTCATTAAAAACCAAATATATTAAAAATTTCCCAACAATGTAAGCAAAGCTCATGCCATGTTGATCTCAGTTCGCTTGATGAGAAGTGCAGAGCCATTATTTGTTCTTATCATTGAACGTGAATAAATTGACATAAAATCTGCGTTTACTTTGGTGTTAAAAAGGATTTTAAGGGCAAGTGTTGGGAAATAATTCTGAAAACTGCATAATTCATGACCTGCTTGGAATAATAGCACATGAAATATTCATCAGGTAAATTACTTATCTGTGTAATCTGCTTTTGTTGTTGTGTTAGGAGGAGGAAAGGGCAGCAGTGGGGAGTGAGTTTCTTTTTCCTTTTCTAAACCATAGCAGTGACTCAGTGTCTACCTTTTAATTATCTCCAAAGTAGAAAGAAAAATCAGTCTTTCACCATAATGCTATCTTGTGAAAAAAAAGACCTTCAACACAAAAAGTCTGTTTTGAATGCACATGTTACACCCACATGCAAAAGCATCTATTGACTGAGCACTAACCCCCTGTTCTTACAGCTCTTTTTTGCACCACAAACTGAACAGGGCCGTCAAAGAGACTACTCAGGTGTTTTATAATAGCAGCCATATGAAGCAAAAAGATTACACGGTTTAAAGATGCTGCTTCTACGCATCAAGGAAATTTGACTTTTGCCAGCTCTTCTCCCATTTATGTTCACATTAAAGCCTCCAAACTGAGGCATTAGAGGTGCATTAACTCCACTGATCAAAAGATAGTGGGCAGGGCTTTGTTGGTACATCAAACAGCAAGAACAGATGGAAGCACACAGTTCCCTGGAGAAGTCACACATGAGCTCTATTGTGTTGTTATTAGGGTTAATATTTACATTACTACATCTTCCTTTCTCCCCTTCCCATTATCCTGGTATCTCTGGACTGCAGACACTAAAGTACACATGCAGCCTAGGAGCCTGTGCACACATGCAAACAGATGATTAAAAGAAGTAGCTTTGCTAAAGAGAAGTTCATTCCCTTGCCTTTGTTGCAGGCAGTCATACACGTCAGGTTCGACCCAGTTAATCAAAGTGTGCACATGGAGTGTCAGAGAAAAGATTCGGGGGCGTCACTTTGTGATTCTCAACTTTTCTTTCAGCAGCCAGAGAGCTTAGCTTTTCACATATCCACACTGCAGCTAACTCTGCAGAGGAAAGAAGTGTTTTTGCGTCACCCGCACATACAGTAGGAGAGAAACACAATGTCACATTGCCTTCAGATGATGAAACCCATACTAGAAAGAGGTAATGGCTTATAGTCCCAGTAAATGCCTAAGTGTTGTATCATCCTTTTGCCATCCAACTCTGCAGTGGGTTGGTATTAGTTGGATGTGATTTTACAAATTTCCTGCCATCAAAATTCCTGGAACCTGCTAGTGTGATCCAAATATCCTGCAGGGCTGTGCAGATAAAAAGAGGGTTATCTTATTTTCACATGCATGCAATCTATTGATGTAACAACTCACTCAGCTTGACCTCAGATAGCAATAGATGTCAGATAGCATTAGACAGCATAAGATGTATTATTTCTTTAGCATTTTTTTTATGATTATTTTTGTTGAATTTCATGATTCTAAAGTTAACGAAAAACTGAGGTAAATGATGTCTTGCAAACCCTGCTTTGTGATACACTGCAGCACTGTCTAGCTTGTCCTGTTTGTTCCTCAGGTTGATTGATACATTGAGAGAATCCCACAGCTGGGAAGGAGGCAGTAAACCAAACAAGGGAACAAAGAGTAGTGGGCCACACGGGGTGCACCAATTAAACTGTTTACTTGTTCTTAATTAAAAGTGAATTAGAGAATGCGACAGGAGTTGCTGTCTAGCCCTATTTGCTGGCAGCATCCCTGTCTTGCTGCACCTGTTGTCGTACATCCACTCATCTTATGCTCACACTGTATTTTTTTTCTTTTTCTCTACAATGTCGTCCTCAGGGAAAGAGAGGAAAGCCTGGGGAGCCTGGACCAAGAGGCCCACCTGTAAGTGATGTGCTGCAGCAAAGAAAGTCTCTTGTTGAAATCATTTCACTGTAGTTCTTTTTTTGCATTAAATCTTATTAAAACATTGTTGTTTTAGCTCATTTATGATAAATATAATTAGTTATATATGCTAAACATTAGAAAGATATGGTAAATGTTCCTGCGACTCTTCTTGGTTCTGACAACCAGGAGTTATCTAAACCCCCGACTCCCCCCTGTTTATGTATGCGCCTAGAGTTAGTGCTGTCAGCGGTGTATCCATCAGCATAAACAAATATTCTTGTCTTGATACACTTGATCCCAAAAAAAAGATCTATCATTTCCTGTGATAATAGAAAGGATGACAGCTCTGCATTTTCTCCTCTAGTCACAACTGGTACTGCCATTGGTCCCACTTCTCTTCCTTCCAGCTCACATAAATTATTTGGAGGGAGGCGGCACAGCGGTGATACCGAGAGCTACAGTAACAGCTGCTCTCTGGTTAAAACAGTTATGGTTGCATGTGTGGTTCTGATCAAAAATGCCATTAAAAGTGAAAAGAAAAACAAAGTTATTCGTTAAATGGTCAGCTCCATAATTTAAAAAGGCACGGTGGAAACAAATACACATGTTTAGAAAAAGGATTTAAAACGAAAAACTCAAAACTTAAATAAAAGCTACTGGAAGAGGGTGCCTGCCCAGGTGGTGCCGAGGGAGAATCGATGATTGCACTTTTTTTCTTCCTCTTAACATCATATCTAATGTCAGTATTTTACTTTAAAGGTTGTGCCTATAGTGGTACAAGATGTAAAAGAAGCATGGGCCCCTCTTTAAGGCGCTATAGCAATATAGTACAGTAAAGGTATACTCCAAAGAATCCCTCCTAAAACAAATTAGCATGAACATGTATGTAAATTTGGTGGGAATGTTTAAAGATGTTAAGTAGTCCCATGCTTTGACAGTATTGATTTGTTAGAAAATTTACAGCCGTCTTTTCTTAGCACAAAAACCTCAAGGGGTTGTTCAAGGTAGCACTTGAATGTGTTTATATTGATGAGTAGTACAAGTGTGTCTTATAGGCCCCTTGAGTCCTTGAGTTATGGTCTTTTCCTCAGGTGTCCAAACCCATTCCCAGACATTGTGCATTTGTGGGTGTGTGCAGGAATGTGCATGTGTTTGTCTAGTGACCCACTAAATAAGAGGTACAAACAACACTGAGCATTACAGGAGACAGCTTGTCAGACTCTTAACTGCTGATGTCAGAACAAACAGGAAGGTCTAGCTAGTCTGTATCTCAGATACTCTGAGTGTGTAATTATTCTCAAGCATGGCTGGCTTGATTGCACTATAGGGCTCCAATAGGGTAGGTCCTTATCCCATTGAGAAATAGATACTCCATTTTTGATTTTATCGTCAATGCTCCAGTTCAGTGGTTTTGGGAATAATTAGACTTTCGACAGTTAAATCTCTACTATACAGTTGAATTTATTACCTAATTACTTACTCTTTTTGGATATCTAGATTTGGAAAATTAGTGATGTCATGATATTTTCCACATTGTGCCTGATATACATTCATCCCATGGTATTTTCTTTTATTATGGTCACCCTGTTTAACTCAGGTTTATCTCAGGCAAAATCTTTTTTTTTCAGTCAAGGGGTCAATGTTATTTTTCTGTATAAACTGGCAGAACATAACAGTGGTGTATCTCAGAAGGGTATGACAAAGCTGTTATCCAAATATGACTTGCATTTGTCCAAGTTGCACTATTAATTGATCAAACACTAGTGCAAAGAAAAAATATGATATCACAGACTAACTTACCATAGATGATTTTGTATTAAAAGAATAACGAATTCCTCCCAGCTGTCCATATTTTTCATGTGATAATCTTGTGGTTTTTCTTACAGGGTCCTTTAGGAACCTCAGAGGGAGCAAGTGTCAAGGTAGCATCTATATCTAAATTTCTATGAATCTGGCTTTTATATTGCGTTTCGTGTAACTGTTTCCTTCCCAAGTGAAAAGCCTTTCATCTCATGTAAGTCCATTGAGGATAATGACACTCTCTGACCGCCTTGAGCCAGCATCTTTGCAAGGTCTTTTGCTTTTTCTCTGGAGTTGATAGGGTGCATATTTTTCACCAAAACCTTTAATTTCTTAGAAATGAACCACTGTTTCTTTTCTGAATGTTAACATTTCTTGATAATCACGTTCTGTCTTTATTTGCAAAACATTTTTACACAAATCTCAACATTTCTCTTTTTAATGTCTCCATGTGGTCCACTGCATTCCCTATATTTGTAAAATAAAATATTTGGAGCTGAGATGCTGACATAGCCAGTGACTTTCTAAAGATATTTAAAAGCAGAGTAACTTAGAATATAACTGTTGTGCAATTATTCCAATTATTATTATATTCAGGAATATCTACTCAAACTATAACACATAATAACTACAAAAAGATTAAACTGAAAATAGGAATTTGATTTTCCTGGATGAAAGCAGTTCTTAGAAAAGACTTTAGACTTTAGACAGATTTATTTGTCATTTTGTTTACACAAGTAAGCTCACTGGACAATTTCATCTTTTAAAAGTGCAGCCTTGAAAAATAGTAAAAATTACTGTAAATTTACCGTTCTAAAATTAAAATCACACCATTAATCAAATTTCAGCTTAATTTCAGCATTTAATAATAATTAATCAGCCCAGTAGAAGATATAAAATAAATACAGCTTTGAGGTACATGTGGCATGTGGGGGAAATAATGCTGCAACCCTGGCTTGTAGCTTCCCTCCTTAACAATAGGCAATGCAACCTGTGTGGTTACACAGCGGGGGGAGAGGTCTGGTAGCAGACAAAAGACTAACAGCAAAGCTAGCTGTGTGATCAGCGAGAAACATGAGGTTCAGAGGGAAGGAAAGAGAGAAAGGAAAAAAAAGGAGGAAGAAGAAGAGAAATGCTGATGAAGGTTCTCAGTCATCCAGGTCATAGTCATCCCGTAAAAATTCAAAAGCATTTTCAAATTTTCAAAAGCAAATTCAAATTCAGCATATTGCACTCCATTTTGGGAAAGACACCCTCGGAATAACGCGTGAGTATGAGAAATTGCTTAGGAATTGAGAAAGCTTCCTGGAGAGGTGGCGAAACGTCTTCAAATCTTGAAAACCAAGTCCAGTGGATATTTTTTGAATTTTTACGGGAAGAAGAGAAATGATTCACTCAGCTGACCGGCTGTGCACTCTCAAGCACAGAACAACATTCAAAGAGTTTGAAAACCAACAAATCACGCTGACTTTTGGTTTAGATCACACAATAAAAAGTTTTAGCATGAAACTCAAAGCACAATATCCTTCTGGAGTGTAAATAAAATTTAACTCTAATTCTAATTCTAAATATCTACCTGCCCAGGCACGGCTAAAGAATTTAAGAAAAAGCGATATTTTTTTGATACCGTCTTAGAAGGCAGGATATTGCAGCTCTTGGCCATGGTATGTGGCTCAGCTGTGGCTCCAAAAACAGAGGAAGAGGGAACTTGGCTTCTGGTCTTTTTTTTTTTTTTTTTTTTTTTGCCAAAACAACCAGGTTCATCATTGTTGGATGAGCACAGGAAAGCAGAGAAATGGTGCATCTCCCAGTATCTATTTGGGATCTTTGCTGCTCCGGAACAAAAATGCCAGCCTTAGTCAGTAGCAGTTTCATACTGGGTACAACTTGGAAATCTGCAGAGTCCACACAAAGTCAAAGCCTAAAAAAGTTTCTTATTTGAGGAAATAATGATGAAGTGGTGCAGCATCAGCCAGCAGTGATGCTACGGTTCTTACCGCTTGTTTCGAAGCACAGTTCAGCTGAGGTGGGGTCTCTTCGTAGCAGTGGTAAGCTGCAGAAGAAGACTGAGTTTGGGTTTTTATCACCTGTGGTTTTATTTTGGACTGCAATGCATGCTGGAAGCTGTAGTTACATTTTCAAATGGACACAATGGCACAACAAGAGTTAGGAATATTACTCTCAAAAATCTCTCACATTATTTTCCTATTTAACAGATCTAAATCATTTTGGTAAAATCAACTAACTTAAAACTGCAAATATTTAGTCTGCTTAACTTTAAGACAGATCGGGAAAACAATTTATCTTAAAAAATTGTTTGATTTAAAATCATTCTGTTTCACCTGGATAAAATGTACATTCATTGCTTCTCTTGCCAACCCAGACAAGTCAGGTGTAAAAGAGCAGTTGTAGTATCTCCTTTGTCCATAACTGACACCTTTTGGAGTTAATAGTTGGGAACAGATCTCTCTCTTTAGAAATGGCAACACTTAGTGAGTTGAAGCGTAGCTGCTGCAAGTTAAATAGCTGCTCCCAGCCTTTGTCTGCTGCAGCACAGTACAGCATGACTCAATGCTCACAATCTAAACTACCAGATGGCCATTACATGCCGTACTTTTGAAAAAAAAAAAAAAATCTGCAATCATTTTCATGAAGCCCTAGGGTGTTTTACACACCAGTGGCACATAAGATATAGATTGTAAGATTTTAGAGTGATAAACACAAAAACTGCCAGTTACTGGCCTCTGTCAAGCTTCCTAAAGATGTTTTACCTTTGCCAACCCACCTACAAACCACCTGCTACTTGAGGCTTCAGTGGCCAATACTTGTGATCACGCTAAAAAGTGAAAGCATTGTGTTGTGGACAACCTCTTGAATGCATGAGTCATCAGATGTGCAGATTTATCACTGACTGCTGTAGTCTCTTTGGCTTTGTCTGGTCCTTCTGCCTAAAGGAAAGGAAATGTAGGTTTTCCAAACTTAAAAAAGGAAACTAACAAAGTTTGTTTTTAAACAAAGTAAATAACTCTTCTTTATTTTAGAAACAGTAAGAAGGTTAAACAAGGGCTACTATGAAACATCTTTCACATATAATGGATCATCATAATTACAGAGCAAAGCAAACAAATGTTTTCCTGCTTATTGTGTTGCTGCAGTTTAATGGTGGTTTAAATATGTGTCTTTTATCAATCCATGTTTCATGTCCTATTTGCTTTTATTTTGCTTTTTATCTTGCTTTTAAAATACTATAGATTTTTTGCCACTGATCAAACCAAAATAACACGAAATGAGCTCATATTGGTAGATCTTTGTTACCATAAGTCATAAAGAGGCATTTCTTTAAACTATACTGGAAGCAGGCTATCTTAAATTATTTTAAATTGTTGGCTCATTAAATTAGTAAAAATGTATCCCTGTTAGGTATTAGCCCACTATTCAAAAAAAAAAACAATGACATGATAATAACACAATCTTATGTTTTTTGTTTTTTCCAGAGTTTTTATTGTTATTACACTGTCACAAGTACAGCACAAGGAAAATTTACTGTTTCAATTCACATTTAGCCCATTCCCTTGAGAAGCAGTAGGCTGCCATTGTGCGGTGACCGGGGAGTAGTGTGGGGTTAAGGGTCTTTGCTAAGGGACCCAGAGTGGCAGTCTGTGGGAGTGGGTTTCGAACTCACAACTTAATTTCTATTTAATTCACCACACTTTTATTTAACTACTGTGGTCCACTTGTTGACTAAGTGTAGCACGTCAAACCTAATCCCACGATGGTCAGACAATCATTACTTCATCCATGCATCCATCCATCCATCCATCCATCCATCCATCCATCCATCCATCCATCCATCCATCCATCCATCCATCCATCCATCCATCCATCCATCCATCCATCTTCTTCCGCTTATCCGGGATCGGGTCGCGGGGGTAGCAGCTTCAGTAGGGAGGCCCAGACGTCCCTCTCCCCAGCCACTTGGGCCAGCTCCTCCGGGGGAATCCCAAGGCGCCTCACGGCCAGCCGAGAAACATAGTCCCCCCAGCTTGTCCTGGGTCTCCCCCTGGTTCTCCTCCCGGTGGGACGTGCCTGGAACACCTCACCAGGGAGACGTCCAGGAGGCATCCTAATCAGATGCCCGAGCCACCTCAACTGACACCTCTTGATGAAGGAGGAGCAGCGGCTCTACTCTTGAGTCCTCCCCAGATGACTGACCTCCGCACCCTATCTCTAAGGGAGAGCCCAGACACACAAACTCATTTCAGCAGCTTGGATCTCAACCGGGATCTCATTCTTTCGGTCATGACCAAAAGCTCATGACCATAGATGAGGGTAGGAACGTAGATCGACCGGTAAATCAAGAGCTTTGCTTTTTAGCTCAGCTCTCTCTTCACCATAACAGACTGGTACAGCGCACGCATCACAGCAGATGCCACACCTAACTGCCTTTCGATCTCCTGCTCCATCTTCCCCTCATTCGTGAACAAGACCCCAAGATACTTAAACTCCTCCACTAGGGGCAGTACATCCTCCCCAATCAGGGCACTCCACCCTTTTCCAGCTGAAGACCATGGTCTCGGATTTGGAGGCACTGATCCTCATCCCGGCCGCTTCACACTCTGCTGCAAACCGCTCGAGGGAGAGCTGCAGATCATGCCCTGATGAAATTACTTATCATTATGCGAAACTAATTTCAGCCTTTATGTCATTATTGTCCAGTAAATTTCATACCTTTAATCCCAGTACTCTGTCACTTCTCAAAGTAATGTTTTACATATTCCTCATTGATGTTTAACAAATTTCTAATAACTACTGTACATTTTTAGCCACCTCTTAAAACAACCAAATGGGAAACAGCTTTACAAAGCTTTCGCTGCCTTAACTAAATGACTGAGAATTGTAGTAACAGTTCTTAGAAATCATTGTAAAGCTAATTCCTTGAAGCAATATCAAATGGTAATCCCACTAGTACCTTAAAAATCCACAAAGGTGAACAAAAAAACCCAGATGAACCTGAGTCAGTATAACTTGGTTACCTTAAATTAATCATATACGAAGGTTGAATAATAGAAGCTGCTGATGATGTCCATTGGAGACCAAAGCTTAATGTTTAGACATTAGCTTTAATACCCGTTATGTACGTATGGGTTTCTGAACAAACTCTGTGTCCTGGTTTAAGTCTTGCAGAGCAAATTTAAAAGCAAGCTTTGCTTTGGCCATAAATCAGTCATGCCCCTACACTGTCATTGCATCTTTACTGTATCATCATACATTTCTGATTTCTCTGCACAGCAAGGCATCAAATCTCCTACTGAAAAGCATCACATCTTAATTTGATTCATTAAAAAAACTACAGCCATGCACATAAATACATTTAAAAGAGCAAAATGGTGAGCAGAGATAAACTTAGCACTTTGACAGGGAAAAGTTTTGATTTGCAGTAATAATTAAACACTTCACTGTCATTTATTTTACATTTTTCAGTCTGTATCAAATAAACTGAGGTGAGACCATGCTGTTACTGGTGGCGTGCTATGTGGACAGAGACCCCTCTCACTCTCTCAGTAGAATGTGAATGTTTTAGGAATTAAAGACTAAAGTTGGGGGCTGCTGTGTAGTATGTGCTTGGAAAGGCAGTGTCTTTGTGAATTACATCTCCATAACTGTGCCCCCCCACCATTGGTCTCAATTGGCTTCTGACAGAACACAGCAGATATTGACAGAGAGAGTGATGCTGACAGTCCTAATTGCAGTTTGATGACTTGGGGTAGCTCAAAGTCAACACATCACCCGCAGTTAGCCACAGGTGGAACAGTTCCCTGGGCTTTATCTTTGCACAAATACAGCAGTAATCTACATAAACACTGACCATGCTTCAGTTAATCTCATTTGAAAGGTTTATTCACTTGTTTCGTTGTCTTCTGCTTGTAAATTAGCTGAGAATAATGTTCTGTGAAGATCTAACTGAGATAACAAGAGAAGTATGGTTCTTTAAGCCTGTGACAGAATGCAGGGCACAAGTTTTTCACAACAGGTGACATCCAGGGTAATTCCAACTTTCCATTAGATGTGATTTACATCGCCCGTCAGTCATAACTCAGTGCAAACTGCTGCCACGGTGGCAAATCAATTTTAGTGTACAGTGTAGCATGGACAAAACAGTTCAGAAAAAAAAGACATTACAACATTTTCCCTTATATTTTTTTTTTTTTTTTTTTTTATCAATAGCCTCTAATGGGAAATAATGTAAAAAATATCTACAGATGTCAAAATGCATGATTGTTTTGAATATCATATAAATGACACGTTTTACAATAAACAACTGAAAAAGGCAAGGAAGGCCAACATCCTAGACAATCCTTTTGCAACTTAACTGTGTATAAAAAAATATATATATCAGAACTGTAAATATACAGTCATATGTTTATATTACTATTTTATTTATTTTCTTAGGTATTTATTACTGAAAAACTAAAAAAAAGAAATTTTCTAGAGCTGTTTTAAAATAAATTTCTTTTTGTTTACACTCGTGTATACAAAATGACAAAATAAATCTATCTAAGTAATTTTTATTTATATTTCATTCATTTAACCAGGTAAAAAAAATTAATTGAGATTAAAATCCCTTTTACAGTGACCTGGCCAAGAGGGCAGTACTGGATAAATTAGTATTGTAATTAGTGAATAAAAGAACATTGCAGAGAGGATGAGAGACTATTTCATTGGGTTTTAAAAATTGCAAATGCCACTAATATGATGTTTGACGTCAACTCAGCTATATTTTTTTATACATAAATGGAGTCACTCTCTCTGCTAGATTCCCTGCCATCCTGGCAGTTCATAAAGATTGTAACAACTGACAGATCAATATCAATCTTGCTAATGTGTGCAACGATTGATTAGCATCTCTTGCCCCCGTTTGAGACATTACATTTGGTTTGCCTCTGTATTTATAAAACAAAGATGTAGACCCTAGTTTAAGAAGCTATAGTTTGTTTTTTTATTTGGAAAAAGCTGATTTTTTTTTTTACTTTATCAAAGCTTATGACAAGTTGCAGAAGTCAAGGACAAAGCTATTCTGACTGGCTACTCTATAAGGTACTCAAGTAGCAACTGACTTGGATGAGAAAATGCAGACCATTAAAAAAGCAGATTTGTTGCTCCGGGGGAACACTGACTAAATAGCAGCAATACTTTCAGCAGTACGTCTGAGAGAAACACAGCTAAACATGCACTTAGCCAGTATACGTTCTAAGAACACAAAAAACAAGATTTTTTTACACTTTCAAGAGCTGGTATAGTAACTATACTATTAAAATGTGTGTTTTTATTTCTTTGACTATACAGCAGAGTTGAATTTTGGTTTTGACACCCATGAATGTAGCAGCTAAAGCTCCTCAGAATTCAATTAAACCTTTAAGTCAGAGTTTCTGCTTAGTCCCTCCTCCTCAGCTGAAAGATTAATAAGACGGTCCATCTGTTCATATATGCCAGCAGTCCACTGACTTAATAGCAGCTGCTAATTTGAATAAGGAAACTGTGACTATATCTCATTAAATGAGTGGTGCAGTATTACTGCAGTTGTCAGTGTAAGAAGTTGAGGTAATGGGGGGGAGGGAAACTCAAAACTCAATAGTGTTATCTGTTAGGAGTCTATGAGGAGTAAGAAAAGACTCTACTTTCTTTCTCTCAGGTTGTTATACATAGGCTCAATGAGGTCTTTATACTGACTAAAGCTATCCTGTAGGTATTTGCACATGTAAAACATTGGAGCAATGTTCAATGATTAATCTGCTATTTAAGCAAAAGTACAGTATGACCCCCCAAAAAAAGATTAAGCATGGGCTGGTTACTTTCAACATGATATACTATGGTTTTGACAATTTAAGGATTTAAAACTACTGTGATTAACATTAATTAGTCTCTATATTTAAGGCAGTTTTATTAAGATGCAGGGAAAGCAGGAGCAACAGCGTTTGGTCAATTGTTTTTTGATAATTCCTGATATTTGAGCTCAAAGGGCGGATAAAAAAGCGTATTTGCGGCTTCAGTCTATGAATTACAAAAGGTCGTAAGAAAAGAATCAATTCTGCAGTGTAAAATGTTGAAATGATTCTATTTATGTGTTACTTGAAGTATAGAATTCTGTCCTATAAGTGTTCATTACCACCTTGACCATTGCTTAATGCCCATTGGTTCTAAATTCAAGGTTTACTTTGAGTTTTTTTTCAACATAAATGTGAGAGGAAATCCAGTCAAGATGCTTTATGGAACTGTTACCAGCTGTGCTAAAGTGCCATCTATTGGCAGACAAAGAAATAATGTTATCATTAAAATATAGACATACTGCAGTGGAACAGGGACCTTTATTATTATCTTGCAAGACTCATGTAACACCACAGCTTGATGAAGCCATATATGTAGAATGGATTTCTTTTTTACCCCACCGTAGTGGGATTTTGAGAGGACAGAGGACTGTATGTTTTTCTGATTACTTATTCATAGCAACTGTCCATGCCCGAGCTTCAGTCTCGAATCTGTCTGTCTCTTCACCCTGCTTTTGCTGTCAGTCACTGTCAATGGTGTGCTCTGTTCACATGCAGGGGGAGAAGGGGGAGTCTGGCATCCCTGGGGAAAAGGGAGAGAGAGGAGATCCCGTACGTATTTTCCTGCCATGACATTTACAATTCCGTCCTGTTACAGAGTCGTTAACCGAGGCCTCCTCCCACAGGGTCAGCCAGGTGCAGAGGGGACTGGTGGCGTGAAAGGACAAAAAGTAAGTCACATCAATGTCAAATGTCAGCAATGATGAGTCCTTCTGTTTATACTCCCTCAGAGTGCTTGTGTGCTGAAAGGTTGTGAACAAGTCAAAGCACATTTCCTGACACCTTGATTCAGTCGTTTTTTTCTACCCTAAATACCCTTCAAAGGTCTTTGAAATCATGTTGGAGCAAATAATGAATCCTCAGGTGATTATTACTTGTTTGTCTCCTTTTGCTCCAGTAAGCATGATTCAAGTCATTTGCTTACCACAGACAGATTGTGCCTAATGTCTGGGGGGAAGGAAGACAAAATGAAACAATTTTGTCCTTGTTTAATTGTGTACAAATTGTATTGTGCTTTGAAAATTGCCAACAGTACTGAAAGAAGTTAGAGTACAGACCAAAAGTTTGGACACACCTTCTCATTCAAAGAGTTTTCTTTATTTTCATAAATACGAAAATTGTTGATTCACACTGAAGGCATCAAAACTATGAATTAACAACTGAAAATATGTCTTATATTCTAGGTTCTTCAAAGTAGCCAACCTTTGTTTGATTACTGCTTCGCACACACTTGGCATTCTATTGATGAGCTTCAAGAGGTAGTCACCGGAAATGGTTTTCACTTCACAGGTGTCCCCTGTCAGGTTTAATAAATGGGATTTCTTGCCTTTTAAATGGGGTTGGGACCATCCGTTGTGTTGTGCAGAAGTAAGGTGGATACACAGCTGATAGTCCTACTGAATGCACTGTTAGAATTTGTATTATGGCAAGAAAAAAGCAGCATTACCATCATCAAAGGTCAGTCAGTCCGAAAAATTGGCACAATTTTGAAAGTGTCCCCAAGTGCAGTCGCAAATCCATCAAGCGCTACAAAGAAGTTGGCTTCTATGAGGACCGCCCCAGGAAAGGAAGACCAAAAGTCACCTCTGCAGTGGAAAATAAGTTCATCTGAGTAACCAGCCTTCAAATCGCAGGTTAACAACAGCTCAGATTAGAGACCAGGTCAATGCCCAGTGTTGTGCTAGTTACTGAAAAGCAGTAACTAGTTTCTGTTACTAGTTACTTCATTTCAAAAGTAACTTAGTTACTAACTCAGTTACTTACACCATAAGGTAATGCGTTACTGTGAAAAGTAACTATTTAGTTACTTTTTTTTTTAAAGGTTCACATTATGCCCTTATAGCCTTCATTTCAGAAATGTTATTGCACTGGAGAATAATACCATATGTTGAAGAACTTGACATGCATTTGCATTATGAAACCCTGCTAAGCAATTCTATATACAAGCAACAAAGATATGTTTCAAAGTGCCAATTTATTTCAGGGCAGAACAAACTGACAATGCTACATAGTAGGTAGTTGCCTGCAAAATTGCCCTGCTATAATTTGTTCCCCCCTTGTAACTTTAAGAAACAAAGGTCAATCAACTCCAAAGTTTCAGGAATGAATTGTCATCATAAAAGATGCTTATAAGCCAAACATGAAAAAGCTGGGACCTTTTTTGTCTGATTTAGACAGGGGGAACAGATTATAGAAGGTGGCCTGCTATAATTTGTTCCCCCCTTATAACTTTAAGAAATAAAGGTCCATCACCTCCAAAGTTTCAGGAATAAATTGTCATCATAAAAGATGCTTATAAGTCAAAAATGAAAAAGCTGGGACCTTTTTTGTCTGATTTAGACAGGGGGAAAAGATTACAGCAGGTTTTATTTCATCCCATATTGCCAATTCTGGCAATATGGGATGAAATAAAACGGCTGATGTTAGAACACAAACTGTTTCTTAAGGATAGTACAACAGTGATAAATTGTAAGTTAATATAAAACACAAATATAGATTTAAGTACTAAATTTCAACCAGGAAAAAATTATTTCCTTCTGCATATACAGTAGTCTTTAATGATTACACGTGCACTCCATTTTCTATTTCATTTTTATTACAAGTATATGGTTTACAACAGATTTCAATAGGATGAGAATATTTGGACACTGAAACAATGAGAGAGTTTTTTAATGAACGTATGGAAAAGAACAAGGACCTGTTTGCTTTCAGAGGAAGGAGTAGACACTGCTGTCAGCGACCAGCTTTCAAGCAAACGTTTGTGTTTTATTATTAGTTTTAGATCAATATCACTGGCGATTTTCTGCTATAACATGTGAAGTAAAGAATAAAACAGTAAAGCTCAACTTTCATACACGTAAAACCTTTCAAATTTCAAGTTCTGCACGTTGGAATTGAGGCGGAGTTAAGTCGGGTTGTTCGTCCTACTCCGTGCGTGCTCCCGAGGAGGGGATACAAATTTTCCCAGGGATAACTACCTTGGCATGACACCGGTAGCTTCTAGCTTCGTCGCATAGCTTCTAGCTTCGTCTCAGCATGTTGGTTTTGTAGGTGTTTCAACAATTACAGTTGCTGTTCTGGGCTGTAGATAGAATCTTTGATCCAAGGCACAAATTGTAAATTAATGAGAATATCTCCAAGTGAAGAAACTCGACTTGGGCTCTGGAGCAGCCGCCATGATGACTAGTGTTGGTAAACACAAACACGCCCTTAGCATGTTTCCTTCCTGTTTCCCTCACTCCCACACAGGAAGACAATACTTCACTGCAGCTTTTAAGTCTCTAGCTGATCCCCAGACTATAAAATAACGCAGTAACGCATCATGTAGTAATGTTAACGGAGTTACTGAATTTAAAAACTAACGTGTTAGCATACTAGTTAGTGAAAAAAATACCGCCGTTACAGTAACGCGTTACTTACTACGCGTTAGTCCCAACACTGTCAATGCCACACAGAGTTATAGCAGCAGATACCTCTCTAGAACAACTGTTAAGAGGAGACTGTATCAGGCCTTCATGGTAAAATAGCTGCTAGGAAACCACTGTTAGGGACAGGCAACAAGCAAGAGACTTGCTTGGGCTAAAGAACACAACGAATGGACATTAGAAAAGTGGAAATCTGTGCTTTGGTCTGATGAGTCCAGATCTGATGAGATCTTTGATTCCAACCATTGTGTCTTTGTGCGATGCATAAAAGGTGAACGGATGGACTCTACATGCCTGGTTCCACCGTGAAGCATGGAGGAGGACGTGCGATGGTGTGGGGGTTCTTTGCTGGTGACACTGCTGGGGATTTATTCAAAATTGAAGGCATACTGAACCAGCATGTCTACCACAGCATTTTACAGCGGCCTGCTATTCCATCCGGTTTGCCTTTAGTTGGACCATCATTTATTTTTTCAACAGGACAATGACCCCAAACACACCTCCAGGCTGTGTACTGTAAGGGCAATTTGACCAAGAAGGACAGTGATAGGATGCTGCGCCAGATGACCTGGCCTCCACAATCACTGGACCTGAACCAAATTGAGATGGTTTGGGGTGAGCTGGACCGCAGAGTGAAAGCAAAAAGGGCCAACAAGTGCTAAGCATCTCTGGAAACTCCTTCAAGACTGTTGGAAGGCCATTTTAGTTGACTACCTCTTGAAGCTCATCAAGAGAATGCAAAGAGTGTGCGAAGCGGTAATCAAAGCAAAATGTGTCTACTTTGAAGAACCTAGATATAAGACATATTTTCCATTGTTTCACAATTTTTTGTTTAGTATATAATTCCACATGTGTTGATTCATAGTTTTGATGCCTTCAGTGTGAATCTATAATTTTCATTAGTGATGCACCGATACCAGTATCGGGCAGAACCCTGATCCAGCACAAAAATGGTGGTATCGGTATTGGCAAGTACCAACAAATAGGGTACCTATACGATTTTAAGAGCCAAAAGTCACCCATTCCAGCTAGGCAATAAAAAGTTCTAATGGAGTCACTTTGTATTAGTCTTTTTCCTGCTTCACAAAGCTAGGCAGCAGCTTTACAAAGCATGATGGCAACAATTTTACATCCAAGTAGAATGCAGGTCTACATATACACACACATCAATTTTAAACAGATGGTATCAATATCTTATATGTATCAGCCAATGCTGCACAGCAAGGTATTGGGTATCGGTATCTTGGCCAAAAAATGGCATAAGTGCAACACAAATTTTCATAATCATGAAAATAAAGAAAACGCTTTGAATGAGAAGGTGTGTTCAAAACTTTGGTCTGTACTGTATATAGGTTTCATTGTTTTGATCTAAGATGTTTTGACTGTTAGTCATGATTTATTTTTAATTTATTTGAGTACTTTAGGCATATTAAAAAGAAAAAAGTTCAAATGTTTGGACACAGAAAGTTGGTTGGAGGAAGCCTCTTTTTTTACTACTGAACTTTACTGCATTTTATCACATTTAAACCAGAAGCTTTAGCACACCTTTTGGGGATTCTACTTGATAGACCACAATTATAAAGTGAAAAGAATATTGATTCTTGAATCTTTTAAAATATGTTACATCTAAAAGTAAAATATATATATATATATATTATTTTAATAAGAATCCAAACCTGCAGTATACAGAAATCTATAAAAAAAAGAGTATACATATCCCATCCTAAAATCAGTACTTAAAATGTGAAAAACTGTTAAGGCAAGTTAATTTGTATATCACAGTTCAAAGTACTTTACATTAATTAAATAATAAAATTTAAGAAAATAAAAGCAGAATAAAAGCAAATAAAGATGAAAAAAAATGTGTAAAACAGTTGGACCACAACCTTAAACTAATAATATCTCAGTAAACAGTTTAACTTCAACAGTTAAAGGCAGCTCTAAGCAAATGGGTTTTTAACTTGGACTTCAAAGAAATCAGGCTCTTAGCACTTCTACAGTCTTCTGGAGGTTTGTTCCAGATCACTGGAGCATAGGAACTAAATGCTGCTTCACCATGTTTTGTTCTAGTTCTGGGTGAACAGAGTAGGCTTGAACTTTAGAGGAGTAATATCTCCAAAAACTTGCATGTATAATTGTAAAAAATTTAATCTGAAACTAATTTTTATGCAACACACATACGTTTTTTCTGAACAATGTAAAAAGAAAATAAATAATTACAAAATAATGTCTTTAAGCAGTCACAAAGCTGATTTCGAAACACTGTTTGCAGCAAACTACCTTTTATTGCAGTTCAAGCTCTGATCTGGCAAACATACTAAATCTAAAATCTGATTATATGTCATAGTTGTGCAATTAAAGCAATTGAAAGGGACTCATTAATCTACCAATGAAAGGTATTTGATAGTAGCTTTAAAAGCTTCTCTACAATGAGACGTCTTGATTTTAAATTCATGTTACTTGCTCTAAAAGCAGCCAGGCAATACTACGACTTTTGCACAGATTTGGTTCAAGCTCAATTACTGACCCTCTTTATCTTACCTTCCTCTATAATAATTTAACAATTTAAGAAAATAGTAGTCCTGTAGATAAAGTCTCTGGTTCAGTGAATTAATTTAAGTTCTTCCTGAGGGAGAAAGTGATTGTGTGCCCCAAATTACTGCACTGTTAAAGTGCTCCAATCAGAGCATGAAAAACAGAAGCGTCCAGATACGGTCACCTCGAGTCTTATATTACTTTACCAAAATCATAACCTGAAAACAAAGTACTTTATTTATTGAGGTATTTAATATAGTGTTAAATATTCATCTTCAGTAAAACAGTTAGAAAAAAATATATTTTTTTACTGACACCTATTAGGTATATCAGGGTTTTTATCACACAGATTGCTATAAAAATCTCTCTCTATATATATATATATATATATATATATATATATATATATATATATATATATATATATATATATATACATATATGTAGATAATATAATATATAATACATATATATATATATACATATATATATATATATATATATATATATATACATATATATATATATATATATATATATATATATATATATATATATATATATATATATATATATATATATATATATATATATATATATATATATATATATATTGTTTTTTTATCCTCAGAAGTAATCAAGAAGGTTAGAACTTTATGATTGTTAAACCAATGCTTCCTTACAGCAGTCTGAACGGAGACCTAAAACAGTTAGAGGTCTTACCTATCCAAACCTATTTGGGATTCCTTTGGGATCAGTTGAATGTAATGAAGCTTTAAGCAGCAGTGTGCATGTGTTTGAGTGGAATGAATCATTATTACATTAGCTCCAAGTGTGGATTTCAATAATATTTTGAAAACAAAGACAATTATTAAGGTTCAGATTTTGTCAATAGTTTATGTTAGTCAATAACATGATGGGAATGCTACTTATACAATATGTTTGCAGTCCCTGTATAGTAAATAAAAACCTACCTTAAAAGTAATGTTCCAAGACCGAAAAAAAAGTGTTAAAATAAATAAGCTCTGGAATAGCTCATTGTATAATGCTATGGTCTAACTCCCTGTTGTGACAACCTGAATAAACAGCAGGCACGCTTCCATAGAAAAGGCCGTTTACTTTCTAGATCCTTCTTACAACTTTTTAACTTCATCTGACTTCATTTTAAGTTTTCATCATCGGTATTAAAAAGTAGATTTTTGTCTTTTTGACACAGTATCGGCTTCCAATGTGACCTAGTAGGGCTTATATAAGGTACCTTTACTGATCCAGAAAGATTAGACTTAGTCTCTGGCTGTCAAAAATCAATGTCTGGGATGCATTTCCAGGAATTAATAAAAAAAAAAAAAAGAAAGAAAAAGCCTGAACCAATGAAACCAAAGTTGTGTTTTTATGAACTCCAATCTTAGTCATGGGCTTTACCTATTGAATTTTGCTCCTGCAACACCTATCTTTCTGCTCTTATTTCAACATATCTGTCTACAACCACTATATCTAGAACTATTTCAAGTATATTTCCTAGAAGCTGTAAAAGCAAGCTGCAAATTGCTTTACATCTTGTGCAAATAGAAATAAAAATCTCATGTAGGCAGGCACTTAAGCAATGAAAGAGAAACTTGCTGTTTTTAGCCCTTCCTTTTAAATGGTTTACATTCCAAACATGGTAGTCTAACATACAGTAACATTTCAGGCTCAGTCAAAGATAATGACACAGACTCTCATGAAGCTAAACCTGAAATTAAATAAATGACCGGTTTACTGAACGACTCTTAGGAGTTTTAGATTTACACATTGCCTCAGAATATTTGCCTAGGCAAGGCAATGCAAGTTTATGCTGTACATATATATATATATATATATATATATATATATATATATATATATATATATATATATATATATATATATGTGTGTGTGTGTGTGTGTGAAGAGACATAGAGAGCATTTTAGTAACAAGACAATTGTAAATGCTGCATATTATATATATGTATATATATAAAGTGAATGAAAACAGCCCTGCCTTCTTCACCCATACTGCTCAGGTGCAGTGCCTTCTCCGCCTCCACTCGTCAAAGAAGCTCACACTGGAATGTCGCTTTCAGTGACATCCCTTTGTTATTTATCATATCACTTCCACAAAAAGCTGAGCAAGGACCTTGCCCCTTTGTAGCTCAGCGCCCCAACCGTATCTGCACCATATAGTCCTTATCCACTTTTTGCACCACTGGACCCTAAGATGGACCAATGGGAAAACATGGGATCTTTGTGGTTTTTCATGTAAAGTTACTGTAAAGTTCAACTGGCCGAAAAAAGATGCCATATGAGCATATACTATATCTTCACACAGACAGGGACTTTAAGGCTTTAAAAAAGTAATAATTTCACAGAAGCTTTTGTACCTTGTAAGCCAAAGCACGTGTTCCCTGCATGCTTTTGAATCGTTTAATACTGCATAGAGTACAAAATGTGACGTTTTCCAGTTTTATTGCAGGGGGAACATTTCCTCGATTTAAATTATGAATTACAGAATGGAGGCTCCCTCCAGCAAGTGTCACAATTAAGAACGATCTAAGATTTCCTCGGGCTGCTTATAAATCCTTGCAAACAATGACATGAGGCCCAACTATAACCTTTCCTACGAATGTCTAGTATATTGCTTAGTATTTAAAGGATAAGATAGGGGCTGCATGTGGAGAGTGGTGAAGGAAGTTTCTTGTCTTGTTTAACAGATTGACAATGCAAAGATAAACACCTTATGTTTGTTTATATTATTGCTTCCAGTTGTCAAAGATAGTTATAATCAATATGCTCCTCTCATCGTCAGGGTGACATTGGCCCGCCTGGTCCTCCTGTGTCTGTAAGTACAATATTGGGATCAAACTCCACATCACACAATCTTTTCATCTGTTTTATTTATGCTTTATTATAAGAGTTATGCATTATATTGAACCTATGCCAGCAGAAGCATATGGCCAAACATCTTTGCATTAGTAAAGGTTTTGTTTGGAGACCAGCAGAAGGAACTAAATGGAAAAACAGTGTTTACCTTTGCTGTCACACCGCCAATATGCTACCATGTCATAGTGTAAGCAATATCCTGCCCCTTGAAGGGGCTGCAGAGCTTTTCTATCTTAAGCTATGTTTATATTTCCTTTCCATCGTGTGTATGAACAGCAGAAGAAAAAGCATAAGGGATAACAGATAAGCTCTTTTCTGTTTAATTTTTTCCAACAAAAAGCTTCTTTGTTGCTTTAGATAATGACTTGCTCTTTACCTACAAACTGCTGGTGGCTGATCTTTACTTAGTATTGTTAAAAAAAAAAAAATCTTACTCAAGCAGTTATTGTTTAAATCTTGTTTGGTACTGCAAAATGCTTAACAATGTGAATAAATGGGGTCACAGTGTCATGATGGGTTCTCAAATGGAGACCCAATTATGCAGAACACCACTAGACGGACACAAGGATGAAAGTTTAACACGTTTATTATGCACAACACACAGAATGTACTGATGACTGGTTCGGGCCTGGGTTCTGGTTTCACCGGAGTCTGCGTGAGAGACAGAACGGTTAAGGACTGCTGACAGGATTTGATTTCCAAGTGAGCTCTGATAGTACCTTGAGGGTTCTTGAGGTTCTCTTTGGGAGAGTCACTGTTGGTTCTGGAGAGGTGTTTATCAGCAGAGTCCGTTTGCTGCTTCAGCGTCTCACGTCTAGCTTGAACAGACCTTAGCTTTGGTTTCCCAGCTCAGGTCCAGAGCTGCTTGGAGGTTCTCAGAGAATCTTCAGGGTTTGGCTCAGAGGGTCGGCTCGGCAGGTTAGCTCTTCCGGAGCTTTCACGGAGGAGACACGGGTTTCCTGGAAACACAGAGATAGTGGTTAGAATCCAACCTGGATTCAAAGACATGGAGATACTCAAAGATCTAGGCTTTAGCGCTGACCAACTGGAACAACACTGCGGCGTTGAGGCAAGGTCTGAAGACAGCTTATATAGTGGATCCTCTGATGATCTAGATGAGCTGCAGCTGTGCAGGAGGCTCCCTCAGAGGATCCACGGCGGACTCTGCTGGAGAAAGATGGGATTTTCTCCAGCTCCCAACACACAGGGCAAGGCCTGTTTGCTTAAGTTAATAACTGTGAATTATAGAAAAAGTTTGTGCTTTTTTTGTAAAATTTTGTAAAGGTATAGATTGAACAGCAATTTATGTCAGGGTGAATATGTATACATTACTGAAAGAGACACAAAATGGTTGCATGGTGAAACTAATGCCTTACCTACTTAAAACATCAAGGGTGGAGGATTAGATTCAGATATGTAAGGCAGCAGTAATATATTAAAAAAGAATAAACAGTTAAAATTGTCCAATAAAAACATGTTCTTGATGCCTTTGTTTCTCAAAGTGAGGGCTTTGATATTTTCATGACTCTCGACTAATGGCTTTTGTTCTGAAGAACAGCTGTCTATTAAACCCACTGAAGCCCTTGCATTGAAGCTTGGAAACAAAGTTGGATCACCCTCATTCATATTCTCATTTTCAGCACTTGTTAACGAGCAATTCATATGGAAATTAGACATGATAATTATAGATCCAAGAAATATCCTCCTTCCCTCTTTTCAATCTTACCAAACAAAAGGCAATTCTCTTTAAACAGACAGAAAACTCTTGGTTGTGGTTTTAAAGGCTTTTTTAAAGAGGTTTAGTTAGTAGTTTTTGCCCTTCAATAAATGACAGCATCTAAACATTGTTTAGTGAAGTGTTTGCCTCTATAGATATTGCATACAGTGGAGTAGGAAGGTATCAGTTACTTGATAAATGAGTCTGTTTGAATATTCTGGTATGCCGTTCTCTGTCTGAGCTCCGCTCCTTCCCATGGCAGATAATTTTGGCAGTAACACATTGATTTCCCTTACACAGCAGAAGCAAGGGTTCACATCATTACCCTCCCTTCATAAAACTTCTCGTGCCTCTGTTTATTAGTGACAAGGAGGGGGAAGTAGACTCACAGACATGCACGGCCATCACATCCAGCTTTGCCCTTTAAGGGAGAAAACAGTCCTCTCTTTATTGCTCCACTGCTGAACACTGGTGTTTTATAATCTGTGAAGCCAAATCTGTTATGCCAATTTATGTGGAAGGATATGGCCCTTTGCAGAATAACTATGCTCTTGCAGAAAGGTTTTGAAGAAATTTCCACAGATGCTAATGGCAATCAAGCTTTTGTTTCATATCCGAGGACAAAGCGGCCCCTTTGTTTTCTAACAGCAGGTAAAGATTGACTGATTATGCCATTGGGAATAAGTACCTTGCTCGTTTGGACCACTGTTGCTAAAAAGAGAGCCATTCATGTCAAGTTCATAGAGACTGTAATCAGAGAAATTATCAGATAGGGCTCAAAGGCACACTTGAATCAGAGAAATCACAATTATAAAGGTAGAGTAATAAAGCTCTTTAACGAAAGGAAATCAAAGGCTCTTTTTTATTTATTTTTGTTATTTATTGTACAAAATGTAAGTTTAAAGAATGCAGCAAAATGTTTACCAAATACTCTATGGCTTTAACCCTAACTTTTAACAAAGTTTATGTATCCAGCCTGTTAACACTGATGTTTTGTAGGAAAGTTTGATAAAATAACCGTTTGTATTAAGCGCTGGCTAACAGGTTTCAACATGTAAGAGTACAGATTGCTAAAAACTGGTTACGGGAAAATTCCCCAAACATTTCTGAAGTTTTGACTGTACTCAGAAAACAATGGATTGGATGCAGGAGTTTGCAATTCAGCCAAAGAGTTGTCAGTTTAAAGGAATAGTACACCCAAAACATGATTAGCCTTCATTTTCTACTCACCCCCATGCTGAACAACACCCTGGAGTACTTTTTTGATATCTCAAATGCATCTGGAGATCTGGGAGGCTTCTTGCTGTCTGCTGACATTCAAATAATGGAGGTCTATGGTGCCCGAGACAGAAAGGTCCACAAAAGTCCACAAAAACGTGTCAATATTCCTCCATACTGCTCGTCCAATGTATTCCAAGTGTCCTGAGTGGGTAGCATCCAGAATTTACTCGAAACAAAGTCATTTAGAATGTTTTTAGAGCATAAACAGTAGTGTATAGGATTTCCTGAAAGCGCGCACATGCGCGATCACGACGCTACGGAAGCCGGCAGACCAAACCAGATGAAACTGCGCATTCAGCGTCTGCTCTTCCAATAATGCAAGCGTAGAAGAAGAAATGTGCCGTTTACCTGTGCAAAGAAAGAAACAACGAAAGAAAAATGTCTGAGGACTTCAGTGTTGAGGAAGAGCATGAGTTCTTTGCCGAGCTGAATGCGCTGGTTTGGTCTGCCGGCTTCCGTAGCGTCGTGATCGCGCATGTGCGTTTTTTGTGGACTTTTATGGACCTTTCTGCCTCGGGCGCTGGGCACCTCCATTATTTGAATGTCAGCAGACAGCAAGAAGCCTCCCAGATCTCCAGATATATTTGAGATATTAAAAAAGTACTCCAGAGTGTTGTTCAGCATGGGGGTGAGTAGAAAATGAAGGCTAATCATGTTTTGGGTGTACTATTCTTTTAAACCCTTTAAATATTGATGTGTCCTTGGGCAAAACCTTTCAACTGCATTTTCTACTGATGGTGGTGTATGTGAATGTCTAAATGTAGTGTGAAACACTTTTTTTCTTTACTTGAAAAGGTGCTATACAATTGCAGGCCATGATGAGTTTGTCCATATGCAAATTTTTCACCATTTGAATGTAATATAATTTTTTTTTATATCATGTGATTAAAACAGCTCATCTAATTCATCTGTCACGCTATCCTTGGTAATGATTTCAAAAAAATCTAAAACAAAATAGTGTTCTGGATATAAATGCTAGATTTTCTAATTAAACTCAGAATGTCACGACTAAGAACAGAAGGACCCAATATTCGGGCAAGGCAGACAGTGGGATTACTCAAAAAGTGTTTATTAAAATAAACAGGTCTGTATTAACAGCTTCTAGGACGTCTGAGGCAGGAAACTCTGGAGAGAAGAAGCACAGGTTGGTGACATACGTAATCTAACGGAGGAACATTCTGAACATGAGTCACTAACCTCGTTTACAAGTTTAGTCCATAGCCAGAGAACAAGGTAGGATCCAGCCAGTGGGCTGCCAACAAGATGCGGCGGGCTCCGCCGAGAGGGTGCCAGATGGTGCAGCCCCAGAGAACATGTCAGAGTCCGAAGCCAGGTCTGGCAAACAGATCAGAACAGTAACAGGCAAGCTCAGAGATCCAGGAGTCCAAAGACAGTTAAGGAAAACCATTTAGACAGGAACAGGCAGGCTCAGAGGTTGAGAGGCAGAACAGGTCGGGATCAGGTAATCAGAAACACTTATGTAGGCTAAACACGCTCTCAACTCTGAGATCAGATGGGAATAGTCAGGCTCAATGGTTGAGAGTCAGAATAGGTCAGGATCATGAAATCAGCAAGGTACACTAAAAACACCCTCACCACTTGTTGGAGAGCACAAGAATAATCTGACGTGATGACTGGGTGCAAGCAGCTTAAATAGAGGTAGGAGCAGGTGGATCAGATGAGCAGTGATGAGAAATAGAGCAGAGTTAGACAGGTTAATGGAATGAGTATTTAAGCCAGTCATCAGTGCCAAGATCATGACACAGAATCAGTAAAATAGATAAAATTGAAGTTTGGGAACCTCTTTCTTTATTTTTTTAATGTTGGCAGTAGTTGCCAGGTTCTTGAAAACCATTTCCAGAACACTATGTCTTTCATTACTTGTAGGTGATGACAGCACATGGGTTAAGACAGCTCTCTGGAACTGTAAGCAAATGTTTATATTATATATTTTATGTATTTTCAAATGTATTATTGCTTCATGTTCCCAGTTTAAATTGAACCGTAATACATTACATTTAGATGTTGATGTAGTATTTTTTTCTCCTATTTTTCCAGGATGAAAGCACTCAGAAGGGTGAAAAGGGAGCCGAGGTAACTATATTTCCTCATTATTGCTTGCAGAGGAAAACCGTACTGTGACTCACTTTTGATTTTCAGGAACTTGGTCCAACATCACAGCGTGAATAATACTTCCTATTTCTTACATACAATCAACAAAAGTGTCATTGAGATTTGATTGTGAAATAACAATTGATCACCTGCTGTTTAGGTGGAGGGTTTTATTGCACCATTGGGTTCAATAGAGAAGGACAAAGTGAATTGTAGAACAAACCACTGTGGATTTATTGTTTGGATGAAAGAACTGCAAATGCATCTACAGTCGAGCATATTTTAAAAGAATCATAGGAGACTTACTTATGGTAGAAATCAAAAAGCATTGGCATACACTCCACATTGCAACGATTTAGGCAATTGTTCTTTGTTTATCTGCAGGGTTTTTACTGATAATAAGCAATTTGAAAGAGCCCCATCTGAACTTTTACTGGAGTAGATTTAGGTAAGCACTGTTTGCAATAGGGAACTATTCTAAGTAAAAACTACAAGTAAGGAATCTTGTGGCCTGAAATTATAATTCAATGATCAGGATCTTCATATGTGATTGAAAAAAAAGGGTATAGAGGATGCTTAAAAAAGAAGAAGCAAGATAAAATATAACACACAGGAAAAGTAGAAAACAATATTCCAGAAAATCCATTAACTTCACTTCCAGCAATTATAGCTTGTCATTATGAGGTAGGTGCTGGGCAAAAAAAAAAAAAAAACATAGGCAGGAAGTATTAGCTTAATTTATGCCAATATGCTGGAAATGTAATCTGAAATACAGGCAGGTAAAGGCAATGTTAGGTTGAACAAAAAAGTACAGATGCATAGGGTTGCCATTTGGGGTGTAAAATCCGGAATCTTTTTATTTGGCAGTTAAATGTTGCATAACGTTTTGAAACAAATAACGTGCGCAGTTAGTGCTTTATAACACTAACAATACTAAAGCTAACAGTAACTAAGAAGAATAATCAACAAAATACTAAGTTCAGTATAGTTGTTGGTGGAATTTAAGTACAACCTGATAATCTGCACCCGTGCTCCTGTCACGGTTGCCTAGAGACAGACCCCACATACACCTCGCTTCCAAACCATGTTGGAAGTGATTCTTCACCACATCCAAGAAAGAATTATTTGAAAATATACCGACCTGATCGGAGATAGGCAAATCATTGACTATTCACCAACATAGAGAGATATTCAACGATTAAATAATCTAAAAGGTCTATCTGTAAAAGAATAAAAATAAACAAACAAATATTGCCAAGATTTGGGGTTTTCTGCACAATTCCTAGATAAAACATATTTCTAGGGTCTTCTTTATATTTTATGTAAAAATTTTAATATTTTTGAGGAATCAGTATTTAGGAATCCTTTCATAAAGAATAAGGAGTTTCCAACAGAAGGCTCGATGTATCTTAGCTCTCATAGAGCATTTGCTTGAGAGAGTTTAATCTATACAATATTTAATATTTAGTATATATTTAAAAAGTTCTTAATTGTTTACCCAACAGAAATTGACACAAATAGAACACCTTTAGCTGCAACTGGAACAGAATCTCATTAACTTAATTGTGCAATAACTGAGTTATGTGCATGCAGCAGTGTATTATATCTTTCTTACTGTTAGTGTGGCACCACAGATTTAATCTGTTATATCTGCAGAGCCGCATGTGGCTCTTTGGCTCACTTAATATATCAAACGATGAACTGTTGCCCTGTTTTTATTTCATGCTTTGTTCCTGTGCCCCCCATGGACCCCACACTGAACAGCCCTCACACACCCACACATGCACTTAATGAACGTTGGCAACCCTACAGATGTATTTAAAATAGAACACCATCTGGCTTTTTTAACAATCAAGAGGAATCACAATTTCTGTATAAAGGTTAGATCTACATATCCTGAACCTAAAATAGCCCTAACACAAAACAACTAATGCTTCATGTTAGTCAGTGGTCAGCAGATTAGAGATACAAAAACAGGTGTTAGAGAATAAAAAAAAAAAGACAAAGATGACAAATTAGTTCAGATGGTCACGACCAGACTGGAAAGTCATAAAGCAGATAAAGAGCAAAAAAAAAAAAAAAAAAAGAGGTAATATTGAACTTTTTTAAACAGGAAAGTGGTAGAGGTCCATAAGTGAAAATAAACTATAAGAGTAGGAGAATAAAAAAGAATAAATAAATTTTTGCTAATCAACCCAAAAAATGAAGTAACCAGCCTAATATCCGATTTGTGCATCTCTTATCATACCGAGTAGATCTGACATCTTTAAGTACAGAGCATAAGAGTTTTTGTGTAAACAGATGAAATGTTAATTTTCATCATCCAAGCATCAACCTCAGTATGTTTCAAATGACAGAAAATTCCAAGGACATGACAAAGCAATCAAAATAAAGACTTAGTAAGACTTCAACTCGTTTCAAACAATGTAACATTTACTAAATTTAATACAGTGCTAAATTTGCAAAAGGTTTTCAGTTCTCACCTCGTATGTTTTCACAGTTCACATATAAACTTAAGGCAGGAGATAGGGATATTCAGTACCTCATATGTGGTATATAGTTAATATCTCATTAAATCACACAATATGTTTACAATTGCAGATTAACAGAGTTGGATAAGGGTGTTGCAGCTTTAAAAAACTTTTCGACTCCCTACTGAGAATACCAAGCAGTTTTAAGAAAAGAGAATGCAGCACCAACTTAAATGAATAGCTTCAACTGGTAACAAGTAAATAAATTAGGTTTATCAAACCTAATTTAATTCTGATGGTTTAACTGAACAACTTATAATGTACACTAAATAAATTAGGTTTGACACTTGTTACTAATTGAAACGGCTTGTTAAAGTTGAAGCTGTGCTCACTTTTAAAATGTAGTTTGATAGTGTGGGTTAACAGTTTTTTATGGCAAGATTTCCATTGCTGGAGGCTCTCCATATGCAGAGTAATATCGAGATGAAATTCTTCAACCAGTGGCCATGCCTTATCTCCACCGTCTTCTCCAACATGTCAGCACTTGCCTACAGAAGGCAGCTTTATCACTGACTACCACCAGAATTTGGAAGTGAAGATGAGTGAATAGCCTTCTGCTGTCCTAACCTTAACTTCATTGGAAACTAGTGGAAAAGTTTGGATGTGCTATTTTCATGCCAGAATGTCCAACACAGTCACATTTTGATTGACATCACCAATTTAGATGTGGCACAACACTTAGGCTAACTAGTCTTCTACAAAGCCATCTTTTTGCTTTTCTCCTGGATTTTGGTTTACATAAAGCAATGCCAGAAGGATTCACAGCCTCACATCTGTAGTTGAGTCCAACTGTAAGTTTAAAAGTGAAGAACAGCGGTGTGTTTGGAGACAGAATTGCATTTGAATATTGTAAAGTTCTTGTTGTGGAGTACCTTTAAATAGAGGTGCAAGGTGCTTGCGTTTGCGTACAGTTACCTGTCATACAACCTGTTCCTTCAAACAAGCTAGTAGCATTAAACACTCCAATCCAATACATTGCACCAAACAAGAGTCAGTGTCAGAATAGCCAGTTTGTTATTGGCAGAGAGGGTTTTGCAAGTTTTTCATGGATGTAGCCTGTGTATTCAGCTCTGCTTCTTTAACCTTAATAAAGAATTTTCCTTCCAAATGTGGATCAAATATAGATCTGTTTATGTTGAAGTTTTTAAACTTAAAGTTTAGATTTAACTGTGTGGAGACACTGTACGGGTCACATTTGTATTGGTACCCCTGATAAAGATATGTAAAAACAGCGTCTATTTCAAAATATATTTTTAACAACCTCAATAGTGCAGGCTGTCTCCATAGCAACCATTCCACATTTTTGAGTTTGCTAGTTTTTTATAGATAGTTATTAAGAAAATGTTGCCAGGGTCAGATCAGATGACGTTTATGGGCTTTTTTTCATGTAAAACAACAATTTTAAATAAAAAATAAGAGAAAGAACATAACAAAAAAACATAAGCAGGTAGACACACTAGTTCACCACACAAAATCAATCTTTTAAAACGGCCACAGCCATAAATCCAATATAAAATCTTAAGAGTTTAGCGATTATGCAAAGAGGGATGGTCAAATATCCCTATCTCGTCTTTACAGTGGGTGTAAATTGAGATGGTTTTCACTTAAAACTTAATGAAATGCAATGTACCATTGTCCAAAATATATTTTCATACAATCTGTAAAAAAAATTCGAAGATTTTAAGCTTTTTTACATATTTATTTTTTAAACAAGATCAAAAGATTCTAAAGCAACAAATTCTATATCATTTCATTTAAAGTGGAGAGAGGATTCACTTGTTTTCTCTTGCTTTTAACTGTTGTAACACAAAGGCTTATATCTTGAAAAACCTTGTGGAGTCCTTTTAAACCTCACCACAGTCGGGAAGACAAATGAGTGGCTTCACCATTTTTCTTTGTGCCTGTTTTTACAAAGGATGCCCTCCTGTTTCTTTACCTGTCTGCAGGGCGAGAGAGGAGCTCAAGGACCACCGGGCCTTAAGGTGACTTATTGAGAACCCCAGTCTAGCACTTACCTCTGAACATCAATATCTAGTGCCAATAAAGTAAAGCTCAAATGACATCCAGAAAGAACTGCTGTTTGTAGTTTTTCTCAGGGTCTGTGTAACAATATCAAGAGGTAATAGCACTTTAAAGTTTATAGGCTGTTAGTAGTCATTTTTTCTGTAGAGAAAGCTTTTCTTTTGACATATGTTCTGAGATAAGACAGCAGACACACTATGAGTTATGTTTCTGAGCTGTCATCAGTGGTTTAATTCATTTCCTCTTTATAGTTTGTATTTCCTGAGGTTTGAAAATGTTGTTCGTGTGCACAAAGGTTCTAATGCTTTCTGAGTCAAGGATGAGTCACATATGAACTCATGTTTTTCTAACAACAAAGAGCAAAAAAGAATGTTTTTTTTCTTTTTTTCATTTTTCCTTTATCCCTTCTATTTCTGTGGTGTGATGATGTAACAGGGAAGCATAGGACCACCGGGACTGAAGGGAGATCAAGGACCAGAGGTACATAAGCCTTTTTTTTTATTTGCATTGTATGAACGCTTTTTTTTTCTTTAAGAGAAGGCTAAGTCCAGAGAAAATGACTTAATAAAAATAAATGCTTAGCAAAATAATACCCCTTAAAGCATTTTAGAACATGTATGTTCACAAGCACCAGCATCAGTGCAATTAAATCTGATTTTAATTGAAAGAACAGGACATTTCTTTTTTAATACAGCTGTTCTCAAGTTAAAAAGATAAATTAATGAACAAACACCATTACAAAGACTAAGAAACAAAATAAACAAGTAGATGTTTAAAGCAGGGTAATCTTATAAAACAATCTCCTAACCTTAAAGAACCACTGAGTAGTAGTCCTTTTATCTGAAGATGGAATATGGTGCAGATGCAGACATATTTATGGTTGTCCATTTTAGAAGAGAGGCAAATTAAGCTTTTGTAATAAGAAATAATACTTATATTTATGTCATTAAACGTCCAACTTGAACTTTGCTGCCAGCTATGTAAGGATACACATAAACATAAGGAAGAGGTTACTCTGGTCTGGTTAGACCAACATGTCATTTTTTGGCCCAACACCATGTGAGGTCTGTCAGGTTGTGTGAAGGTTTGTAGAGGACCCAAATGTATAGGCGGAAGTAGAAGTGATTTCTTGTAGATCTAATAACAAAAAAGGTGGCAACTGAACCAAAAATCCAAATATAACAAAATACAGAAAAAATAAAATCCGTGAGATATCAGGGAAAACGCACATGAAGAGCCAAGAAATGACGAGGAACCAACAAAGAGTGACTGAACAGGAGGAGTATACAGTATATGGGAGACAGAAACAATTTGAGGACCAATTGTCAGACGAGAAGTAGGTGTGGACAGACAATCTAGAAGGGAGCTAGAGAAGGACACTGACACACGAGGGCAACAGAGGGTAAATAAGAAATGCAAAATTCAAATACAACTAGAAAATTAAACCAACAAAACTCAAAAAAGAAACTTTAAACAAAACCAAAAAATGACAAGGTCCAAGTCCACACCTGCATCCAATAGAGAATCTAAACCATATTGCAAAACTTTCATTTAAAGTCTTGATTCAAATCAGGAATGAGCTGTTTTGCAAAGAATTGGCAACAGTTTTGGTCTCTGCCAAGCAAAAACTAGCTGAAATATATCCAAATAGACCCAGTGTAAGAATTTAAGCTTAGAAACTTTAGTTCCAGAGGTTCTTAATGAGGCTGAATACAAATGGAATCTGCAGCTTTCAGAATTTAAGCAAATCATATTTTAAAAACACAGAATATCATTTTAATTACATTTCATGCTCACTGTGTAAATTTATGTTGGTCGGCCATGTATGATCCCGATAAAATAATGAAAGTTTTTGGTTGTAACATGAAAAAAATAACACTACTTCTTATTAGTTATGTGAATTGCAAGGTTGAGTTGTTTACCACATCATGCATAACAGAATGAAATAAAACAAGCTTTTTAAACTCCTACTTGTCAGACCAACAATTTAACTGGGCTGATAAGATATTGTCTTAATTAGCCTGGGCCAGGGGGTATAACTTTAATTAAATGCAGTAGATTGACCAAAGTATTGCTTTTTGCTTTATAATCTACAAGGGAAAACAAGGTCTACCTGGATCCATTGGGCTTCCTGGACTCCCAGGCAATGCTGTAAGTACTCTGGCACTAAACAGCAGCACTTAATGTCAAGCTTTTCTTTCCCCTCCGTGCCTTATCTGTCACCTTGCCATATCCTCTACTCTACTAACTCATCCTGTCAAGGCAAAAAAGAGAGATAAACAGATCAACCTGAACAGACAGAGACAGAGAGCAGGTCAGGAAAAAAAAAGTCTGGATTTGTTTTCTTTTTTTTTACGTAGAAGATCAGTAATCAAATTTAAAAATTAAGTAGTGGAAAGAGGCAAATCTAAGCGCTTTATGCCAGCGACGGAGGCAGCAGCCCAATCTGTTCTCTGCACCTGCTTCGGTAATGAGCATCTGTCTTTATTCAAAAGCAGGGAGGAAAAGAGGCATTTCATAAATCCTGGCCAGGGGAAGTTTTGTTGGAGCACATCTGCCCGTTGAAGCAGTGAGGAGGAGGAGATAAATGTGTGTGTGGGGAGATGAAGGCCTAGTGATAGATGTGTCTCTTTTCACCACCATTTACAGGGCTTACCAGGGGAGCCAGGGGTGCCTGGGAGAGATGGCCTGAAAGGAGAAAAGGTAAGTAAACATCAAATCAAGCTCTCACCTCAAAGACAAATATAAACCAAAGATCTTTTATCACAACTTGAACATCCTAGACAACTCGTACGTACAGACACCTTCCAGATTGCTCGTCCTGCACACCATCCTCAATTATATTGTGGCTTTATGTTCTCATGTCTGATTTCAAGCAGCTGAAAGCAGTGAAGTAGGAGTGTGGAAAAGTGTGTAGTTGGAATTGAATCTCAAAAGCTGTGTTTCACTGTGAGGCTGAGGTAAACCAAAATGACTTGAAGAAGTACTCTTATGCTTTCATTTAAATAGTAGAACAATAGAATTTATTTGAGTGCATTTACTGTACTTGTTAAATATGTATCACTCTTTGGACGGTTTCTCGTTTTGGCCTATTTTCTATATAAAGCCACAACATTTTATTTTAAAACAAAAACCTCTTGATCATTTTAAAATTAAATAGACCAAATACAAATTTAAAACAAATGATTAAAATTTTGTTTAGAACTCTATCGTCACCCAGGGACATGGCCTCGTTCTTAACTGAAACGTGTTTTTAATCCACTATTGTATTCAAAATAATAATACCCAGGGTCTTTCTACATGGAATTTGCATGTTGTCCCTGTGCAAGCGTGGGTTCTCTGGGTACTCCAGCTTCCTCCCACAGCCCGAAAACTTTACTGTTTCGCTAATTGGCTTCTCTAAAATTCTCCTTAGGTATGATAGGGATTGCTGTCGACCCACCAAAGCTGCTTCCAATAGACACATCCAAAGACATCTTGGTCCCAGGTGCTCTATTTAAAAAGAAATTAAAAATCCCATTCATTGCTAAATTCATTCATAAAATAGAAATAACAAATTATGATGTAGTTAATGAGATATTTTTTATGTTAATCAGATCCAATCAGATGACCAAATTGAATAAAATGTATGCCAGTCAAAAACAGATTAAAATGTATGCCAAAAAAAATAAAATGAAAATTTGATGACTGATCAGTTTAACAAAAAAGACTAACTATGTTGTCTTAAAACTGATCAAACTCTGCTGTGAATAAATTAAATTAAAATATAAGATCCAACATAAAATACAGATATTTAAATAAGAGGCCAAGCTCCTGATGTTTGTGAAAGAAACTGAACTGTTTATCTTGCTCCTTCACAGGTCCATTTTCCTTGGTGCAATCTCTTTAAATATTTTTAGGAAATGGGAAGCCTAAATACCATTTTCGCTATAAATTCATAATTTTTATGCAATGCTTTATGTCTTTCCACACATAAATGTATATTTGTATGAAAAGGCAAACATTTTGAAGGGACATTGGGTACGTAATTAGCTGGCATTTAAATGTTAATTTAGGTCCTAACAACATCAGAGATCCAACAGTTCTGACACCAGTCTTGTGATACAGGTGCAAATTCCAGCTGTTGGTCCTGTAGGTAAGAAGAGGAGAAGGAAGGAGAGTGCAAGGTGTGGTTTGTGCATCTAGTGCAGAAGCCTTAAAAAGCAGAGTTGAATTTATGGTAGAAGAGTTAATTTTTAAACATGAGTAAATTAAAAGAAAATGGACTTCAGCCAAAAAAGGTAATTACCCCAGGGCAAAAGGGCAGGTACTTGAACAAACCAAGGTATGTATCTGTGCCTGGCTCCCGGCCCACTGTGTGTGGATCAGGTCACAAGAACATAACCAAAGTCAAATGAAATTAGTGGGACAAAGTCAATCCTACTAAGCAAAGGTAGCAGCTGCTGCAGTATGCATCTACTGAAGATATGCATGTCATGATTCAAAACAGAAGGACCCAGTATTCATGCAAGACAGACAGTAGGATTACTTCAAATGTGTTTATTATAAAAGCTGGTGGACTGAGGAAACACAGGTTAGTAACCACGTAAATCTAATGGAGGAAGATAGTGAATGTGAGTCTTTAACCTGGTTTACGGGTTCAGTCCATCACCAGAGAACGAGGTAGAAACCATCCGGTCGGCTGCCAACAAGATGCGGCGGGTGTCGCCAAGAGTGTCCAAGACACTGCAGCCCCGGAGAACCAGCAGGGGTCCAGAGCCAGGTCAGGCAAACAGATCAGAACAGGAAGGCTCATAGATCCAGGAGTCCGAAGTCAGGTCAGGCAAACAGGTCAGAACAGTAACAGGCTGATTCAGAGGTCCAAGAATCCAAAGACAGTTCCGGTAAACCATTCAGACGGGAACAGGCAGGCTCAGTGGTTGAGAGGAAGGATCAGGAAATCAGAAACAACAAGGAACTCTAAAAACACTCTTGCCACTGGCTAGAGAGAACAAGGATAATATGGCCCTGATAACTGGATGCAAGCACCTTAAATAGAGGCAGGAGCAGGTGGAACAGATTAGCACTGATTAGGCACTTGGCAGAGGTTGACAGGTGAATGGAATGAATAATTATGAGCATCTAGTGTCTGTCTGATCTAAGAAGTATGAGGCTCTAAAAAAGGCCACAAAAGGTTTAAGATGGTGTTTAAGAACTTTGCTTCTTTTACATAACCTGAGTGTGTTTTAACAGCGTGCATGAGAATCCTAACACAGAGCTAAGCCCTAGCCGATGCAGTGCTCATGGTAATGCTTTGAGTTGTAAGCAAAGGGTTCCATAACATTGGTCATGTGCTCTACAAGTTGATGTATCCTGGAATCTCAGTAATTTAACTTGTATGATGTGAAATGACAAACTGGTCATTAGCTATGAAACCATGATATAACAGGGGCTATATACAGTATGTGCTTCAGAAAAACTGTGAATCCAAAGCATTTGTTTGTTTATTTGTTTATTTATTATTAGGATCCCCATTAGCTGTGCTTTACACCCAGCTACTCTTCCTGGGGTCCACATCATTGAAATACAGTATACAATGAAAATTCATGAACATGTTTGACAGATGACAAATATCATATACATATCAATAAGACTGAGCATTCATAGAAAAGGGGAAAGTTACAATTTAAAATTTTAACATTTTATGAATAACATTACCGTAAGACAAAGCAGTATATTTTAGAAAACAAACTCAGTGAAATACTGTTTAGATATTTTAAAATCTTTTGTAGCAGTATTTGATTTTATTTATCAAGTTATTATCTGTAATCTTAAAAACTGGTTTTAATGGTTGTTTTGTTATTGTACTTTTGAGATATGAAATCTATTTTTGTCTTGTTCAGGATCAAAACTATATTTTTCTACCTGTTTTTTTTGATACCACATCTGAAAAATAAAACAGAAACTGGATTGGTATGTAAATACATAGGTAGCAAAGAGGCTAACATCTGTTAAAGTCTGCACATGCATATCAGCTCTGTGTGCCTTTGATTTTCCATTTCACTGAGTATGAAAGCCCATTTCCACTTTGTTTATTAACGGAAATTGGTCTTTCTGCCCACAGGGAGACTCTGGTGGAGTGATTGGGCCACAGGGGCCTCCTGGTCCTAAAGGGGAACCTGGAGAACCCGGTGGTGGATATATGGTTGGTGTCATGTACTGCACTACATGTACAAATAATTTTAATTTACATTTTAGTTAGTATTTAGTTTAGTTCAGTTTATTCTATGGGAATTTGTGTTAGATAGAATAGAATCCAGTGATTACATGGGAAAATATAGGATGTGTTAATATACACTCACCGGCCACTTTATTAGGTACCCCATGCTAGTAATGGCTTGGACCCCCTTTTGCCTTCAGAACTGCCTCAATTCTTCGTGGCATAGATTCAACAAGGTGCTGGAAGCATTCCTCAGGGAGTTTGGTCCATATTGACATGATGGCATCACACAGTTGCCGCAGATTTGTCGGCTGCACATCCATGATGCGAATCTCCCGTTCCACCACATCCCAAAGATGCTCTATTGGATTGAGATCTGGTGAATGTGGAGGCCATTTGAGTACAGTGAACTCATTGTCATGTTCAAGAAACCAGTCTGAGATAATTCCAGCTTTATGACATGGCGCATTATCCTGCTGAAAGTAGCCATCAGAAGTTGGGTACATTGTGGTCATAAAGGGATGGACATGGTCAGGCACAAAACTCAGGTAGGCTGTGGCGTTGCAACGATGCTCATTGGTACCAAGGGGCCCAAAGAGTGCCAAGAAAATATTCCCCCTCAACATGACACCACCACCACCAGCCTGAACCGTTGATAAAAGGCAGGATGGATCCATGCTTTCATGTTGTAGACGCCAAATTCTGACCCTACCATCCGAATGTCACAGCAGAAATCGAGACTCATCAGACCAGGCAACGTTTTTCCAATCTTCTATTGTCCAATTTCGATGAGCTTGTGCAAATTGTAGTCTCAGTTTCCTGTTCTTAGCTGAAAGGAGTGGCACCCGGTGTGGTCTTCTGCTGCTGTAGCCCATCTGCCTCAAAGTTCGACGTACTGTGCGTTCAGAGATGCTCTTCTGCCCACCTTGGTTGTAACGGGTGGTTATTTGAGTCACTGTTGCCCTTCTATCAGCTCGAACCAGTCAGACCATTCTCCTCTGACCTCTGGCATCAACAAGGCATTTCCGCCCATAGAACTGCCACTCACTGGATGTTTTTTTCTTTTTCGGACCATTCTCTGTAAACCCTAGAGATGGTTGTGCGTGAAAATCCCAGAAGATCAGCAGTTTCTGAAATACGAAGACATGCCCTTCTGGCACCAACAATCATGCCACGTTCAAAGTCACTCAAATCACCTTTCTTCCCTATACTGATGCTCGGTTTGAACTGCAGGAGATTGTCTTGACCATATCTACATGCTTAAATGCACTGAGTTGCCGCCATGTGATTGGCTGCTTAGAAATTAAGTGTTAACAAGCAGTTGGACAGGTGTACCTAATAAAGTGACCGGTGAGTGTATATGATGTCCTTCAAAGTCTAAGTAAAGTTGGTAATGCAGGATTCAGCAAACACATCAACAGAGAGGTATAACACCATTAGAACTTTCTATGGTTAATATATTTTGTTCACGTTTCTATTCAAAGCTTTGCTAGATCTAACCTGGAAGAAAACAGGTCATTATGTGTAGTTCAATTTGAATTCTACCACTACTGTATCAATCTGGAAACCCTCCTCTAGAAAGTGTTCGTAAAATATAGGGATGTTCAGTACTATTCTTTTAGCTGATTGGGTGCCTTCGTCCCATGTCTAGGTTTTAGCCAATCACAGTAGCAGAGGCAGCTGCAATGTATCACATTCTTGATTTCTTTCACAACTAGCGGAATTAACTGCTAAATTAAACCCCTACCAAATCCGGTACAGACGAATGAGCCAACATCTTTCCCAGAGGGTATTCCAACTAAAACTGAGGCGGCCATGTTTGTTTTTCTTTAGCCTTCCACCATTGGTTGACGCCTCAACATCATCCATGTAACTTTATTTCGTTGGTCCGAAACAATTCTGTATGGAGGCTAATGCATCTATTGGCTTCTGGCAAAATATCTTTTCTGGAATTTGTGAATTCTCAAATCTTACATACCTGGCCTATAAATGCAGTGATAGTGACTGCACTGGTCCTACCAGTGAGTGCACTTTCTGCCCCAGCATGTCTGTTGGACAGTTTACCACTCCATAATATTAGAGAGATACAAGAACATTAAGCAATCCATTTCTGGCCGTTTCCAACCCGTGTAATCACCTATCCTTCCATTTTGGTGCTAATAGCTGTTTAAGCACTTTCTTTTATGGAAATAGCTTCTCAGACAGAAGTGCCTGAGTCGTGCTCGATAGCTCCTGCGCTCCCTAATCGTAGGCAGTGCTCTTTAAACAATCATGTTTGTTTATCTGTGAAAAGATGAGGCAGAACATTAGGCCCACTGTAAGCAACGTAATAAGAGGCAGACAGCACACATATTTAAACCGCTTGAAAATGATCCAGCTCTCGTAAACTTTGTGAGCATTTTTGAAATATTTGTGTGTGTTTATGATGATAAACTGACCCTCAGTGAACTGTAGTTCTAAAGCTCAACAAAGAGAAATCGCTTTCATTTATGGCAGACATCCCTCTGTGTTTTACAGAGGTCATTTCTATGAAAAGGGATTACAAGAAAACACATTTATAACACTTCAGCGTAGGGAAAAGCCAAGAATAAAAAGCCAGAGCTTTTTTAAATGAGTACTTCAAGTAACTTAATTGGTTTTGCCTTGACATAAATAACAATTAAATTACTATTGTTTGTTTCTGTACTATTATTATTACAAATTAGCAGTCGCTCTGTTCTCTTAAATAATGACAGATGTTCTATTTGTTTCAGTAGAGTGCAGATGCATAAAATCTATTACAAGTTTTCTTTTAAAAAAGTAATCATGAAAAATTGTACTTGTCTTGAAAAAGTGTTTTTTTACTTTCCCAGCTTATTTGTTTGATCTTTAAGAGTACCACCCCCCACCTTTCAATACTGTAGAATTGCTGTGTTAGTCCGAATCCAACTTCAGCAGAACTAATTTACATTGTGCAATGTAGAGCTTGTAACACTAATAAATGCTGACCAAAGAAATCAATGTCTCATCTGGATGGCGCAGTGAATAATGCTTACACTAACCTCGCTTCCAATCAACGTTTTGTTCTCCACCTTGTAGCATTATTGCTGTGCCTCCTCACATTGAAAGTAATAAAACAGCGCTCAACAAGTCCTCATAATGCGCCTCCGTCTTCAACTTGCTGTCATTTGTTGAGGTTGTACAAGTTGGAGAATCCAGTTTTAATTAAAGCTCTATAATTTGTACTAAAAGAGAACGGCTGCAGCTCAGTTGACAAGATTTACTGGTAGAGGTCCAGTGATTTCCAACTCTGATGTCTTCTTCCTGCTTTTTTCAGAGTGAAGGGCTGTCACTGAATAGAGGGTCTCGCGGGCCTAAGGTAAGAGCCAAAGTGAGGGTGGAACATAATAACATAGCCTCTGAAAAATGGAACACTGGTGTCAAGAGTCCAACCAAATAAGGGTAAAAATGGTCTGACCTTTATCTTTGATTTTAAGAGCTGAGAACTCTTAAAGTAAAAAAATCTATGTTCCTAGAAATGCTTTAACATTTTTAATACTTTCACATGTTAATCAGCATTTGCACATCTCCTCCTAGAGTGATAAATGTACAATTGAGATTAAAATTAAATGTAGTTAAATTAATTGCAGTCTCATTAGCAACTTACACAGCTAATTATTTTTGGTTTTGCCCTTATTTTTATTTATCTATCCATCTGTTGTCTATATATACATGTCTGCTCAAAAGGGGCCTGGGTTTTCTTTAGAGATCTTACAGTAAAGCAAACTAAATACAAGAGCACACCACAGTTGTTGCATATTTACTAGGAGAGATTTTCTTTTTTAAATTTCCCTTACTTCACAGCATGCATTCAGTACATGAAGGTCTGAAATGAGTTTTTGTTTTTGGTAAATATAATAATAATAATAATAATATATTTCTTTAAATAATTGACCTTTATAAATCTGACACTGCAAAAATGTACTTCTACTCTCCGAGCTGCCATTGTGCAGCACTCAGGGAGCAGGGTGGGGTGTTTGTGAGGGATATTTGTGACATTGCTATGAATGATGATAGTGATGATTAATATCAGTGGTGTCATCTCTGTGATTTAACTTGCATATAACTGCCTAGAATAGGTTTAGATATGCATTGAGCTCCAATATGTTGGCAACATCAACTTTTAGGAAGTATGAGGTTGTTTTTGACATGGATGTGATTTCCCTGGTCATCTTGTTGCTGATAATGAGCTCTCCCCATGTTTTGCTTTGAGTTAGATCAAGCTTCACATTAGGCTCTAGCAAAATGCAAACATCCAGATTAGGATATATTGCTGGATTGATAAAAAATTAGCTCCCTTTCATTTTCCTCAGTTTGGAGTAGTGGATAATGTAGCGGAAATCCCCACAGCTCAACAAAACACTAAAACAGCCACGTATGGCCCAGTAATCATTAATATGAAAGATAAGTGTCAGAAATTGGTTTGGATGACTAGATTTTCATTATGCAAAAGAGCACCTGTGACATTCTAACCTCCACGTGTCCGTCTCCACTGCGTGCCACCTCAGATAGAGCTGCTGGAGGAGCGCCCAGATGCAAATTACAGGCAGAGGCGTAATAGAGAATCTTGAGATTTAAGACTTTTTGATCAGTGACCATAAGATCAGTGCCCATGTAGATTAAAGATTAAAGAATAATATATCCCCTGGATAAATTAAAGAAATAACTTATTTTTATTCTATGTTGTCTTTAAAAAAAGAAAAGGAATATATATATATATATATATATATATATATATATATATATATATATATATATATATATATATATATATATATATATACACTCACCGGCCACTTTATTAGGTACCCCATGCTAGTAATGGGTTGGACCCCCTTTTGCCTTCAGAACTGCCTCAATTCTTGGTGGCATAGATTCAACAAGGTGCTGGAAGCATTCCTCAGGGAGCTTGGTCCATATTGACATGATGGCATCACACAGTTGCTGCAGATTTGTCGGCTGCACATCCATGATGCGAATCTCCCGTTCCACCACATCCCAAAGATGCTCAATTGGATTGAGATCTGGTGACTGTGGAGGCCATTTGAGTACAGTGAACTCATTGTCATGTTCAAGAAACCAGTCTGAGATGATTCCAGCTTTATGACATGGCGCATTATCCTGCTGAAAGTAGCCATCAGAAGTTGGGTACATTGTGGTCATAAAGGGATGGACATGGTCAGCAACAATACTCAGGTAGGCTGTGGCGTTGCAACAATGCTCAATTGGTACCAAGGGGCCCAAAGAGTGCCAAGAAAATATTCCCCACACCATGACACCACCACCACCACCAGCCTGAACCGTTGATACAAGGCAGGATGGATCCATGCTTTCATGTTGGAGACGCCAAATTCTGACCCTACCATCCGAATGTCGCAGCAGAAATCGAGACTCATCAGACCAGGCAACGTTTTTCCAATCTTCTATTGTCCAATTTCGATGAGCTTGTGCAAATTGTAGCCTCAGTTTCCTGTTCTTAGCTGAAAGGAGTGGCACCCGGTGTGGTCTTCTGCTGCTGTAGCCCATCTGCCTCAAAGTTCGACATACTGTGCGTTCAGAGATGCTCTTCTGCCCACCTTGGTTGTAACGGGTGGTTATTTGAGTCACTGTTGCCCTTCTATCAGCTCGAACCAGTCTGGCCATTCTCCTCTGACCTCTGGCATCAACAAGGCATTTCCGCCCACAGAACTGCCGCTCACTGGATGTTTTTTCTTTTTCGGACCATTCTCTGTAAACCCTAGAGATGGTTGTAAATCCCAGTAGATCAGCAGTTTCTGAAATACTCAGACCAGCCCTTCTGGCACCAACAATCATGCCACTTTCAAAGTCACTCAAATCACCTTTCTTCCCCATACTGATGCTCGGTTTGAACTGCAGGAGATTGTCTTGACCATGTCTACATGCCTAAATGCACTGAGTTGCCGCCATGTGATTGGCTGCTTAGAAATTAAGTGTTAACGAGCAGTTGGACCTAATAAAGTGGCCGGTGAGTGCATATATATATATATATATATATATATATATATATATATATATATATATATATATATATATATATATATATATATATATATATATATATATATATGAAGTTCATTCAAATATGAAAAACCACTGATATATGAAATCTTATTTAAGGTTTTCCAGTGGGACATATTAAAGAAACCCTCTGAGAGTTAGCAAAGCATGTCTTTCCATTCGGGATCAATAAAGTATTTTTGAATTTAAATTATATTTTCATACTAAAGTACCCTGTAAAAATTAATTTCATTTTTCATCCAAATATCTTCTTCAGTTCTGAACACTGGTTGCATTAGCTTTTAGCTGATATATTTAGAGCAGTCACAATGTTAAAGCCACATGAGTTACCAGCTCTACCATACCTCAGATTCAGTCTTTGGTTGTTTTCATTTGAGGATCAAAACATGTTGCTTCACAGAGATTGTTCCAAATGTTTTCCAATAATAATTTTCCTATTGGCTCTCTTCCATAAGGGGCATATTGTTGATGTGCATGACTAATACTTTTTGTATTTCAACTCGTTCTGGGGAAAAAAATCCCTTCACAAAGCAGCTGTATGCTGCAATCAAAATGGGCTTTATTAAGTAATATTGTGCCTTCTAAAGACTGCATTATATCTACAGTATATTTCTCATTTATACATATAATAAAAAGTTCTTATAAAAGGCCTTGCATCATGTGGTTGTTATGTGCTGAAATCTGGACAATTTAAAGGGGAGGGAATGCTTTTGCATGCAAGTCAATTTTAGTTGTAGAACCATTTTATATAGCACCTGCCATCTGTTGCTCCATAAGGACTCAAATATTAAACTAAAATCTCTAACTCTACCATAGAGCTTTTTTTGTTTGATGCAAAGTTATTTTATTGTATAGTTTACAAAAAGTGCTTTATATAAATGTGTTTTGTTTAATTTAAATATTAAAGTTGCTCTCACATGCAAAGAGTAATAAAGATTAACCTGTTAATGCCGTCCTTTTATTTAGACACAATAGATAAGACCAATTGGGTTTAATAGTTATTATTCAATGTTGTAGGGCTATATCTTATGGATTTCTCACACCTTTTGTTTGTCAGGGTGAGAGAGGTGTGCCTGGACTGCCTGGAGACCATGGAGAGAAAGGAGAACCTGGGGAGAGCATTATTGTGAGTATGATGTTGTATTGATTGGCCCATCACTCATTCATTTATAATTTAGTACAAACCATGATAACTTGCCATACAAAACTAAAGAGCATCAAGATAAGTAGTCATTAAACACATCTTTAGGTGAAAACAAGGGTTATTATTTTCTAGGGGCTGGCGTATTGCGTTCTAGATTCATTATAAACTGTAGTGATTCATCGATATGTACTTTGAACCTTCAAAATTTGACTGTGAATGAGAGTGTGTTCATTTTTGAAGCATGGGGTAGTTGGAGACAAAGAATCAATAGAGCAAAAGGTGCCTAACACAATTACTGTACTGGATCAGGGTGCTAGAGGGCAGATGGTGTTAACAAGATGTGTGATGTGTTTGTAGGGCCCCGTGGGACCCCCAGGGAAGCCAGGAGCTGAGGTCTGTAGTAAATTCTCTCTTCTTCACAACACCAAAACAGAATGTTGGAATTTTACCTCTGAGTTCCAGTTAAACTATAATGTGGACAATATTAAGAAAAAACATTTTACACTACTATAATATAGAATATAGTAATTAACTGATGTTTAAAGAAAACTTTCCTTTAACTAACTATGGGTCTTTTTCAGGGTCTTCGTGGACCACCAGGTTTTTCTGGCCCTCCTGGAGCTCCAGGAAGGGAGGTTAGTGAGTACACTCTATTGCTTTAATCTCATTCAGTCCCACAAGTATGCAGATAAAAGATAACTGGGTGTATAAAAGATTGTCATCTTCCTCCTGTGGATGTCCAACGATAACGTATCACAGCTCCCAGCCACAAATCACCACCAACCAAGATGACTATGAAAAGTTATTGCCTTGCATGTCTGCATGATATTACACCCAGTAGGGCTGTTAAGTCTATTCTTTGTCTCAATTAAAGGGCTCCCCTGGTAGACCAGGTCCACCGGGCCCTGCTGGACCCCCAGGTGAACCAGTAAGTAATAAGATCTCTTTTATGCAATTCAGTACCACTGAGCAGCAGTGAAAACTACAGATAAATTACTTTCAGTGTGTTTTTGAAACCAATGCTTTAGGCGACGGAGTATATAAAAATGTTCTTAGTATTTTTTTTATGGCTCTCCACAAGCAAATTCATGAGTTTTGCCATTTATACAGAAAATTCACAGCCCCTTGCCTAGTTAAACCACTGCAACATATGAACGATTGCTTCTATTGCAATTAAAGTTGAACATTGAAAACATACATATTTATAAGCATATTTACAAACATCATCAGAGATGATTAAGTAGGGGATTGCATTTCCTACCAATACTCTAATTAGGTATAAATATTATGTATGTATAATTGTCTACTTTTATTTTTCAGTACATTTAGCTTTAGTTATTGCTGTTACTGAGTAAATAGAGTGTTGCAGTGCATATACTAATGGGTGAGTTCCCATTCTGTAAATGTGGATGGTGGGATGTAGGACCTGTTGAGGCTACAACTTTAGTCCGGTAAAAATTCATAAGACAGCCCAACAATTTATTATAGAGAAACAGGAGAAAAATGGAGATGCAAAGAGTGTGTGGTCCCAGCTCAGAGAAAAACTTAAGTCATATCACTGACTTCAAAAAGAAACACGTGAAATATCCCTCTGGTACTGCCAGCTACTCTGTATATTTATTCTGATTTTCTCAATGACACGGATCAAAGCACTCAAACATAACACCTGCAGCAGTGACAGAGTTAGTCAAATAGGGCCGTACCTGTTCTGACGAGATGAAACTTAAAAAAAGCTTTTATTATTATTCAGCAGGTAGTGTTTTTTAACCTGGCCGTACAGCCATATGCTCTGTATGTTTAACTAACATTAGTTGTAATCAGTAGTTTTTTTGTTTTTTTTTTGCATGTTACTTTATGTGCTACCATTTAGAAATGGCATGGATACATTTAAAATTGCACATTAGTTCAACACATATACACTGTAAATGTGTTCAGATTTAAAACAACCCTTCATATTTTTTACTGTAAGCTGTCAACAATGAAAATGTTATTATGACTTTAGAACCTTTTGGCATTTTAATTTAAGGTTTTCCTCTCACATAGTAAAACAAAACTGGAACAAATTCAGTTTGATAATAAACGTTTGTATGTAAATCGTCACTCGGGATTAAATAATGGTCTTATGAGGCTGAAAATGTTTTCTTTGTGTGTTCAATTCACTAGATGCACCTGAAGTAAACAGCTGCAGCATGGTATTATAAAAAAGATTTGGACTGAAAGACAAAACTCCCTCTTCTTTTATTTTGACAGACTGCTCTGCCTATCGTTGGAGACATGGGTGCTTTACTGAAGGTATTTTATCTACACAGTTCACAACATGTAAAGTTTGTTACAAAGAATGTATTCACAATTGGTTTAGTCAGTGACAACTACTGATGGATGGATGGATGGATGGATGGATGGATGGATGGATGGATGGATGGATGGATGGATGGATGGATGGATGGATGGATGGATGGATGGATGGATGGATGGATGGATGATGGATGGATGGATGGATGGATGGATGGATGAGGATGATGATGGATAGATGGATGGATGGATGGATGGATGGATGGATGGATGGATGGATGGATGGATGGATGGATGAGGATAATGATGGATGGATGGATGGATGGATGGATGGATGGATGGATGGATGGATGGATGGATGGATGGATGGATGGATGGATGGATGGATGAGGATGATGATGGATGGATGGATGGATGGATGGATGGATGGATGGATGGATGGATGTTTTATTTCTATTCACTCACTCTTCCCCATTTCTTTGAACTACTAATAGCTACAATGATGCAAACCTAGTAGCGTCACTCCATGACTTGTGAGTTCAACCTCTCCCTCTCATGGGAGGCCCTCTTGGAGGGACTACTTGATTCACATTAATTCTGCTCAGCAGACATTTAGGGAACATTTTGTGCCAGTTGAGGTCTTGAGTCCCACCCGAGGGATGTCACATGATATGAAGTGAAGATGCGCTGTGCCAGCTTAGCTTGATGAAATCTTATCTGTGCTGCTGGTTTTGCTTCTTGCCTCGCCTGCTTTGGCAGAACGCCTGCAGTCTTTGCCAGACAAGAGTTCCCGGGCTGCCTGGGCAGAAGGGAGAGAAGGGGTCCCCTGGAGCGCAAGGAGTAGAAGGCTTTGTTGGAGAAAAGGTACATCCTGTTCTGACATTTTTAATTTATTTTGCATTCTAATCCATCCTTTTTGGATCACCATAGAGTACCATTTAAATATTTTATACCCAATGCATTGCAAACGTTTACTGTCCAAATATGACTCGATATAAACCAAACTCAAGATGATTTATCTGCAAGAGTAGACAGAAAGTTATGCTTGATAAGAGAAGAGGCCTTTGGAAAAGGATGATGATGATGTACAGCATTTAAAAAAAAATGCAGCTCCAAATTAAATCGATTGCTTCAATTGGTAACAAGTAATGGAATTACTGATTTTTTTTTTTTTATATAAGCTGTAAACGCAATTAAATTATTTGTTACCAACTGAAGCAACTAATTTAAGTTTGAGAGGTTTTTCTTCTTAGAGTGTACATAGAAATCATTTCATTATAACATGTTATGTGGATGCAGAGCATGTCTGAGGTAGAAGAAGACTTTCACTGACAGCACTTGCAATGACAGTTTCAAAGATTTTATTAATTAAGCTCACTATGTCAACATATGGAATTCATAAGAACAGATTAAGAGCTTGAAGAAAATTAAAAGTAGATATAACCAATAATTTTTTTTTTTTCTTTTTTAGATAGAAAGAACAAAAGAAAAGTTATGTGATGTTTTTAGAGTACGGGGTGATGTCAGACACCATCTCTCTTTGTTGCTCTCAGATGTCTTGTTTACAGCCAGGTCAGCCACAGATGCATGTCCGTCCACGTAAATAGCTGCCACTCCGAGCTTTGCCCCTCCCTGCCCATAAAATGCCATCAGGACAGCAAAGTAGTGTAGGAGGCGGACAGCATGTCCAGCAGATTGATTCCAATCTTTCACCTAATGGGGAAGTTTTGCTTATTGCTCCTTTAATCATTTTTGCTCCCTGTCTGTCATCTGTCTTCTTTTATTCACATTTCAGTGTTGAAAAATAGATCAATGAATAATTGCCTTCTTTCCATTAGAAGCTTGAAACTAAAGCAGTTTCCAGGAAAGCCGTCAAAAGAATAAATCACAACAATTATGGAAGTAAATACATCTTACAAAGGAGCAAATATAAGGAAACGAATGTGATGAAAAGATGTAGAAAAATATAAAAACACATACAAAATAATATTTAATTTAATTCTAGAGAATTGTTAAATAAATCAATTGCAATTCTCTTTTAGGGCAACAGTTATTGTTTGAATATTAGTAATGTTATAAAGTGCATTCTAAAATAACACAGCATATAAGAAAGATTTTTTTTTTTGCCTAAGTGAAACATTTAAGCACAATCTTGGATTTGGTTTTATTAAACCTTGTATGATACAAGAAGATTTTAAAATATAGTTTTCTGAAATCTAAACTAAATGTGTATAAAATGATACATATCAAAGTAATTTATGTTTTAGATCTTTTTGAAATTGTCCCATTCTTATCAGAATTGATCGTTTATCACATATAGCATTTGGACATAAAGATCAAGAACCATGATTTATAAAAGTTAGAAAAGTGCCTATTCCGTCAAGATAACATTGAGGTTTGGCTTGCATTTTACAACATGCTCACACACAGAAGTAGTACACAACCCTATTTCATGCACATATTTGTTTTTTTCAAAAGGTCTGTCCTGAATAAACTATTGCAATTTTTAATTTAAATGCATACAATTCTAGCTTTTGCTTGGGAAAACCCATACACTATAAATCCAATGTCACAGGTTCCAACAATCTTTAAGGAGGATTTTGCATAGTAGAAATATGTTGCATCTATGGCTATAACAATCAATCGGATTAATCATGATTAATCGATTACTACAATAATCATAAACTAAATAAATTATTGATTAATCGTTTATTGAAGTATGGAGACTCTCAAACATGCCTTTAGCTGACAGAGCGACCCACTTAGAGAAGTAACTATACCAAAATTGTAAAAATATGTAAACATTTGGCATTTAAAATGTTTATGGAGACTTTACTCAGTTGTTAAAACACTCTACTATTAAAGGTATACTATGCAACCGGTGTTGCTTTTCCAGCGAGGCTCCCCCCAGAGGGCGAAAGTAAAAGTACACTGTCGTAAATATGCACAGCTGTTCTCCTGGTTTCTTCGTCAAGCCAGGCGCGGTTGTTTTGAGCTTAGCAGACAGGCGAACGCAACGAATGACTAACACAGTGAAAGTATGAACATGCACACAGAGAGAGAGAAACCATTCCAATGTTACTTACAATCGCATCAGCAGAAATGCGAGGTCCGCGTCAGCCTTGCAGCCTTCTTTTTATTTTAGCTCTCGCCATTCCGAAAGAGCTTGCCCGATGTTCACCCGTGTACGACTCCTCTCTCTGTCCGGAGCCCTTTTCCTCTTTCTTGACTGCTCCGACATGGGCTTTCGCTGTTTTCACGCTGATTCCGCCATGATAACTGCACAAAGATCGCCACTGTGCTAGCAACGAGCATGCTTTTAACTGGGGGCGTGTAGCAGTTCTCGCCGTAAAGCAAGACCGACTCTCGCGAGACTTCTGAGCCTGTGGGTGCGGGCCGAGGGCTCCTGCAATTGCAAGTGCGGTATTTCCCCAACAGACCACCAGGGCGGCCGAGAATACCTTTGTTCAACCTGAAATGACTCATTTAATCATCCAAAACGTTATGGAACACATTAATTAACTGAATAATGTTGCATAGTGTGCCTTTAAAGTAATGTCACTTTTTTTTTTTTTCATACTTTCAGTCAGACAGGAAATCAGGATTTTGCTTAACATAAACCAAAGCGTTGTGACCATAGTAATGTTTAATGTTTTTGTTCTGAACAGGGGGACCCAGGTGTAAGAGGTCCAATGGGTAATCCAGGAAAAGAAGGCCCAAAGGTGGTAACAGTCATTTCAACACTATAACTCAGTTTTTTTTTTTTAGAAATGCCTTTAATCATGAAGCCTTTCTCCACAGAAGAATAATGTTAAATAAATTGGATTATTTGATGCTTTTTGATGAAATTTGAGTGAATTCTGCAGAGAAATATTTATGTTTTCTACATACAGTACCTCTCTGCTTATTTCTGTAAACCTACAGTAAGGAGCTTTTCTACTATTAATATTATTAGGATCACTTAGTGCACTCTGTAAAAATAGTTGCTATGGATACAGCTTTGCACCAGTGAAAGAGGCTCAGCAATTTCAAGTTGTGCACTGGAAGAGGCATTTTGAAATGTACCCTTTACACCTATCAGCCTTTAGTTTGAGACTTCTGTAGGGTCTGAGAAAAACATAAATTTTTCCTTACTTCACTGATTCTGCTCACTCTGCAGGGTGTAAAAGGAGAGAGAGGGTTCCCAGGTCCCACTGGAGATAAAGGTGACGAGGTAAGTAAGTGAAATCTATACCCCAGCAAATTAGTCTACCGGTCATCAGGCCGCCTGGAAGGGGCACTGACATTGAGAAATGAGGTTTTCAGACAAATTTAAATACAGTTCTGTGAGAAAAAAAAACTCACAGATGTATTCTGCTTTTGCTTTTTTGTTAAATTTAGGTTTATAAGGTCATATAACAAGTTTTACTTAACAAAGTAGGCCCAAGTAAATAAAAAAAGCATGATGTCACTTATCGGGTAAGAAATAAACTGTTCCAAACCAGCCTGGCAAAATGTGGCACTATAATACAGCAAGTCCTCCTATTAAATCAGGAATTAATCAGGTCTTACAGAACCTTACACCATTTAAACCCAGGCCTCATTATGAAAATATATTCAGGGCTAAGAAATTAAACAACTCATTAGACAGGACTAAGTAGACTTAGAGATCTCAAAAGCAACATATTAACACATCGTCTTGAAAACTTCAATCACAGATTAAAATAAATGTTTTTTATTTCTATTTTCTGTGAAAATATTAAAAATCTATTTTCAAGGTCTTATGGAATCATATTAATTATAGTGTGGAACAATTTAGCAGTGATGAATATTCCCAGGAGTGGTCTACCAAGAGTTCTTTGAAACTAATTCGAGGTCAGAGAAAAACCTTGGGCAATATCTAAAGCTCGGCAGGCCTCACTTACCTGAGATATCATCAGTTTTCATCACCCAGCAATAAGAAACAGAGTGAGAATCCCAAAGTCACAACCTCTGCTTACCCAATACAGAATAAGTCCTGTCTCATACCTGACAACATATCCTGATAATCCCTGAGACTTTCTGGAAAATATTTCAGGACTGATAAGACAAAGATGGAACTTTTCTGAAGCCGTATGTCCTCCTACATCTACAGTAAAATGTGTAATGAATTCTGGAATATGAGAGTCAATCCTTTTGGTTGTACTGTGATAGAATCATGAATTATATTCTGGAGCAGATTGTCAGGTTTGTAGGAAGTTAGTTGAGGACCCAAAGGCAGAGATTAGCTTTGCTGAATTAATAAAAAAAAGGAAACGGAAACCAAATCCGAGGACCAAAATACAGTAAACCAAAAATAAGGAGACGTCAGGGGCAAACACATATGGGGAGCAAAGTAACAACAAGAAACTAGCAAACAGTAACAGAAGAGGAGGTGTTTAAATGGGAAAGAACACAGAATAGACTAATCAGCTGATATGGAGCAGGTGTGGATAGAAGTAACTAGAAGAGAGCTAAGGGGAAAGAAGACTGGCACAAGGAGGCAACAGAGAGTACCTCAAAAAAAATGCAACACAGGTTAAATATGGAAAAGAAAGCAATGACCAACAAAACAGAATTACATGAATAACTGAAAACTCAAAGAAAAGTCCAAAAGGGGAGAATATCAGTGCTATATCAGTTTATAGCAGCTTTGGATTATGCAGCAGGAAACCTGCACACCAGCCAACATCTATATACCAAGATAAAAAAAAAAACATCACTAAAGTTCCACAGTTGCCTGATTAAAGGAATAGTACACCCAAAACATGATTAGCCTTCATTTTCTACTCACCCCCATGCTGAACAACACTCTGGAGTACTTTTTTGATATCTCAAATGCATCTGGAGATCTGGGAGGCTTCTTGCTGTCTGCTGACATTCAAATAATGGAGTTCCATGGCGCCCGAGACAGAAAGGTCCGCAAAAGTCCACAAAAACGTGTCAATATTCCTCCATACTGCTCGTCCAATGTAATCCAAGTGTCCTGAGTGGGTAGCATCCAGAATTTACTCGAAACGAAGTCATTTAGAACGTTTTAGAGCCTAAACAGTAGGGTATAGGATTTCCTAATAGCGCCCCCATGCGCGCTCACGATTCTACGGAAGCCGGCAGACCAAACCGGAAGAAAGTGCGCATTCAGCGTCTGCTCTGCCGATAATGCAAGCGTAGAAGAAGAAATGTGCTGTTTACCTGTGCAAAGAAAGAAACAACAAAAGAAAAATGTCTGAGGACTTCAGTGTTGAGGAAGAGCATGAGTTCTTTGCCGAGCTGAATGCGCTGGTTTGGTCTGCCGGCTTCCGTAGAATCGTGAGCGCGCATGGGGGCGCTATTAGGAAATCCTATACACTACTGTTTAGGCTCTAAAACGATCTAAATGACTTCGTTTCGAGTAAATTCTGGATGCTACCCACTCAGGACACTTGGATTACTTTGGACGAGCAGTATGGAGGAATATTGACACGTTTTTGTGGACTTTTGTGGACCTTTCTGTCTCGGGCGCCATAGACCTCCATTATTTGAATGTCAGCAGACAGCAAGAAGCCTCCCAGATCTCCAGATGCATTTGAGATATCAAAAAAGTACTCCAGAGTGTTGTTCAGCATGGCGGTGAGTAGAAAATGAAGGCTAATCATGTTTTGGGTGTACTATTCCTTTAAACTTCCGACTTAAATCGGATTGAGATGTCAAGATGTTTTTTTCCTTTGCTTTATTTTTTGGATTGTTTTTTCACCCAAAACTATCCAATTCATTATTTAAGGTCCTTGTTTTGTTTGTTTTTTTTTACCAAGAATGATACAACCAGTTTTCAAGAGTACAGTTATTTTTCATATATCGCTACGCTGGTTTGAATCTTTATTTCAATAATGCTTTGATGGTATTGTTATTCAAAAACAAACCATTATTTACATATTTACCAGGCATATCGTTTTTCTAATATTAAAACTAATCAGAAACATTTAGCCGGACACCATGGATGTTCTCATCTTATTATAGAGCCTCTCCATTTCTCACTAAAAGCTATTAAAGTCTGTCCACAACACAGCTTGAGCACTGTGTCCTTCTCAAAGAACCCACAATATTTTGAACAAAGCATGTTATGTGTATTTGTCTATATTCAGAGTTTATAACAGCAATTGCAAGATTTTTTTTTTTTAAGGAGCAGGAATCTACACTCACTGGCCACTTTATTAGGTACCCCATGCTAGTAACGGGCTGGACCCCCTTTTGCCTTCAGAACTGCCTCAATTCTTCGTGGCATAGATTCAACAAGGTGCTGGAAGCATTCCTCAGGGAGTTTGGTCCATATTGACATGATGGCATCACACAGTTGCCGCAGATTTGTCGGCTGCACATCCATGATGCGAATCTCCCGTTCCACCACATCCCAAAGATGCTCAATTGGATTGAGATCTGGTGACTGTGGAGGCCATTTGAGTACAGTGAACTCATTGTCATGTTCAAGAAACCAGTCTGAGATGATTCCAGCTTTATGACATGGCGCATTATCCTGCTGAAAGTAGCCATCAGAAGTTGGGTACATTGTGGTCATAAAGGGATGGACATGGTCAGCAACAATATTCAGGTAGGCTGTGGCGTTGCAACGATGCTCAATTGGTACCAAGGGGCCCAAAGAGTGCCAAGAAAATATTCCCCACACCATGACACCACCACCACCAGCCTGAACCGTTGATACAAGGCAGGATGGATCCATGCTTTCATGTTGTAGACGCCAAATTCTGACCCTACCATCCGAATGTCGCAGCAGAAATCGAGACTCATCAGACCAGGCAACGTTTTTCCAATCTTCTATTGTCCAATTTCGATGAGCTTGTGCAAATTGTAGCCTCAGTTTCCTGTTCTTAGCTGAAAGGAGTGGCACCCGGTGTGGTCTTCTGCTGCTGTAGCCCATCTGCCTCAAAGTTCGACGTACTGTGCGTTCAGAGATGCTCTTCTGCCCACCTTGGTTGTAACGGGTGGTTATTTGAGTCACTGTTGCCCTTCTATCAGCTCGAACCAGTCTGGCCATTCTCCTCTGACCTCTGGCATCAACAAGGCATTTCCGCCCACAGAACTGCCGCTCACTGGATGTTTTTTCTTTTTCGGACCATTCTCTGTAAACCCTAGAGATGGTTGTGCGTGAAAATCCCAGTAGATCAGCAGTTTCTGAAATACTCAGACCAGCCCTTCTGGCACCAACAATCATGCCACGTTCAAAGTCACTCAAATCACCTTTCTTCCCCATACTGATGCTCGGTTTGAACTGCAGGAGATTGTCTTGACCATGTCTACATGCCTAAATGCACTGAGTTGCCACCATGTGATTGGCTGCTTAAAAATTAAGTGTTAATGAGTAGTTGGACAGTTGTACCTAATAAAGTGGCCGGAGAGTGTAAATAGATTTGATTGTTTATGAAATTAAAAACTACGCACTTTAAATACATTTGCCGACACTGCAGGCAAATTTAAGATTACTATCTAAATCGTTTGACAGTTTATAATTTATTTTAGTGATTGTTTTCTTGTAAGATTTTCAAATAATACAATAAAGTAATCTTTCTTTTTTTTTTTTACTTTCCACATCTTTTTTTCCAAAATGTGCAGTTTTTGTAAAAAATAAAAAAAATTATATGTTAATCTATCATATAAGCTCATTACATTTGTCCCATAAAATAAATTAAAAATGATTTTTAAAGCTGCCTCCTTGTAAAAATAGATTTCAGCTTATTTCTTTTTGTAGCATTTAGCAATAAAAGCTTTACTGACCTGTTTTTTAAAAGATAAACTACTTGATTTTAGTTATTTATTTATTCAAAAAGTTTAGCTTTTTACATAAATGTTGTAGATAAAACTGTACGTCATTTTTAACCATTGAACTTAACATTTCTGATGAAATTGGTAAATACTTAAATGACCTGCTCATATACGTATATTTAGATTGTGCACTAAAAGCAATACTTTCAACATTATTCTGTGCTCTAGTGTATGACTTCTTGGTGTAGTCAATGTGTCCAGATGCTTGTGTCAGTTTTACAGATGAAACACTCAAATAAACGGATTTTATACCTCTCACATAAGGTGGCGGATCGTTAAAACTCACAGCACCTTGGTTTTCAAAGTGAAGTTGATCTCTCATTTTATAAACATGTGCTCCTGAACAGATGTGCAGACAACACAGTGCTTGTAACTGACTGAAGAGTTTGCTTAGGTGAATGCTGATGCTCTCTGTGTCTCCTTAAGAATGTGTCAATTGCCATGATGTTATTAGAATTTGATTTAAAAATATTTGATTATTTTTGCAGGGGCCACCTGGAGCTCCAGGACTTCCTGGTGTGGCTGGCCGAACAGGAGCACCGGTAGGAATTTCTTTTTTTTAACGTTTAAAATAGAATAAAAAATATGCACCATAACTAAGCTGGGTCACATTTTTTTTTTATAAAATAAGTTTCTGACATGAACACCCATTTGAACGTATGAAGGAAGTTTGATGACTGCAGAGCATCCATCAGTTTCCAGGGATTTTGAATGATGTTGCAATATACTGAGACCAAGCAGTGACCACTCAGATGAATGGCACTTATCCCACACAGGGAATAATTGAGTGTACACTGGGTTTATTTTTACCAGAGTGTAATCAGGTCCACGCATGACTCCCATGTGTAATAAGCCTGCATTGTGTTAAAAGAACAGAGAGTTTGTGCCATTGCCTCATCCCTGAACTGTACTGCAAATTTAATATCTAAAGTATGTCCACTTCCCAGACATTGCTAATGGAAGATTAACAACATTATTACATTTTCTTTAATATAATACCTGTTTTGGATGCAGAAAATAATTGGAAAAATCTGTAGAAGTTAAAATTTTCTGCAAACTTTGGAGAATTATGTAAAATTATGATGAATTTTAATTTCTCCTAAGACTTATGTGTAGGTCCCATGCTTTTCATTTGCATTGAAAAAAAAATCGAATGAAAATAATGCTTCAAGAAAACAGGTCTATGCATTTGACACTATAGCATGCATGGTTTTATCCCCTGCTAAGACAGGTGGCTACATGATGAAAAAAAAAACGTCTGCAGCATGTCTTCTGGAACTCTCAGACGTCTGTTTTTCCTGCTACACAATTTGCACATCTGCTAAATATGCAGCTTAAACCCAACGATAGCATCCTTAATCTCATACAAAACAAAGAAAAAGCTGTCTTACTTTACATAGACTTAAAGATGCTTTAAGCTAAATAGAAACTAACCGGATGACCTACTTCTGAATTAATTTGGCTGATAATTATCTGACCACAAATTGAGCATTGCAGCTTCATCCCCAGACTGCCTGTTAATCCTTACATCTGGAAAGAAAAAAAAAAGGAAGATACAAAGAAATGGTGATATCATAATAAAAATAACGTTCTTACCCTATTGATGTAAGGTGGGATCTTCAAAGAATCCAAAATAAGGTGATCTGCAAAGATTGTGTGCAAAAGGATGAGCTGTGTAAACAAGTTTGAGCTGTCCCATTTAAAGGAAAAGTCTGGTCCAATTCAGAATTCAAACTTCTGAAAGTACTTTAAATATGATCCAAGTCATCTTGAAAACATTCTTCTTTGAAACATTGGCTACATATTACGCATTTTTTCTGGCCAGAAGTTTGATGGCAAATCCTTCCTCTTCAAGTTGGCAATCTGATGGTGAACCCGTCCGTGGAGGATCATGAATCGGAAAGGTGACATAACTAATTTTTTTTCACTTTTACCCGATGTATTAAAACATCCAACTGCCATGCACGTAGGCATTGTCAGTTTAACTATAGCTCTCATGATTTTCAATGGTTAAGTCTCAAAATCTTAATTAATTGTTGTTGATTGCAGGCGTGTCTGGTAGCTCCCATTGATTTTGCTTGTAAAGCGGAGAGAATGGCGCTCGGCTACTGCACCGTGATGTCACTGCCGGAAGATGTCATGATCTCAGCTCTCAGAGATCCCGAAGAAAATTACTATTTTTCTTTTTTACTGATTAACGCTAAATTCGTTAAATCCCTGCCATCCTATTAGTTTTAGTTATAGATAATGATCCATTGATCATTCTTTGCTGACCGGACTTTTCCTTTAAGTGAGCACATGGTACGTATGTGCTACTGGGAGTTTGAGAGGGGACGTAAAACAAAACATGTCTTCGATTGAGGGTAACAATGATAATAATCATTCAAAAAGCACTTTACAAAAGTATTTCGAGGTACTACAAAAATTAAAAAAGGTTTACCGATAATTCAAAAAATTTTAAATCAATCATAAAACCTAGAAGAGACTCTGAGCATCTTTGTGACCCCCCCTCTGACAAAGAACTAAGATTTACAGCATGATTACATTATAAACAATTGGATTTATTTCCTCGGAATACACTCTTCAAATGATAAAAGAGGATAATAGTTACTATTTAAAACCACATAACTGCTTTGTGTGGACGTTGAAGGGGCAACAAATCCCTCTAATCCTCCCTCCCATTTACAGGCTCTGTGATGTTTTCTATTGGTGGTTATTATTCCGTTTTGTGTTTTATAAACATGCTACAAGTATTTTTTGTTTGTTTTAATTGCATATAGAAATGTGGCTTATGCCTCATCATGCCAATGCTGTCTTAGTGCCCGTAATGACAACAGGAATTGTTCCTGTTGAAGTTTGCAGCTGACTTTCAAACTTGTTAAAGATACTGATCTTTAACAAGTTTCAGTCATCCAGGTCATAGTCATTCCGTAAAAATTCAAAAAATATCCACTGGACTTGGTTTTTAAGATTTGAAGACGTTTCGCCACCTCTCCAGGAAGCTTTCTCAATTCTTGTTAAAGATAGATGCAAGAACTGAGCACACAATCACTTGCAGGTTTAATAAATCGCTTTGCAGGTTATAATAATTTTGTTTTTGCCCCCTCCACCCATAACTTTCTGCCATATTCTAGATATTAATGAAGGCACAAACAGGAAAAAAATGTTTGCAACTGCTGTCCACTGATTTTGCACTCCTAATCCTTTGTTATCATCTGCTTTGCACGGGTAAAAAATAATACTTACTTTCATAAATTACAAAACATGACTTTATAGAAGTTGCCCAGTGACAAACTGACGACCTGTCCAGGGTGAATCTGGCCTTATGCCTATAGACTGCTGGAGATAGGCACTGGCCCCACCGTGATCCTTATGAAATAAGCAGGGGAAGATGGATGGAATGGACATCCTATAAATCTGCTAAATTTCCTTGTGTCTTACCTGAAAAACAAGCACTTTATATGATCACAACCAGAGATGGGAAGTAACTAAGTACAAATACTTCATTACTGTACTCAAGTAGATTTTTCTGGTATTTTTACTTTACTTTACGACTTATTTTTATGGCGACTTTTTACTTCTACTCCTTACATTTTTACACAAATATCTGTACTTTCTACTCCTTACATTTTAAAAAATTGTCTCGTTACTTTAGTTTTGAATCATTTCAATGGAGTTACCGTTATTATTTTTCACGTCATCAATACCAAATTCAATCTAATTGGATGGGAATCTACGTTGCATTTGACGCACCACTACAAGCTGAATCGACAGATTCGGCGGTATTCATTGTCGGCAAATCATTGCAGCTTGGTGGCGGTGGCGTTAGCATAGTAGCATGGACCACGAGATGATTGAAAATGAACACAACGGAGATCTAGTCCTATTGGCAGACATCCATTTAAAATGTAGGCAACGGCATGAAAAAAGTGGTTTCTACTTTTACTTTTATACTTTAAGTAAATTTACAAGCCTGTACTTTGTTACTTTTACTTGAGTAAAGAAGTTTAATCAGTACTTCCACTTTTACCAGAGTATTTTTTAACACAAGTATCTGTACTTTTACTCAAGTACGGAAAGTGAGTACTTTTGCCATCTCTGATCACAACAAACACAGCAAGATCGTTATCAATGCGTATCTTTCCAAGAACTTGACAATATGCAATAATTAATATTGCAACTTAATTGTCTGAAATGGAAGCAGCAATAATTTTCTTTTAGATATGAAACAATCCAATTAGATGTTCAGGTGTAAATATATAGTTGAGACAAATGAGACTAAAAACAGAAATATCAAGAACATCACTGACTCTCCTGATATTTTAAGTGAGTTTTTTACTGAGTAAAGCTTATTGTATATGGTTTAGTTCAACTGAAGGTGTGGAGCCAGAAAAGAACCGACAGACACCTTTAAATCTAGCCGACAACATACATCACCTGAGGTTTGGATCAAAGTGGTCATGCTTGCTGCCCAATAATAATGCTTTAAGACCAAGCCCCACAATTTCTGTCAGATTTATGAAGCTGGGTCTTTGAAATGATTTGCTTTGATATGAAATGCAGTTTGAAAATAGGTTTTTTGAAGAATGATACAGTTAAAATGTTGGGAAGCCTGAAAATGTACACAAACGCCTTCACAGATTCCGCATCTTTACAATATTTACTCAAACAGTTAGGCTCATCAATTATACATTTTCTAAGACTGTAACAAAATGAGAATCTGTTTTTGAAGTTTCATTAGCACTTCTGAGAAATTAAAAAAGCCAGAAGGAACCAAATATCAATAAAACCTTCTTTTAACTGTAGCCTCCTGACTTTATAAGCCGATACAAATGTTATCTCCAATCTACGCAGTAAAAAGGGAAACTAAATTTATAAGCAAGGAACTCCACTATCCTTTGGGACTCTTTCCTAAATAGTTTAGAGATGTGTCTCTTTCAATCTGATTCTATTTCCTTCTGGTTTTATTGTGGAATATTTTAAATCTCTCATTCAATTAATTGGGAATATAAAACGTATTATAGTAATGCTAGTAAAGGTTTGAAATTATTGCACTATTTTTCTTGTCGGTTTTCAAAGCTTTAATTCATGGGTTACTGTTTCGTTGTCTTGTTTGTTTGTTGTTTTTTTTTGCAGGGACTAGTAGGTAGACCTGGTCCAGTGGGTCCACAAGGATCAAAAGGAGAAAAAGTACGATTTGTTGCTTTCTATGAAATATTACTTCATAAAAATATTGTTTCTTATGCGCACAATTTTGTAGGTCAATAAAAAAAGAAATCTGTAATTGATTTTTTTTTTCTTTTAAATGGCTGACTATTAAATATTTTACTGCTTTTTTCTCCGTAACTTCAATGAAAGTATTGCTAGATTTAACAACAACGTAACAGAAGAGAAAATGTTAAATTAGTAGAAAATATCTTTCAAAAATGTTGATGAATATCAAAAGCAGAATTGTTTCAAATGAGTCATCCTTCCTAGAGTCGCAGAGATGCAGCAAAAGACATTAGAGATTATTTTAGCTACATTTCAAAAGAAAAGTTACAGTTATTGAAGTCAATTATAGTTGTTTTTGCTGACAGAGTGAGATGTCAGAAACATTTTAAAACATTTTAGGAAAGCTGAAAACTGAAAAATAATGTGGTACTTTGTGGATTTTTTTTAACCTTAAGAATAGACTGAGAAAGGATTATCTGTGTATTATGATCAATTTGGGGTGGCAGTATTTTTTTTTTATTTTTTTGGGGGGGGGGGGGGGGGGGGGGGGGCATGTCAGTGCATGGTTTTAATTGGAGTTATGGATAATATGTATGTGATAAAGTTTAGCTCTATCTCTTTTTGGAATGTACACAACTTGCATTTGGGAGACACCAAGTGTGGGGGGGAAAGGGTCTTGGTAATGAGGGTGGTACATTTCTTGTACTTATGTAGCACTTTATCATCCTAGGACCCCAACATTTGGTTAGTCCCCCAATCAGGCCCACATTTACATGCTGGTGATATGCTTTGTAGCCTTAGACCAGGCATCCCCAAAGTCCTGCAGGTTTTAGAGGTTTCCTTGCTCCAGCACAGCTGATTTTAATTGAAAGCTCATTAACAGGCTTTTGTTCAACTGCAATCATCATAATCAACTCTGCTAAAGCAAGGAAACCTCTAAAACCTGCAGGACAGCGGTCCTCAAGGACCGACTTTGGGGATGCCTGCCTTAGACCTACAGAAGGGAGGCTACCAGTAGCCCTCTGACCACCAACGGGAAGCAGCACAGATGAAGTTACTTGCCCTTTAAGCAAATTAAATAAACATATTGTTAAATGCCCATCAATAAACAAATGCACTATATATTTATTAGATACTGTAGTTTTATTGAGGAACATTTGGACAAAACATGTAAATCATTGTTCTCCTGCTTCTGAAATATAAAAGAAAGCTCCTTTCCTGGAAAGGTGCTTAATTTGAACCCAAAACACATTATTTATATTTTTTTAGTAATTTGTTTGAAAACCATTATTTTATAGCTTTCTTTTATTTTTCAGTGAATTGAAAACTGCTATTCATAATTATTTTTCTTTCAGAGGCTCATTATATTCTCTATCAGACTTGAGACTTGATGCTTAAAGTTTATTACAGTTTTTACGTTTCAACAAGATTTGAACATTATGTCTGTTTATTCAAGGTCAATATAAGAAAATAAATTATGTCTATTTTTTTTTCTAAAGAAGCTCTATCTGGCCTTTAGTAAAACTATGAACTCTTATTCTGTTATCATTATGATTTTCCTTCATTTATTTTTGCAGGGAAATGAAGGACCTCCAGGCAGACAAGGACTTCCAGGTCCTCCAGTAAGTATCTGAAGCTCACAAGATTTAGTTTTCCATAATGCCCATAACCTCCACAAAGGTCATGGGTTTGGTGTCCTCATGAGAACATTTTAAAGGTTACTGTGTTAGACTCATGTGTTTGCTACTTGTTCAGCGTTTCCCTTAATAACGAAGCACAACTGACAAACAAGTGCAAACATGATGAAATTGTGGATCATATTCTTAATAGCACTGAGTCTTGTTCATCCCTTTTAAAGGACGAGTGAGTAAGCACTTCCAGTGGCAAATCTATAATTCATTTGCTGTCTCCTTGAACTTGCCGTGCACTTCCCCAACACACACACACACCCCGCCACACCTTGGTCCTATAAACCTGCTGCTTGGGAAGAAAGGGGATGGCTGAGTGGCCTGAAAAGGGCACAGGCCTTCACTTGCTTCTAAATGAGAACCTTGACTTCTTCTTGGTTTACATTAGCTCCCATTTATAAATCCATCACTAAAAAAAAACTCCTCTTATAACACTAACCCAAAAGGTTAAGATTACCTTGTTCTCCTACCCAAATCTTTTTCTTTTTAAAATACTTTTTTAATGTCTGACACCTTGTTTTCGGTACAAGAAAAATCTGTTTTCTCCTTTTTCTACTCCTTTTTTACCTTCTTACTCATTCTTTCTCCATGTAGTCCCTAAATGAGCTATTGATCCTTCTCATGTAGCTTTTAAAAGCTTAGCTCTCTGTAATTGCTCAAGACCTAAGCACAGTTTTCTGTAAAGGCTCTCTCTGCCTGAAACCAAAGAACTCTTGCAGAGAGGTTGTCTGATTCACTGATTGTGTTTTAGGGTGTGCCGTATGTGGAGGGGAAGGGGATGAGCAGTCTGTACAAGCTCCAGGTAAAAATATAGATTTTAACTCGTTTTGTTAATTGGATTTATTGAATTTGAGGGTACAATACCTCTCAGTGAATTGAGTTTGACCTGTGTTGTGAAATATTTGTCATTATATAAAGAAATGTCTTTGCAGAGTGGTGGAGCTATTTTAGGACCCCCTGGTGCACCTGGTGCCCCGGTAAGTGTTGTTGTGCCTCAGGTAAATCCTTCAAAGTGTGCTGTAAGGGACACTAGCAAAAAGGCATGCTGATACCGTATAAGCTGGGGAGCCTGTGAGATCTGAATAACAAACATCTTGACCGACCCTCCTGTGTTATCGTGGCTCTGAAGCTCTTATATCACAGTCAATCACTGAGGGTTGGCAAGGGCCAAGAGGCGTCCTGACTCCCAAATAGGTGCCTCTGATCCATGCCGGGACACACAACATCATTGAAATGCAAAATGAACTTTAGAAGTTCCCATGCTCTCCGCGGTGCCAAGTGGCCTGATTTGCTTATCGCTGCAACCCTCCTTTCCTGCCTTATCAGACAGTTTGTAATCTTGTCCAGTCCAGGGAGACATTAAGTCACTGGCCCTGCAGGCATCCTTTCGCTAAAATGAACACTTAAGGAGGTGACAAAAAGCAGACGTTGTGCTGTCCCATGGTGCACAATGCACATGAACCACTGGTAAATCTTCAGAATGCTACTGCCTGTACTGCATCTATCACCGGCCCAGCAGCGCCTCTGGAGCAATCAATAAGAGAGCTTCCTCATCAGTGTTAAGGACAGGACAGATAATTTATCTTTTCTTTTTTTTTTTCAATTCAAAAACTGCAGACCTCGGTTAGTATAGCCTCCATCAAACCTACACTGGATTACTTGATTTATCCCAGAAACACAATTGCAGTATTTTCATCATTTATGACAAACTTGGAGAAAAAAAAGGCATCAATGAATTACTATGAATTTTACCCGCTATAATCAATAACTACATAATACATCGGACGGCTGTCAGGCCTTTAGGGATTGTAGTTATCAAATCTCTGGAAGTAATTGTTCTTTCTTGTCTCTTTCTCTTTTAAGGGTCCAAAGGGAGACGAAGGAGCTATTGTGAGTAAAGTTGTCTGTTCTGAAATGTTTATTTTTCATATGAATTACAGAGGGAAAACTTATAGCTACCTATCCTCATTGTCTCCCTGATTTTCTACTGTTTAACACAAGTCAAAAAGCCTTGAGTCAGAGCATTTAACATCTTTCAGTGGAACTACAAAGTACAATGAAAAGAAAAGAAATTACCTTATCTGCGAAATATATGAGGCCTATGTACGCAATATAATGTCATACCTCTGGGAACTAACAACAACTAACTTCATTTCAAATGTGCCCCTTACCTACTTGCTTTTGTACTAAATTGGGAAAACAATCCATTTGCAATCCACACAGACATAGAACAGTCTCGACTTTTCTGACGTCACCCTGAATTCCTCTTCCCCATGGGACCAATTGCATTTGTCATTGTGCTGGTCACACAGTGATTTTTCACCAGAATGTTAATTTGACATCCTTATAAATTGTGCAGACGGGCTACAGAGCCACAGTGGAATTGCCCCAATCCGTCTCACAGCTGATCCTCTGGCTCGTCCACTCTCCTCCTTTTTCCCGTTAGCCACAATAGCTTATTCCTGACAATCTGCATGTGTGACAATTACCCGGACAATTCATCTCTGTCGGCACCGGTTGCTTCTCTGTTGTGTGTAATGGTGTTTCTCCATGGCAGCCTGAGCAAGAGGAGGTAGATAGAGGCCATCAGTTGCTCAAGAACAGAGAATGGGTCTCTATTTTTAGAGCAGAATAAAGTCTTATTGTGAAAGGGGCTTTTTTTCAGCTAATGGTTCTGTAGCCTACATACTGTAAGAGTGTGTATTTGAATATCTGAAGCTATTCTCCCAGGGCTGTTTGAAACAAATTAATAGATGGAGACATGCATCAATCAAGGACTACAGATAAAAGTAGAGAGATAAATCTAGCAATGGCAGGATATGCAAACAGACACACTTTGTTTCTTTCTACAATTTAGTGAAAAATTATTTTCCCCCTATATGGAAATGCATAAATCTTATAAAAACCCAAAGCTACAGTACGTCTTACAAGTTTCTTCTGTCTTACCAATTACATGTATTATATGATCAGTCATATTTCAATATTAGACAACCTAGAAATGCGTTTTTTTTTTTATTGTAATTCTATTTTCAGCCAGCAGCACCTAGTCCCGCTTAGCACCAGAAAAAGAGAATCAACAGAAGTCCTGCTCAAAACATGTCTGACAACACAAAGTTAGGCTAAAAAGGTGTTAACATCCAAACTGGTATCATCAAAAGAAATTCAAGAAAAGATGGAAAAGGAAAAATATGGCAAAGCTTTCGAGGTGTGACCAGCTCTCACAATTACTGAAAGAATGCATTCACAACCGATAATCAAAATCACTTACTGCCTCACTTGTTGATGTTTTCTTAACATCCATGCAGACTCCACACATCCTGGACAAAAACTCAAAGACTTTTACCTTCAGGTCAGCAATACATAGTCCTTTTTGCAGAAACCAACTGTCACAGATATGGTTTCTTTCCCCAGGCTGTCTACATAAACAACAAAATAAACAAAGCTTGAGTTTTCAGTTGTGAAAAAAATATATACAGATGTGAAGCATGAAAACTGACAATGTAAACGCTTAAATGCACATACAGCTTCCTTTATCTGTTATTTGCCTAGAGGGAATTTTTTTGTTTTATTATTTTTAACATCTGTTTGCTGTCAGCTCTTAAAATCAAGTCAAATTCCCTGTTTGTTTACTTGATAGTGGCTAATGAAGCTAATTTTGATTTGTCTGTTCATAATTCAACAATGGTAAAATAAGTAGTCCAAAATGAAATTAATGGAAGAGTTTCAATGGAAAAAACTTTGCTGACCCAAAATTACACAAAGGCCTATTCTGTTACCAAAATATTATCCTAATTAAAGAGTTATCTAAAGGTTCCCAGCAAGTTTCCCACTGAACCACTTAAAAATAAAATGGTTTTCGAGGGCCTAGTCAAAACCAAGATTTAAACAGACTCTTCTTCCATGAGACTATTATGCAAATGAAGCCTAAGCTCTAATTGTCAGTTATCACAAACACTTGATGGCTGTCATTTCCAACAAGGATAGCAGAAGCATTTGTCAGGTTTTGTTGCAAATCACTTTCTCAGATGGGGTCAGTATGGTTCAAAGCATCTTTTTCTTTGATCAATGAAATCATCATTCGAAAACAATTCACTTAATGTATCTTTATATGATATTAAAATGTGTTTGATGATAAAAATTTTGCACTGCAACTAAATACATCATTAAATACATGTTAGAAAACAACTGCGTATTTACAGTACCATAAAATTGGTTTATAATTGCTTGTTTATTTAGTTATGTGTTTATGCATTAACATGTTGCTTTATAATTATGTTTGCGGCCAACATTTTGTACATTTGTTGAATGTGAGATAAAAACAGCACCCTGTTTGGCTGCAAAATAGGTGCAAGCAACAGCTCCTAGTCTACATAATTAGTGCCCTCTTCAGCTTGACACAACAGGTGGTGTGTTTTTCTCTCACAGGGGGAACCGGGACCCATGGGCTTACCTGGGCTCGAAGGGCTTCCAGGTGCCAAGGTAGGCAGCAAAAGCGTTTTTCTCCTGCAAATGAGCTTCCCCTGATTGCAACACCACGAAATGTGCATTCTCTCTGGAGAATTCTCATTATACATAGTTAGAAAGTGCTTCTTTGTGAAAGGATGTATCCGTCTTATGGAGAATATAAATGCCGAGCCCTGTGAACATTATAGGTGCTAGTTAAAGTTACGAGCCAGCTTCAGGGAAACTAAATGTTTTTTTTAGAGAAATTCAATTACTTGTGTTTTGGTTTAAATATCGCCTGGAGGAATTTCAAGTCGACATTTCCGGAGAGGATATACTGCAATTTGGAGCCAAAGCATTAATGTAATGGCTAACAAAGCACACAGTGAATTGCAAGTGCTGGTGTAGATACATTTTCCTGAAGAGGAGCATCAACTTCTGTAACATCAAGTTTTTTTTTTCCTTCTAGAACCGTCAGTGGTTTAAAATGTGCACATAAGTGCTTACTGTGTAAATATAAACAAAGAGGTGTGAGAGTTTCAGCCTTTGTATCAGCCTTTAAATCTGCTCATTTAAGGACCATATTATAAGCCTAAATGTTTGCAAAGAAAAATGTCCCAAATCATTAATTTTGAATCATGTTGGTAGAAATTATTTATCAAACCTAACTACAACTTTGTGTCATTTTCTTTTCACATTACAGCTGTGTTGTTCTGTGTCTTGGTCTGTCTCATAACAACCGACTTAAATTAATTCAGGTTTTGAGTTTTCATGTTAGAAATTGTGAAAAGGTTTAAATACTACACTGTGCTCCATCAACAATATCTTGCAATATGTCCTGAAAATGAAAGGTTACTCTAATACTTTTGGTGCCATTTCTCTCTCATCTTCCTGATCTTTTTTTTTTTTTTTTCAGGGTGATATCGGCCTCCCAGGTCCCCCTGGGGGAACTGGTCCTTCAGTGAGTATAATGTATTCATTATTCTCTTTATTTGTTATACTTAATGTTCTTATTTTTGCCATGCTTCTTTGTAAAATCTGATTTGTTGTGTTTAAAACCCCAGGTTGCATAAGGTCAGCTGTGTTTCATTACTTTGAAAAATGTGTTAGGTAATAATAGACTACTAGGCTTAGAATACTACTGTAAACTGGAGTGTACAGTATAGAGGATTATGGTGCAGCCATACAATAAATAGAAGCCCCCAGATACAACACTACTGAGGACCTATCAAACAAGCTATGTTCTCCTACTATCTCTGTGATTGACAGGGGAAGCCCGGCAGTCGCGGAGAGCCAGGGATCCCTGGAGAACCGGTGAGCTGCAGCCTCAAACTCCTTTTGAACTGTCAATCCCAGCATTATCCCTTTGTCACTGCAGACTGACACCCTCATGGTCTCTGTTCTCTGACAGGGTGAGAGGGGGCCTATCGGAGAGACTGGATTCCCTGGACCTGAAGGACCTCAAGGTGTTCCTGTAAGGACACGACTCTGTTAATCAGCAGATCCTACAATAACGTCCACACCTCTTTACGCTTTTAGATTCGTTCTTGATTTTAGCTTTTGTGAAGAAAAGACCAACATGATTCAAGGACAATACGGATGAAATACGTATGCTATCTGCCACTTGTCCTGTAGATGATTATATTCCCACATTCCTCTATGTAATTACCATCAGTGGTGGTTTCTGTAATTTTCCCTGTAAGTGCACAATGGAACAGTGTTCACTCAGCAATCAGGATCATTATCCCTCAGTTGAGATATCTCATTAACTGTGGAGATTACTAGGAGTGCAAAAGCGCTGATCCAATCGAAGGTGGGAGCTGATACAAAATGTCTTTGTTTGTGTTGCGGTTCATGAGCAGGGGAGGCCTGGAAAAGATGGAACTCCTGGATACAAGGTGAGTTGTTGCAAATCCCCTTATAGAAAGTGCTTTACATCAAGCAGGCTACAGAGAGATGGCGCAGCAGATTTTTATCCCCCCCTTCGGCATCAGCGTGCGGACTGCATTAAACTGATTTGCATATTTTGAGATTTTAACGATAGAAACTAAATGGAATCCTGCAGGTTTAAGGCTTTGTTGACTTTTATTCTTTCTACCCTAATTATACAGTTAATGCTTTCAGACAGTGATAAAACGTTTGTAATAGAGGGCGTTACACACTTCAAATTAATGATGTATTTTTTCGCTTAGTGAACCTGGCTAGAGTTGAAACAAATCCAGCAGAAAAAAGTCTGCTTTTAGATGGCTGATCAAATTTATTATACGCTGTTTACTTCATGAGCACTGAGAACGGTCCTGCAGGATGCAGAACAGATCTGCTTGAATAGCCACTCCATACACATTATATGATCCAACACCCAAACTTGACTGATTGTAGTTATTACTGTTTTGCCCAGATATACAAGATGTTTTTCACCTTACACCTAAATAGCAGCCCTAACGCTTTATTGTTTGTTCATTTTTATTATTTAATATTTTGCCACTATAATCTGCGTGTTCCACTGAGGCCATCTACATAGAGGCTCACATTCTGGTGGAACAACAGTGCCATCTAGTAGGTGGCTTTTCTCATCTTCATAGTTTGCTTGCTCACTGCTTTGAGGTTTAATATAATGCTCAGGGAAGCACATTTCAGTGGGCTAGATGATAGATTTAAGCTTCCCATCAGACAGTGGGGAATACACCATGCTGTAGATTAAAGCAGGCAAGGGAGAATGGCATCACAAAGCGGTGCCCGCTTTAAAACCACATCATGCCAGATGTCATGTCTTTTCCATGCCTCCTGTAATCCAGCGGGAAATTGATACAAAGATGCTCCCTGAGGTAATAGTATGAGCAAAGTAAAAGGAAGCAATGAGGAGTGACAGGAAGGGGACTGCATGACTCAAGATGTTGTGACATGAAGCCGGAGACAGGTATTTTCCTCGCGGCTCATCCGTACAGTAGAGACAGCTGGTGGGAAAGCAGACCTTTTTCAAACAAATCTAGAGTGATGGAGAGGAGCTGTGACATTGCAGAAGGTTAAACACTATACTGAGAAATGTTATGCAAGCAGCAGAAGCTAAGCAGAGTTTAAAGCATTCAAAGCACAATCATTAGAAAACAGTCAACGTTTGTTGGAGTCATGCATTTTCGAGAGAGACAGGTTTGAGTTTTTCGAAAAATGAACAGTGAAGGACTTCATAGAGCTTTGAGCTGCAATACCAGTTTAAGCCAAATCCAGACAGTTTATTTAAAAATGAATTGTGAATAAATTAATTTTCTGCTTCCTTGATAAATGGCAAAAAAAACAAATTGAAATGTTTATAGGATAATAAAACAATACATTAAAAAAACATTCTAGTAAACCCCTGATCATAACCATCCAAAGAATACAAGCATTATTAAATTAACACAAACTAAAAAGGATTACAATATACTTTACATAGCTTTTTTTTTTTTGCACGCTTCCATTATATTTAGCTTGTATATTTTATCTTTTTAAGTCAATATCCGAGAAAGTAAAGCTCTGATTGTTGATTTGTTTTTCATTTGTCCGTTTAAACTATTCAAAACTCTTAACTCAACAATCAAATGTTGTTTATAAAAGATATTTAAAATAAAATGTACTATGCACGGTGTGTGTGAAAGCAGGCAAACCACACAACACAACTTTTACATAAAGTTTCATATCTTAAACTGTCCTTAGCATCTAATATTTTGTGTTAGCACAAAAAATTCAGTTATTAGAGGCGATAGTGACATACAGTGACGTACAGAAGTTTGTCCTCCAACCAGAGGGTCAATGTTAGAAACCCAGTTTCATCCATCTTAGTCTTCGTGTCCTTCAGCAATATTTCATCCCCATTGCTTACAGATAATGTTCAGAGGTCTTAATGGCAGTGTGCCCCTGCACAGCTATGGCTACACTGTAGCTTGCCGCCATCAGTGTGTGAATGTGCGTGAATGGCTGAATGCCTCACTGAGACTGAAATGACCTAACTGAGTCTTCTTCATGCAGTAGCCACTTTTACTCAGAGTAACCTGTAGCGTTCACACATGATGCGACTGGCTTATCTTGATCATAATGCGTAAAATATGTACTTGTACTCGTCTTCTGCTTATCCGGGAACGGGTCACAGGGGCAGGATTCTCTGCAGAGATAAGCCTGAGGGGCTACAGGGTCAAACAGGAGCCATAGTCCCGCGAGTGTTTCAGATTTTACAGTGGAAATAGTGTAAAATTGGTCATTCATCAGCCAATTTCTTAGTGCATCTCTAAAATTTTAAGGATTTTATAAGTTACCTCTTCCTTAAAATAGATGATAAACTTCTTTTACTTTTCTAGTGAAGCTCTTAAGTCTGTGTGTTTTTTTTTTCCTGCAGGGATCCACAGGTGTACCAGGTGACAGGGGATCCAAAGGAGAACGTGTAAGTAGCATAACTCTTTCCAAATAAAAGCTGGTTCAAACATTAATGCTAAAAATGTGTTCATAGAATGGAAATGAATGAATGGTAATGAAAGTCACAATGAATGTGCGTTTCAGCACAAATATTACTAATCCCACAAGCACATGAGCACCGGAAAGAAAGGCATTTAACGCTTAGTGCAGCTTTTCATTGTGTTTGTCAAGCTTCGTCACAGTTGCTCAGTAATCTTTTTTTCAAATGTTGCTATTAGAGGAGAAAATTAGACTTTTAACGTTTTTACCAACAGAAGAATGCTCTGCAGGTGAGAGAAACTGACAAAATGGATCATGGTTCATGGCATGGTTAGGGACTTTATCAGGCCTTACAGTTTGGGTTTTCTGCAACTACAAGCCCAGCAGAAATTTACATACATCCATATTAGTGGGAAATGTGCTGCAAAACTGTCCAATAGGGGATTTTTCATAGGATTCGTAATGGAGCCATTTTCATTGTCTTTATAGGTTTGATGCCAGACAAATCTGAGTAAACAGTAGAAAGTATAGACAAGTTGATCAGTTTAAACTGTCTTCCTTTTTTTCCTATATCAGGGACCAAGCTAAGACCTACTAATGTGGCTGTGTTACATAAGCTATAATAGGTGCTGTTCAATAAACCTTTGGGCCAGGCCCGCCTAGTACCATCAAGCTTTGGCAAAATCCACACAGAAACTATGATTTTTTTTTCTTATGTTTTAAAGAAGTCAAATCAGTATTAAGGATCGTAGTTTTTTATCATATATAAAGCCAATCTTTTAATGGTTCTGTCTTTGGTTCTTTCATATCTACTAGCCCTATCAAAGACTTTGTTATACATATTGTATTTTTTCACATGTTCCAGTGCTAAAAAGTGAGAATTTGTAAAAACATATACAGTAATATGCTAACTTCCGATTTTGAAATTAGTCAAATAAGTCTTGACTAATTTCTAGTTTCACGTAATCCCAAGCATGATATTATATTATATTGATATTTTTACTGTTGCATTTTCAAAGACCATATTATCAAAATCAGCATCTTTTTTTAACCACAGGGTGATCCAGGCATTCCAGGAGAAAGAGGTGTTCAAGGTGAGAGAGGTCGTGTAGGAGATCCTGGCCCCATTGGACCAATGGGACCACCAGGAGGAAAAGGAGATCCTGGCCCCCCTGGACAATTAGGCAGTGTAAAACTGCTGGTGAGTTGCAAAACATGCTTTTTTTCCCATGAAAAGATTCTGTACCTATAGAATTAAAGTCATTTGACAGGATACTGCAGTTTGTATAACCAGTGTAGCTTCTTCCTGCCTGGATGGAAAGCAATGTATCTACAGCTTTCTGCATAAAAAAATATCAAACTAAGCTGAGCAGGGAGCTCACTGTTCATTCTCTGCTCAACGCTTCCCACTCCCGATCATCTAGGCGTAACAGAAGGTCAAAGCAGGAGAGAGTCGGAAGCAGAGGGAAAGACAGAGATATGTGGGCGTGCCAAGAGCTCTGCAGAGCGGAGAAAACACCTCCATCTGTCACACACATTTTACGCTCATTGTAGTTATATAACATCCAGAGTGATGAAAAGCTGTTTTGAATGCAACAATACAACATTGAAGCCTATTGTGTGTCGTTGTTATGAATCCTGCCCTGGAAAGCAATGCAGTTGGGAACAGTTCCTCACTCACATAAACCTGAGACTGAAAGTCCTTTGAGTGGAACAACATGTACTGTATGTGGATAAGTAAAGAACTATTTTTACAGCTTTTTTTTTTTCCTTTTAGGTGTTCACCAAAGCAGACAAGGCATACCGCTAAAAGAGAATGGTTTTAATTAAAAAATTAATAAAAATGATCGGTAACCTTCAATATCTGGCTCACCCAAAACTGTAAAACCCAGAACAGCTTCTAAGCAGCTTTGGCAACATTCTTTAAAGCAAAAACGAAAAATCACCTTGTGTGCAATTTGCTGATATTTTGGGTTAAAGCAGCTCCCTTTTGTTAAAGAGGTTTGCCAGAGCATTCACAGTGTTAGCACTCCCCTCTTTTCTATCGCATATGTGTGCCCCGCAGAGCAGCTGCACCTTGAACACAACTTGAACTGCTGAAAAAAGGATAGCCAAAATGTTTAAGAAACTCTGCTGAGGTATTGAAAAGCAGAAGAATAAAAACACGACAGGACATGTTATTATTTTAGAAGAGCAACGTTTTAATATACATACTGAAATACACGTTGCTTGTAGTTCAAGGCGTTTATCTCTTAAATGGACTTAAATAGCGTGGAAAAAATTGTCATAATTTCTAAAAATATGTTTTAAGTAGTTTATATTTGTCTTATGTTCCATCAATATGTTTTACATATACTGAATTGAAGTATAAAGGCAGTATTTACATTTAAAAGGTAGAATGACACGATCCCAGATAATCATTATTATAAAGTTATAATAATAATCATATATCATCAACGTTTTTGATAGGCTATCATTTTGCAATTCCTCTACAGTTGGCATCACAAACAATGTTAGCTGGATGATTGCTAATAATAATTTTTGGTTGAAAAGCAGCGTTAAAAAAGTGTCTCTCAGAAATAAAGTGATTTATACGTATTAATATTTCTTTTAAAGTTGAAAGGATTATAAGCTTCTTATTGAGCCATTATACCAGCAGCATAAAGCAACATGTGGGGGAGGATAACAATCTGCTACTCTTTTCACCAAAGAAATGGGGGGGGGGGAAACTCTTACAATTTCTCTAGCATTTTTTTCAAATTACTTGGAAATGTAATAATAGTAAGACAGCAGTTTCTATCTGTTTGGAATAAGATACCATTTCAAACTGGCTCTTTATACCTGTATATGAGCTCATATTTACACATTCAATAAATGTCAAGCATTAAAGCACATTCCATCACAAGTATTTCGATTATTTAGATTACATTTTTTTTTAAGATGGTTGTGCTATTCTTCCATTTGTGGATTTTATTAGAAATGTATTCTCGCATCATGCTTACCTTTTTTTAGCTGCCATGGTCAGAGACCAGGCGATACATTACCAGTACTACAAGCTGATATTTATTTACATTTCATGAATCAGATCCTTGCATCAACATTTTTGCAATTAGAGATAGTAAATTGCCATGTTAGGAACTGGTTTGATGAAAAATAAATTATAAAAAAAAATCTAATAAACAATTGTCTCTATGTTGGGTAGCCATGGTAAAATACAATTTAAGTCGGGCTGCAACTAATGATTATTTTGCAAATTTATTAATCTCTTGATTATTTTTTTTGATAAATCGATTAATAGCGAGATAGCCAAAGGTTCCTTAAAGAAGTTTTTTTTTTTTTACAAAATGTAACCCGGTAAAACTAAAACTTTTCCACTTTAGGAGCTATAGAGCATGTTGACAGACAAATTTTTTATTTTTTTTTTATGTCAAATGCAAGATGTTTATATATGATTTTACAATTTTGGTATAATTGATGCTCTAAGTTTGTTGTTCTATTAGCTAAAAGCATGTTTTACAGTTTCTATAATCCAGTAAAAGATTAATCAATTAGTAAATAAGCTGTTAATTATTTCAATGATCGATTAATCACGATTAATCCGATTAATTGTTTCAACCCTAAATTTAAGATCGTGGTTTTCTTTTCCCACGCAAATATGGCAAAAAACATGTTATTATAAAAAAAGCAAAGCATAAATTTGGTTCATAAAAGATTACAAAGCACCATAAATGAGAGAAACTGGCATGGAGACACTCAGAAGTCACATGTTTCAGTCAATGTCCACAAAGTTTAAATGAACATGTCTTAGTTAAAAACAAGACCTCACCACAATAAGATGTAAATATTACACACTTCCAATGAGTTAACCCAGTTCTCCAATATGACCACCCATTAATAAATGCTGACAGGCTGACTTTAGTCCATTTTATTCATGACTGTAACAATAACTTGCTTTAGCAAATGATTTATAGACTTTCTTACTGCTAAAATATTCTGGATGTTTTTATATTTATACTATATGTCTTTATAATAGCCTAGGATATTTCAGAGGCACACAGAGCTAACATAATTCCTCTGTGGCTCAGGGTGCATCACTGCAGTGCTGAACATAAAGTAATAGCCCTTTGGAGAGTTACACTATCAAATTTAATATGCCTGGCTAAATCTGCTTTATTTCATGCTGAGCTCAGATCATGAGCTGAGGTAGAAAGAGATCCTAGAGGAGAATTTTAAAGTATAGAACTGTATCTTTTTTCTTTCCTTCATTTCGACAGTGTATGGCTTCAAAAAAGGGGAAAATCTATTTAATTGTCATGCCATGATAACTATAATCGGCACCGTGTGTCCTTTCCTGCATTTGACTGAGAATAAAGGTTTAGCTTGTGTTTTCTCCTAATTGGATTTTTTATTCCATCATGCCTGAGTTAAAACGCGTCAGAGAATTATTTTTTTATCCCCTCTTCACACAGGATGATCCCAGCTTTACAGAAGAACTCAAAATCTTTATCCAAAGTGAAGTAATAAGGATTTTTGAAGGTAAAAATAGTTTGACATTTAATATATTTGATGTGTTTTCATTCTTTTAACACCCCCTCTCTTTATGTCACCCTCCAAGTGTTTTACCTCTACAGTTTTTTTTTTTTTATATATATTAATTTCCTGTCTTGCAGAGAAAGTTTCTGGCGCTGCTATGCAACAGAAAACACCTGCTGGGATCTTAGCTTCACCCTTCCAAGGTCCTCCAGGACCACCTGGCAAGGATGGGTCACCTGGTCCACCAGGAGAGCCTGGGCCTCCGGGCCCTCAAGGTAGGAGCTCAAATCTTAAATGCTCGACTGCCAACTGCAGGGAATTAACCAGAAAATATAACACTAATGGTTTGAACTACATTTTGGGGTTTTAATTTACTAATTATTTATCAGGAGCTTCGCCTCCACCACTTTTCCACATTTTGTCATCTTACAGCCACCAAACCGTGGTGCCTTTGTTTGGCCTTGCTTTAGTAAACCAACACAAAGTAGTAAATAGTTATGAAGGGGTAAAACATCAGAATTAGTAAGAAGTCACATAATGCATAGTTTTCCGATTTTTATAAAGATCCAAAAAGAGGTAACACTTTTACGTTTACCCCTTCTACTCTTATCCCCCTCAATAAAATCCTTTTTTGCCCAATTCTCCTCTGAAATCACCTGTTTTCCACATAGTATCCACCTTTGTCCAGTCCTTAAGAGTGAATGAATCAATTTTTAAAATTCCCTCATTAGCATTTCATTCGGCTCCAAAGAAGCCTAGTAATAATCCATTCCTATTATTGAGGTGTGTTAGGAAAGGAATCCATCTGAATGTGTCAGGATAGCTGCTCTCGAGTACTGGACCTGAGTGGAGCTGCCAAGAGACCCATTGTAACTCATCCATACAACCCTGCAGCTCAGAGTGAAGATTCATTTGACAGGAGAGCTATTAGTTCTGCACTGAACAAATCGGATTTTTGGAAAAAGAAATAGCAACAAAAAAAAAAAGCCATTGCTAAATAAGAGGTCCAGTTTGCAGTTTCCCAAAAGATATATAGAGTAGATGGTAAACATGTGAAAGAAGAGAGAGTTTTGCCTACATGGAAAAATTAAAACTGAACATACCATTCATATGGAGAAAAGCAGTGGTTGCATCATCATGTTGTGTGTATTTATTTGGGGGGGGGGGGGTTGTAATCACAGGCAAGGAAGCTATTTAGAGATGATGGGAAGCTGAAATTCAAGATAATCTTAAAAGGAAACCTGTTCAAGGCTGCATCTTGGAAAAGAAGAGAAACCATGTAGCCAAAGCTAAAATGAAACCCTGTGGTTAGAATGGCAGTCAAAGGTCAGACTTATATCTTACCAATTTCAGAGATGCTCTCCAGTCCCCAGCCTTAGCCTGGGCCTATTTACAAGAAATAATGTGAGAAAATGTAATGCTTCGGATTTTACCAAGGTAAGTTAGTATTTGTTCTGGATGGTGAAGAAATATACTAGCCTCATGTCTAATTGTCATTTATTGAAATACCGTTTTACCTATAAAAAAAATTTAAAATGGATATGATTCCCTTTAGATTTACAATATTTGAACACTTAATGTTAGTTATCTATCTATCTATCTATCTATCTATCTATCTATCTATCTATCTATCTATCTATCTATCTATCTATCTATCTATCTATATGAAAATGCAAAGAAGTTCTTATTTCTAACATAATAAAATGTGTAAAGGTTTAAGATATAATAATGCTTTAAAGGACACTGTATATATATCCTGCCCAAGAGCTACGGTATAAGAATACAGTAAAATCTAGAGCAGCCAGCTGTATTCTTGCCTGGTCTATGTTGGAAAGAAGGAAGAGCTACCGTATAAAAATGCACCATCCTAAATCTCATAACAACAACTGACTCATGCATGTTTTTGTTATGAGAAGAGCTGATCTGAATTGCTGTAGATTGCTTGGAATGGGGTCAGGCTGACAGTTATACTGTGTATGGATTCATGAGTATTTTTCTCTTGCATAGACCCATATATCAATGCAGACTGAGGGGCGGGGAGCAGAGGAAAAGGCCAGGAGTGTGGTGCACTGCAGCTCTCTGGGAAATATGAAGACAAACGAAGAATTGGCTGTGAATAAGAGAAAGTGTTATCAGTGCGGACAGGAAAGAGCTCCATTATTGATACCTCACTCAAGGAGAGAGAGTTTCTGAAATACAAAAGGAGCGTAGTCAGGTTGGAAGGTGGACATTCATTATAAGACTAATCCTTACTCTCTGACTGCTCACACAACACTAATGGTTTGCTGGTCAGGCTTTCCACTTTAACATACTTAGATTTATATTGTGCCCGCAGTAGAACTATGGTATAGCTTTTAAAGAGGACTTTTTCATGTATTGGTGCACACCAAGGCTTTGTTGCACTGGCCTTTGTCTTTAAACTTTTGTATCTACCTCACATTGCTCAAGACCATTTACACATTAACTCAAAGCTATAACTTACAATGCTAGTTTCATTCATGAATAATGTATTGAATGTGCTGAAACCAGATATTTACATTCACTTATAAAAAAAGGACATATTGTTTTTCATTCTGATTTGCCAAAAAATATCAGAAAAATCTGAGTTTGCCCAGAATCTTTAAGAATGTTCTTAATATTCATAAGTTTACCTACTTAGTATTTGGTTAAACTGGTTTTTGAGCTATATAAACTGGGTCATAATGTTTGATTATACTTGCATGGGCTTCTTATAAGAGTTTGCTGGAATTTTGCTCCAGTCACTCTGACAAATCTTGTGCAACTTTTCCAACTTTGTAGGCTCTCCTGCTTGCACACACTTTTCCAGGATTTTTGATGGCCACTCCAAAATATTAATTTTTTCCTGCTTTTGTTCCTTTTTTTAATTTGGTTGTTTAATTAGTGTCATTATTTATTCATAAAACGTATTTCTGCTCAAGCTTTAACTTCCTGCCTACTGTCTTGTTCTTTTGCCTCAATAATCCCAGATAATTTTCTTTCCTCAAATACAATCTACAATCATACTGAAAAAATGAGAACATTATTGTAAAGTTAATTTACTTTAGTAACTCCAATCTTTAAGTGAAACTCATTATACAGATAAATTACACACACGCATGTTTTCAAGCCCTTATTTCTGTTAATTATGATGATTTCCACTTAGAGCTAATGAAAACATTACCTTTGAGATTAGAATATTACATCAGATTGTTTAAAAATTATTTTTTGGGGAGTTATGTTTAATTCATGCGCAAAGACTATTATCAGACGGTACTTTAAATCTGATGAATGAGGTTCATTAAAATGCATAGTCTGACTTGTTGAGTATGTTTATATAGAAAACATGATGCCACTGCCATCTTTCCCAGTTACAATAGTTTTCTAAGGCTTACGCAGATAATCAGAGTGGCCAAATACTTCAAATATAGTTTTATAAAAACACAACGTCTCCAAAAATAGGATATTTCTCTTTGTATGCAATTGCAAGCTATAGCCTGGATTTTTATGTTGCTTTGAAAATAATGGCTTCATCTCCACTAAGTGGCCTTTCAGCCCATGCCAGAACAGGATTTGTCTCTCTTTTGATAATGACATCCTCTTCTAGTACCTTTCTATCTTTACGAGCCTGTTTGTTTTTGCTGATATGCACATTTCAAACCAACACTATAGTCCCTTAGACACAAATATCATCTCCTTTCTGAACATCACAATAGCTTGGCATTCCCATGATGTTTATACTTGCATAAGTTAGTTTAAACAAATGTGGCACCTTTTTGCTGATTTATTTAGATTCCCAGATGATGCTGCTAAAAAAAAAAAACAGCATGTTTGAGGCGTTTTCATATATATCAACTCTGTTTGGCTCTGTTTAAGTTTAGTGGGGATTTTATTTTTATGCCAAATATATCATCATTTGGACTCTCCAAAATATGCTTCAAGCATAGTATGTAAACTTATGAATTTAAGAAACTAATGATAAATAATATTAAAAAATTTTTGTATTCCTTTCTCAGCTAAAACAGTTAACATTCAGCCTGATGTTTGATGTTTGTCTTTTTTAAATAGTGTTTTAAATATCTGGTTTTCCACTGTTTTCATGTAGTCAACCACTCCAATATAATGTTTGCCCTGTGTTAATGCCACAGGCATTACACGTCTTTGATTATGTTTGCCTGTTTTCTTGTTTTTTATGCCTTACAAGTGTGTTTTATAGGCTATTGACGATGCAGCTTTGGAATAAATATTTATTAAAAACCAAAGAAAAAAAGTTATTTTTCTTAATACAACAAGAATCCAAAAACTTCTTTTTTTTCTCTGTTAACTTGTGGATCCACTCAACTGGTTAGAGAGTTTGTGGTAATATTTCCTCATTATTTCTCGTCATCCTTCGCTGAAGACCATGCTCCTCTGGAATATCCAATTTGACTTCTTCCCTATTGTGGCAAAATGAATTGTTTATGGAGAAAAATTACCCTGTTGAAATCATTGTCTTTCTTTTATTCATTTTTTTCTTGTTTGTGGCATGATTGCACAAGGGATAAGGTCTCCAGCTGTCACACCATGACTTTGAATACACAAGCTTAAAAAGCAGCATTTCCTTTATTGTATTTTTGTGCTGTATCTTGGTAATTTTCTTTTGTTTTATTCTTTCTTTGTTTTTTAAGTAGCAATTGAAAAAACTCAGTGTAAGTGTAGGTCATTACATATTTAATTAACTCTTCATTTTATTTCTCTTTTTTTAGTTGCCTACATTTTTATCTTGTGATTTTAGTTTCTGTGTAGTTATTAATATTGACTGAAACAAATGTTTTTTTTCTTTATAATCAGTCAGTGCCTTCTGTTACTCTGTTTTTTTTTTTTTTTTTTAAGATAGATGTCTTATCTGCGTGAATTTAATGGAAAGGCTTAATGTAGAAAGTTTTGTTTTGTTTTTTTTATTTATCAAGGCATGCTGTTAGCATGAATTGATGGCTGTTGCTGTCGATGATGTTTATAGTGGTGCACATGAGGTGTAGAGCTGCAGCCTTATCAATCAACAATGGAACAGTATTAGATGGCCATATCTACTTTTTTTTTGTATTTTGTCCATTAGTGGCCCTGGAAACAATTTATTTTGGACCAAGCGCCCCATGTGTGACATTTTCGATTTCATCAGGTTGCAACAATTTGCCTTGGCACCCAAGCTTATTGCTTTGTGTGCCATTCAGTAAATTTTTTTCATTTTGCTTAAGGTACAGTGCACTTTTCTCCATGAACGTCTCCTGCCTGAATGAATGACCCCGGCCCTCTGAGTGTTGAAAGAAGTCTCATTACTGCGGCGATGTGTGGATAGACCCTCTTTCTTTTAGATTCCGTTTTGGAGCACTCATGAGCCTTTTCTTCCGAGATTTTCTCTGACATGTAAGCGTTGAAGCGTTTCCCCTCTGGGCCAGGCAGCAAGATGCTTGATACTCCTGTCAATGTTTCTGATGCACTCCATGCAACCACTGGTTGTGAGACTCCATTACTTTAAGTGCCTCATGGGGAAATATTGTTTTGGCCCCTTGCCTTTTTACTTGGTATGCTGCTGTTCTTTGCTGTAAGGACTCACCAGCTTTGCATGCAGAGAAAAGCTTTTAAAGGTTGATTGTGTGTATTTTGCTATAAACACCAACACTGCCTGGTCTGATTTGTTAATGTATGGGCTGTGTTTTTAATTTATTTTATTTTATTTACTAAGATTATTTTTGTTTTACATTTTCGTAGGCATGCAGCCTCCTTAATTTTGTTGGCAATTTCCAACTCCTTATGTCAATCTAAATGCCAGCTTTCAAACCATTTATTCTCACTTAGTAAAACGTAAATAAAAAAGGACTTGTGAAATGATGATTTTGTTATAGGAAGAGAGCTGTCCAAACCAAGTCTTTCACAGTAACAACATCCAAAAACCTTTTTCATCATTTTGAGGAATTTGTGAGGCACTCTTCTTTGCAAAATAGTTTCAATAAAGCTCAATTGTATAGGTTTTAAAATATTTAGTTAGTTAGAAAAAGTCGAAAGGAAGTCATATTTGAATGTCAAATCATTCTGGCTTAAACATGTATATAAACGTACTCTTTATCAGACTATATTGTCCCAAAATTTAGAACATTTCTTTAAAAATAAAAATCCTGTCTAAAAATCTGTGGGGGTATTTTTCATTATTTTATGCAGGTCAGTTAGTTATACGTCAGCTTGTACACCTACATTCGGCCAAATATATATATATAAATTTATTTATTTTATATCATATATTTTGTTTTTGTTATTTTGCTATTTATTTTTTAAACTTCGGAGATCAAACATCCATTCAATATAATACATGCTTTTACCGTAAAAATAACTTTCCTGAAAGCCTGTCAGCATTTCCTATTTAAATTTTTTTCTCAACAAAAAAAGCCAAAAAGCTCAAAATCAAAGACGGAAGCATTATTGCTGTAATATGTTAAATTTAGTTTAGTTTATTTTGCAAATCGATTAATCATTCGATTATTTTTCAATTAATCGATTAATAATTGGATAGCCAAGAGGATTGTTTTAATGAAATTAAACAAGGTGAAGCTAAAATGTTTCCAATTATGGAGGTCTGGATAGAGCAAATTTACAGATGAAAATGTTTTTTTTTTTACTTTAATGCAAAATACTTTTTTTTACAATTTAATATAATTCCTGCTCTATTTGTGTTGATGTGTCAGCAAAAGGCACGTTTTAGGGCTAATAGCTCACTAAATTATTTGACAATTATTTCAACAATCAATTAATCACGATTGATCCAGCCCTAATTTAGTTATTTATCAAAGTCATGCGATCTAGCTGCTGTATCTCTTATTATTATCCAGACCTGTTTTTAAATACATTACTGAGGCTGTTTTGCGTTTTTTTTCTTAACGTAACATCATCTACACCTAAGAGTGTTGCAGTTAGCTTGGCCTGTTGTGTGGTCCATTTCCTAATTGTACATTTTTAACATTCGCGAAACATTTCATTTCTATGTTTTACATTGTTTGCAGTCTCTTTTTTAAATATAAATCAACAAAAATCATTAATTTAATGAAATTTCATAATCAAAAAAGGAAATATAAGCTATTCTTGTGCTTTGGACAGTTTTTTTTGTAGTTTTCTTCGTCCTGTACCATGCGGCTCAGCGTTCATAGCAGCGAGTTCAACTTGGTTCATCAATGTAATTATTGCTCTGACTTTGCTGACTATGCTGCAGCTTTAGCTAAAATCGTTTTTTCTACTTTTTTCCACTGAATAAATGTATGCAACTTAAAGTTTTTCAAGCTGCTATGCTTTTAATGAATTGTTTTATTCGTTATCTTCATCAATTTTACCAATAAAAAAAAAAACATAAACATAACATAGAAGAACCATGGCTAATATTTTCATCAGCAACCATAACATTTTGTGTGTGTGTGTGTTTTGGTTTGTCTGTTTTTATTCACCCACTTGTCTCATGAGTTTAAATGCCTGAGGTGACCTACATATCTGATGCCTTGTTGAACTAATCCTTACTTTCTGCTGAGAGTCTTGAAAGATTTTCCTTTCCTTGTCCATTACACCTTTTAAGTAACCTGTAGATAGATTGTTTGATGATTCTTGTTTTGATAATATGTGAGCACATCTTTTAATATTTTAAAATATCAAATATTTTGGAGCTCTGAGCTGTGAGCGTCTACAGACTAAACTAATAACCCTTAGAAAAAGAGGGCCAAACATTTTGTACTGAAAGCACAGATAAAAATATAAAGATGTCTTTCTTCTTTGGCAGATATAAAGGTTGCAAAAATGTGTTGCCATGTGGACACTTTAACAAATTGTGGCATTGGTTTGAATTTGGCTAACTGTACTTTGCACTTTATACACAGGACACCACTCAGTTACTCTTATGTATTGGCTCACATAATGGTACGTCTCTGTGCCCTCAGGATACAGAGGTCAGAAAGGAGAGCGAGGACAGCTTGGCTTCGGTTTACCAGGAGATCCAGGACCCACAGGGCCACCAGGTGAGAAAACAAAAATAAAAGCATATTCATTTAAAAGATAAAATTTATAACAGTACTCTGCTTGTCCAGGAACCTCATATATTTTAGTAAGTCTTAACTATTTGTGTGAAAAAAACAACAAAAAACACTACAACTGTGACAAGAAGGATGTTGATGCTCCTACATACAGTGAACAAGATGATAAGGAAGGCAAAAACACTCAGTGCTTGAGAACTGCAGCAAGAGTGGCATTCTGGCATTGGCCAGTTTTTATACAACACCATTTATTACTGACTAAACAGGTAAAATAGGAATATTATGCAGGAAAACACTCACCCACTGCAAAGCATGATCCATTGCCAAATGTCTTGGCTTACCCATCCGACGCCTAGATTTTAGGTGTTCAATACCAACCATGCTGCTTTAGCATGCATTTGTGAAAGAATGGATTGCTTTAAGGAACTCTATGAATTATGGACTCCCTAAGATCACAGAAAGATGTTCTTAAATGTCGTAGTGTATAGAGAAAATCATCCAGTTGGTGTCGACAGCAGAACAGTTTTATGTCATCACTTATTTTCACTAGTACCCATAGGCGGATCTACTGGGGTGGCATGGGGTGGCAAATGCCACCCTAAATGACAGCCTTGCCACCCCTGCTGCCACCCCTGTTGGCGGTAGGGGTGGCGAGGCTTATAAATTATGGATCATTTGAGAATTACGTCCGCTAATTTCCAATGTCGGACTGCAGTGAATGCAGCACGAGATGACAAGAGAGCGACTGAGACTGATTGTTTTGAAAACCGAATGGGGCAAAGCGAGGGAGCCAGGGGTGATGGGGAGAGGAGAAACGGGATGAAACAGGTAAAAATTGATTAACTATCTATAGAGAAATTAAATCATAATGAAAGCACAATGTTGCTAGCATAGCTGCAATGCTGATTTTTGAGATGATAAAAATCAGGTTGCAGATCGTCATTTCTCTAACTATGATGTTAGTTAGGCCTGACGTCTCAGCCTCATAAAGACATATTTGCGGTCAACTATGACAGAAAAGAGACTGTTAAGTTTGGTTTTACTCAAATCAAAATGCACAAAGGCATTGGATCTAAATAAAGTTGTGAAGCGTTTTGCTGAGCAACATGGAAATCGCTGCATTCAGCTGTTATAGTCATGTTAACTTTATGTTTGCTCTCTGGTGAACCTTTACAGAGCCGTTACATTTTGTTTTGGCACCTGAGAAAATCTGATATTTCCTTTAATAAAACCAAAAGTGTTAAAAGTTAAAAATGTGATACTGGTGTAAATCCTGCTTAATATGAAGCAGTGTTGTTGTTTCTTTTTTTTTTTATATATAATATGAAACTATCCAGAAATGACCCGTATGAACCTACTCACAAGCAAAATGTATTTTTATGTTGCTTCTTTTCAGATTTGTGGAGATTTTGATGTAACATACAGAACCCGCCTTTTTGTTGATTTGTTGATACAGCAGTATGGAGGACCAACTCTGCCATATTTAAAAATAAATACAGAAATAAATAAATGCTTAATAAATAAATAGCCATACAATTATTTGCCACCAAAAATACAAACAACAAATAAATGTAAGTAGAAATTAAATTATCCAGCTAGTCATAAAGGTATATAACTCTTTTAATTGGCTTCTTTATTTCTTTGCCTTTTTAATATTTACCTTATTTATTTTTTTGTCATTTATTATCTTCAACTTCATTTTTTAATTACTTATTTTTTTAAGTATTTATTTATGTGCATGTTATCGTATTTTTGTCTGTTTTATTCTTCATTTGTATTTTTTTACCCTAGTTATTTCTTCGCCGCTATTTCTTTCTGCCTGTCCTTTTAACATTTCTGCCTGCCATTATAATATAATTTCTAATTACATTTATTTGTTGATTTTATTTTTGGTGGCAATTAATTGTATGCTTATTTATTTATTGAGCATTTATTTATTTCTGTATTTATTTTTAAATATGGCAGAGTTGGTCCTCCATATGCAGCTCTATCTACAGCATATTTACATGCATGAAATGTCCCTTTCATGTTGCCTTAACTGCTGTATGTCAAGTTACTGAGGAACAAATGGGGTAAATGTGTGTTCAGAGTAAACATTACATGGATGTCCAGTACCTTGTTTGGGTGCCTTGACCCATTTATTTCTACTGTGTAGTTCTGCTCACTTTAGTGCAGCTCAGTCCATAGATCTCTGATGGGAAACTTTTTCTTTCTATAGTTTCTTCTTGTGCAAATGCTGCAAAGCTGCCTCTCTGACAGTCAATCTCACACATCTGCGACTCAGCACCTGTGTCTTACCTTAATACCTTTCCTGTCATAAGGCCCCTCTAGAAGTAGTGTTATCATTCTTCTATCTCCTATTAATTGAGATCACATTGTACGATGTATTATTAATATGAACTGTTTCACATGAAACACCAAACTGTGATAACTGTGATTAAATTCAGTGTAAACAAATACCATATGTTGCCACCCCTAAAAAAATTCCTGCCCCCCTCTTGCCACCCCATAAATATTTTTCTAGATCCGCCCCTGCTAGTACCAAGTCAGAGCAAATAGCTTTGGGTCACTTTTTGGGGGGGTTTTTTGGCTTTCCATTAGTAACAGTAAGGTGGAGCAGTTAATATTTTTAGTGCCTGCTTGCTTGCAGCTGAGTTGGACTGAAATTTTGGACCATTTGGTTAGGGGATGTTCTACTTGTCCCAGCATGTTTTGGTAACTAATATCTTGAACTATTAAATCAGTTAAAGGGTACAAGTACTATTATAACAGGCTAGCATTAGATAGTATAAGCTTTAAATAGTGTTAGTTTAGCTTGTTAGCTTAGCTTCACATGTTTCTTAACTCGTATTTTCAATTCAAGTGAAGCACATTATACAGTCTGTAACACACACTGTTGTTTTCAAACCTTTTATGTTTGTTAATTGTGTTAATTACTATTTTCTGCCTACTGCCACATTGAATATGACTCTATATATCCCACTATGATAAAAAATAAAAATAATAAAAACAATTCTATACATATCACAGTACATAAATTAGATTTTGAAGTCATTTTTGGCTGGCTCTGCTGGGAAACTGATGAGGAATTGTCTCCTAGAAGGCAAATAATCCAGACCATTTAAATGCTGTTTAAACATAGAAATAGTTCACAGAGCACAAATGAAACCTTTTCAAATTAAATTAAAAAATTAAATTCATGATTAAATCCTATTAAATAACTATTGGTTTAAGTACCATGGAATATCTTGAAACGATGTTCAAAGAGGAAAACAAAATATCCTCCTTTCTTTGAATGCTCCCACAAAGTAAAAATGTTACAGAAGAAGACTAAACTTTAAGCTGTTTTGCAAACAAACATTGTACACTGCTTTAACCAGAGAGGAGATGATGACCCTTAATGTGATCATTTATCATTATTGAGCCTACGCAATTTAGAATTCGACTTTTCCATACGCCCAACATTATGCACTGCAATGGGATAAGCTAGAACTATAAGTAACCAAATGCACCATTAGCTACATCATGGTTTTATATGAAAGACAAAAACAGCCATTTGTAAAGTTTTACTCAGCCAAACCATCATCAAACCTTATAAATAATAAATGTTGGAATGTAAATCATGCTATTTAACTTTTCTTTCAAGCTTTGAGTTCTGATGTTACTCCAACCGCTATGTTATGGTAATTTAAGCACTAAAGTAAGTAAAAAGAAATGTGAAGAGCATTTTTCTAAGCTGCACCTTTTAGGTCAGAATGACCAGAAGTTGCATTGACAACTATTCTCCTCCACTTTCACTTTTTCCTACAGTTTCTCTTCTGTTGAAAGAAACTTAAGTGTATTAGACTTCTGTCAAAAGTCACACCTTTACTGTTTTCTTGGTCATCAAATGCTAAATTCATCTTGATGGCAAAAAATGCAGCACTCAGACAGCATTTTGTTTGTTAAACCCTCATGCTGCTTTAACAAAAGAAAAAATCCCCACCCCCAGGGAAGAGAAAACTCTGTAGTAATGGAAAATGGCATCTGAAACCTAAAATCCTACCGTTCTATCTTCCCAAGCAAAAAAGACCAATCCAGGATGTTGGCACATCTCCCCCGCTGGTTTGAGAAGTGGGATTACTTCTCTTACTTCAAGCCTGTGACAGCAGGACTTTATCACTGAACTTGAAGTCACTCATGCAATCTGTGCATAATGTGTGTGCAGGGGGAAAGGAAAGTTGGCTGCAGCTCTGCTGGAGAGGATAAATCACAGCTGTTGAAAGAAATCATCTCTAGAGGTGCTCGGTTATGGGAAGCACCTGCGGCATAACTGGTGGGGGTTAGACGTAAGCCGTAGCTAGATCTTGGTAAAAAATCAGAAAGTTCTTCAAACCGACTGATATGAATGCAGGTCCACAGGTTTCTTGGAGTGCCTGTTTTTTTTTTTTCTCCACACCTTTAGATTTACAAGTTCCCCTGTAGCCTACAGGAGAAGTTTCTATCTTCTAGCCAACATTTCTTCATGATGAAAGCTTTCCGGGATCCTTGGCATCTTTATAGAGCTGGTTCTCCTCAGAGTCCAAAGACAGGAATAAGTTACTTACTGGAGATTTACTTTGAGAACTAAAGCTGCTTGTGTTAGGCTGCAATATCAGTGCTTCTCAAGTAGAAAGGTTGACACTGGAGCAAAAACAATTACAATGCATGAGACTCAAAAATTATTTATTTAGCACTACTAGATGATCCATCTCAGTGTTTTGTTTTTTTCTTTACCTTACATCTAAAAGTAAAACACTTGTCTGTACTTACTCATTATTAGTGTTAACATCCCCTGAGCACACAAACCCAACAAACACCTCCGTCCTCTTACAGTCTGTGTTAACAGTTACCAAGGCACTTTGTTTGTTTGAGGAGTTAAGCAGCAGACAGCTATGGCAGTGATGGAAGGGGCAAGCTGTGTTATCACAGTGCAGTAAAGGCCAAGCAGGTCTCTTTGTTCGAAGTGAGCAGCCTTTGTTGGGCTGTCTCAGCTCTGAGTGATGTAATGGACAGTCTTCTGGGACGACCGAAGCCGAGGATTTTTTTTTTTTTATGGGCTTATCGAGATCTTTTTAAAAGACAGTGTTAATGCCGGCCACTGTGTTTGATGACCAGAATATAAACAGTGGCGACCGTAAATGAGAAGTCGTCTGTTCTGCGGCTTCAACAAGCTGTTCGAGATGGGATAATGTCCCAGATGCCATAATCACCTCGGTGCATAAGAGTGCAGAGAAACATTTGTTCTCCTTTTCATTCTCATTAGAGCAGCTGAGGAATTCATTTATTGTAATTGAGATATCCTTCAGTATTAATACGTGTCTAAAACAGATTTGGTGAACATGTGCAAAATCACTTTTGAACAGAATGTTTTACCAGTACATTCCCAAACACTACCCCAATAAAACTTACCTCTACTTTAAAAATACAAAAAAGTACATTTTAAACCATGCTTATCATACAATGCAGTCATTGTTTGATTGCCCCCAAGTCAAGTTTTTTGTTTTTTACATAAAAGGTTTAACATACTGTAAATGCGCTGCATCTGAATGATTTAGACTAATTATTTGATTCAATACCAAACCTCAACAGTTATGTGTACATACAATATAACAAACAATATAACATATTGACAGTTACTATGTGCCAATCAGGGTCTTTTTTCATTCCCGTATTGATCTGAGTCATTTAAGAACAGGACTTTCCAAATACCAAGAGACAGTCCAATACCCTATGACTAATGAAATCGATTCCATGTTTATTCTTGATAACCCAGGAGCTTTCATTGCAGTTAAATATCACGCTACTTTTATTGTCCTGCAGTCTTTTCTTTCATCCATGCAGGCTTCCTTTGTTCCTTTCAGAGTTTATTTTGTTTCCATGGTTCCCTCTATAATTCCTCCCTTACTTCATTTGTTCTTTGGATTATTCTTTCCATTTCTTTTTCCTTGTTTGTTCATTTTTCTATCATTCAGTTCTTTTTTGTTACTCTTCTTCTTTCATCCTTCATTTGTTTCTTTTATACTGTATGTTTGTCACTTCCACTATTTTATCTTTTTTTGCCTCAGTCCTTCTTCAGTTAGATATTCAGGTCGTCTTTCTAGCCTTCATTCCTTGCTTTCATCCTGCTTTACTTATTTTCTTCCTTCCTATTTCTATTTCTTCTGTTTCTACAGCTTTGTTTCATCTTTATTTGATCCCTCCTTCTGTCCTTGGATACTTTTGCTGTCCCTTTATTTTCCTTCTACCCCTCCTTTTCTTTTTCATTCATTTCCTCATAACAAAAATTCTTATTGTCTTTTTTGTGGTTATTAACGACTTAATTAAAATGCTTTCCAAAAGCTAGAAACAAAATTATTATCCTATAATTAAAATCTAGTTCTATAGTGTTTTGTCGTTACTGTGTAAACAGAGGAATGTATTATCAATTTGGGAAGTTATTGGATCTTGACTTCTTGGTCAGATTAAATACTGTTTATATTGAATTAATGTAGGTTTTTGCACCTATTAAATATTCTGTTACCCTAAGGCTCATAGCAGGAGAAGTGGTTTACTATTATTAAGTTTTTTGCTATGAATATAAACAATACTGATACTTACTGGGGGGGTAATATAGTAAACTATAATTTACTATAATCTGCATTAATGAAAGCGGTTTGTGTCCTATTAGTTCAAGCCCCTGAAATAGAACCAAAAGTGGCCTAAGTCCCGGGGTCCTCATCCTCCTAAATCTGACGCTGTAAAGACATGTGACAATGACATAAAATCATACTTGTCTTTGTGGCTTGGAGGCTAAGTCAGTTTTCCTGATATTTAGTTGCTTTTTCAGAAGCGCCTGATCTGTATTTGTGGCATGTTGGGGGCGAGCTGAGACCTTGCCTGTCAAGTGCTTTATGGATTTATGCCCTCTTACTGCACAATCAAATCCTTAGAAATGCTCTGCTTACAGCTTGCCAGATGGAGCAATGTCCTTCTGGCTTTGGTTTTTCCATGGGGTTAGGTAGGTACCGTTGTGTGAAGGAAACTGTGCAGCCTATTTCACTAATTAACTCCACTCTTTCTGAAGGCCCACCTGGGATCACCTCAAGAGGCCCTCCTGGCTCTCCGGGCCCTCGTGGACCTCCTGGGACATGTGACCCCAACGACTGCATTCTTCCTCCCTTGTAAGCAGAGAGCAGAGTGCCATGGCGTTTGGTCCGCTACACGGGTGGTTGTCATCCAGAATTTCTAAGCTGTGGCCAGAGGCCAAAAAAAAAAAGAACAGGATGACCTTGCTGTGTCTGACAGCTTCTTCACCTCTGCTTTATCGACCAGACTCAAAACTGACCTCTTCTGTTGTTCACTTCACAATAGCATTTGGGTGCTGTGGGCTTTGTTCTTTTTATTCTGGGTTTGCTGTTTTGTTTTGAATGCAGCTGAAAACCATCTGCAGTGCTTTATTTGATGTATTTTCCCTTGTCTTTCAAACTCCTATTGTGATGAAATGCATTCCTTATCGACTATTTTGTTTTGTTTTGAGACGTCAGAATAACTTTGTTTCGTCAGGTTCATCGTTGTTGGATTGACCTCAAGAATTATTTGTTTGCCTTTTTAACAGGATTGTTGACGCACTCTGTTATTACTCAGATAAGCTGGCTGTAGGTCCATCTCATGTTTAGCTCTGTTTGTGGAAAAATGAGAGCGATAGAAATAAACTAAGTGAGCATACTTATATTTCATGCAGGTGTTCATACAATAACTTATGTAACCAAAGTGCAGCCGATGCATCTGATTTGGAAATTATTTATTTAAAGTGTGCTCCATAAGAATGTATTTAAAAGATGGTACTAGTCAGCTAAGAATGTAGCATGAAAAATGTCCTTTTATTTAGTTATATTATGAGGACATTAAGTAACACATATGTAGGTGCTATTAAGTTTTGATGTTTCTGTTTACTTTCGATGATGACGTGAGACGTTCTTGTTCAACTGTCTTCCCATTTTTTATAATGTAACTCACGCATCAGTACTGAGCACTTATTAGATTGCCAAAGCATTTTGTGTTTCTTATTTTTTTTACTTATAAACATCCTGACTGCCATTTTTTATTTAGTTTTCTATGGGTAAATAATTAAGGAATAGCTCATTTTAATATATGAATAAATTATTAGGGGTTTTTGAAATCTTTAAGCTATAGTAGAAGGATGTCATGTCTCCATTGGTTGGTTGTAAAATTAAATAAATCCTCAGAGTCGTTGAAGGTATAGTGGAGGATTTCACTAAGCCAGAATCAGCAGAATGATTGGCAATTAGTAGTGTTGCGCCGATACCATTTTTTGGCCCCAATACCTGGCTGTGCAGTAGCGGCCGATACCGATAGCATGCCATCTGTTTGAAATTGATATGTGTGTGTATATCTGAAGAACTGCATACTACTGGCATGTACAATAATTGCCATCATGGCTTTGTCAAGCTGCTGCCTACCTTTGTGAAGCAGGAAAATGACTAATACAAAGTGAATCCAGCAGAACTTTTTATTGCCTACCTGGAATGGGTGACAATAGTTGAATAAACTTTTGGCTTTCAAAATGGTATCAGTGCCCTATTTGTTGGTACTCGCTGATACCGATACGATTGGTGGTAGTGCAGTAACTGGGCCCTGTTCAATACTGGTATCAGTATCGGTGTAACATTATTAGGAGGACCACTTATTTAGATGATCCACCCAGAAAAAGAACATTCTCCACTTTACCTTTAAGACTGTAGCTTTATGAGCCACTTTACACAATATCACGACTATATTACGAGGAAATTTTTTGGTATGAAAATTGTAGCTTCTTTTAAAAAGATCCTAAAGTGTAAGAAGGTCCTGTCTGTATCTGATGTATTTTACTGGCTAAACAAAGATTAGTGAAAACCATAGCACACAGACCCAGTTTGGGCAGTCCCACGTTCTGCTTAAGACCACAACTGCAGCAAATTTCTTTTTTTAGCCATGATTTTCTTTTTCATTAAACTTCAAATGCCATTCAAAAAAAAAAAAAAACTACTGAGAGATAAGTTTCAAAACTAGAAATATGAGCTGCAAATGTTTTGAAGAATGTTAAACCGACATCTTTATTCTGGATATTATCTACATTCTCCCCACCTGCTGGCCCAGTAAAGGCATCAGTGTTTTGAATTGGAATCTCAGAGACAGTGTAAAGGCAGGATTTTTCTTTCTTTGTTTTGTTCAAAAAAGAGAAAAAATATCAATTTAAAAACATCCAGAGTAGTTTCCCTGACATCACACAGCTGAAAAATGTTTGTATTCCTGCAATGCCATTGAAAATTGGCAGAAAATAAGCAGTCTCCCTTTTCACAAGAAAAGAAGCTATGATGTCAGTTTTCATAGCCAAACATCTTCACTGTCCTTACGCTGATGTTGCATCGATGAGAGCTGCCTGCCAGCTGTATCGCTGCAGACGATCAGCAGGTCACGAGTCTGCCAATAAATTTTATAAAGACTTAAAATAAAAATGTGCTGTTGTTGATGCTGGTGGAAAAATCCCAGTATGAAATAAAATCCAGAAGATTACTCCATTGTTGGCAGACTTATAGTGGACTGATGGGCTGCAGCTGCTCAGGTGGATGAATACAGCCTGCAGCTTATCAGGATCCTTTCACAAAAACAGAACTTGTGTCTGTAAGAAAAAAAACTTAACAACAATAACTGGCTATATTTGCTCAGGGTTGTTTAATTTGTAGAACTCAACTGAAACAGGTGTTTTGATTAGCAGATAGCCCCCAGCCTTGCTAAGGATTCTTTTATTTTTTTAAAGACAAAATCTCCCAATAATCCATCTTAGCTCTGATTCCTCTTTCAGAAAAGAATGTATTTTAAAATAATAAATATTTCTAATGAATGTAACATAATTTCATTTACCTTTTTTTCTGTATATACATTTGTTTAGCTTTTTTTTTATTTCTCCTAATTCTGATGGAGCTTAAAAAGGGACCTGACTACATAACTTAACAAAGCTGGCTGTCACTGTAATAACAAACCAAGGTTGTTAATTATAGTTTCTGCAAAATATAAAGAAATGGATGCATCTGAGTATATTTTTAACATATATGCTGTTTACATGGTGTCATGAATGATGATTTCTCTGACTTGTGTGCATTTTTCCACATGTCATCCTCACAAAGGAAATCGGACTACCACACCAAAGCTAACAGACTTTTTTTTTTTTTTTCTGGGGTTTGGTTTGAATGAAATGTTTTAGTTTTAAATGTACTTGAACTGTCTGAGCTGCTTCATACTCCACATCCAGGTTTCCCAGTTACTAACCAGCACTGTGTGTCACTCTGAATTCTCTGGCCTTTGGCAGCTTTGATGCTTTTCAGCTTGATGTATTTATATTAATTTGAATGCTTACGACTCTTTTTTTATTTCTTCATGAAGTTAATGGTACACAAAAATGCAACACTAATTAATGGAAACTGTTTTGATTATCTGCAAAAACCCTTTTTCATTTGACCCCTTATTTAATTTGTATCCCATTAACAAAGATTTAGGTCACTACTTTGCTTGTTTTACCTAAAACAATTATATAGCCAATATGCAACATTTACAAGTAAGTAGTAGATGGTAAAACTGCTATAAGTAATCTTTTATTTTCTGCTTTATTTAAATACAGGTTTGATCTAAAGGTCTGAATGTTTTTGTTTAACTATTCATTTTTAACATGGTCATTGTTTGTTCCAACTGTGGTTTACATCTCTCTGATTCATTTTCTGTTTGCTTTGTCTTTTTCAAGTCGAAAATCGTAGGCATTGTGCTTTCCTTATATAATCACAGATTACTCAAATGCTGCAGAACAATTATTTTTTCATGATGCCAGGTTGGTTATATCAGTGTGTGAGAGTCTAATTTTAGAAATCAATGTATGTAGCTGACTTTATTTGTGATCAGAAGGAGCCCCCTGCTGGACATATTTGGATTCCCTCATCCTTTTAATCTATAAGAGATAACTACCTTTTGCTTATTGGGCACTTGAATTTCCTTCTCCTCCACCTATTCTGCCCTTTCATCTTTATAATTTCCATATGAATCTATGGGCTCCCACCAGAGACAATTATACTGATCTTGATGAGATTCAGATCAGACAGCGGCAACAGATTAATGTCATCTAAATGTTTCGTTTTTTTTCTGCTGTGCTGCAGAGAGCAACTCCTACTGACTATTAGATTTAGCTTGAATTGTTATTAATATGCACCAATTTGCTACTTTCATTTATCCAAACAGTGTGATAAGAGGAGAGGATGTTAATGTCACAGCTCACTTGTCTACAAATTCAAGCTATTATCCATCACTCCAAGATAGGCTCAATTTAATTGAAGTGAAAAACATCTAATGAGGCGAAATCAAGGGGGAGGCTTGCTCTAAAAATGTATTTAAACAAAAACTTGTTAGTAAACGTAAAATTCACTCAAGACAATGAAGCAAACCTGTCCAGGCATTACATTATTTCTGGTCAGACACAGTAATGTAAGCTGATCCAGTTGCCACGTGTAATCTAATCTTGTGAGCTTGTAATGAGGGGAAATATGGATCAGCCTCACAGCAAGGACCCTCAAGATTAAAAGCGCCTTCCAGCTGCTTTCACAGAAACGTCTCTTTAGTCCTGCATAAGCTCTTGTCATGCTGGGTGACTTTAACGTTTGGGTTTTTGTTTTTTTGGGGGAAGTTTTTGTTTGGTTGAATAACTACCTCATTCTTGGTTTGCCGCATATCTACATATTCAGGATAAAATGCTGAATTGTTGCCTTGGAAAAATGAGTAAAACCTGATGTGTTTATGCAAGAAACCTTTATTGTATGTTCATATGATTTTTGGTCCCTGACAAAAAAAAAAAAGTTGTTGTGGTTACCAGGCATCAGAGGTTGTATTACTCCTTACTTTTCAGGATCTTTTATTTACTCCTTTTAATGCCATCTGCCTTTCTGTGTGCAATAAATGTTCTCAAGTGCTTTATTTCTTGTGATGGGTTTTATTTTCTGCACTACAGACAAAATTTTTTATTAATATGCTTTTGTTCCCTACGTTTAGGCATTTTGGGCTCTTCAGTAAGTCTTCTTCTGTGGTTTCCTTACATTTTGAATTTGTCTAGGGTTTTGCTGTTTTGTATATTAAGTAAATGTATGTGATATATTTGATAATATTATCTACCCTACTTTGCATTATTTTAGATACAGACATTTCTCCAAAGCTTATTTCAACACTGCATAACTCTACATC